CCACCTCTGGCCTTGGACTCCCATCTGCTCTCCCGGTGAGGACCATTAGCACCCCACCCCATAGCCCAGGGTCGCCTCCGCATCCCAAGATCCCTGACGCGATGCCTCAGCCAAGTCCCTGTCACCAGGCAATGGAACCCACCGGGGTCTGGGGACCAGGGCGCGGGGCCTGTGGGGCCACAGTCAAGGAGAGGAAGGGCGCCCTTCTGGCCTCTGGGCCCCGGGTCCTTCCCCAGGGGGCGCCTGTGGTCTCCCCTCCGCCGTTGGGGGGTGCTGCAGGGACGGCGGTGCCTCTGGGTGTCCATGGTCCCACTCGGGGCTCCCCCGCGTCCTGGTGGCCAGGAGCCTGCGAGCAGGTGAGAGTGGGAACAGGTTTCCTGTGGTCTTGGGTCAGCCCCCAGGAGGCAGGAACTGCTTTGAAAGCCTTGCTCCTACTGGGATATTGGACTGCGTCTATAAATACGTGTGATGTAAAGTGCGGAACAGAGGGAACCGCGCAGGTGACGCCAGGCTGCGACTGCTGGCCATGGGGACTGAGGACAGACGGGCTGCTGCCCCTAACCAGCCCCTGCCCCTTGCCGGAGGAGCGCCCAGGAGGGGCCCGGGAAGAGGCCCAGGCAGACACCCCTGGCACGAAGCTGTTTAGGGTGTGCATTTGGGGACACACGCTGGGGCTCCAATCCTGGTCTGCTCTCTGCTGCTGTGTGACGTTAGCCACCAACAGAGAGGCTGAGAGAACAGAGGCGTTTCGGTCTCGCAGGCGGTGGGCGCAGGCGGTGGGCGCAGGCGCGGGCAGCATCTCTGAGTCCTTCAACAGCCTCCTCGGGGCCGGGCTCTGTGGGCCGAGAAGGCGACCCGAGGAAAACGGGTGCTTAACAAGCCCTGGGCTGGTGCGGTCGCGGGCAGGGAAGTGGGCAGGGGGCTGCCTAGGCACCGGGTCGCTGTCTCTGTTCAGAAAATAAATGCTCCAAGGGCCAAAGCTCCCTGAGCATCTGTACAAAGCCACAGTGGAAAATTCCACCCCCACCCCCCCCCCACCTCTCAGGACGAGTCCAAGTCCATTGCATAAAATGACCTCCCGGCTATGCACACAAAGGTGCACGTGACCCAGGGGAATTTCGAATTTTGTGTGTAGGCTTGGATCCCCTCCCAACAGCTCTCGCTACAGTGCAGATGCAAATACTTCAAGATCCAAAGAAAAAGTCTGGATCTGGGTCTCCTCCGAAAGCCACGCGTGGGTGCGACTGCAGTCAGGGTGGTCAGGGAGCCTCGTGGACGGGGGCAACAGCCGAGCAAAGGCTTAAAACTAGCGGGGTGAACGGAAGGAAAAGGGGACAACGAGTGCAAAGGCCCTGTGGCCGGCCTGTGCTTGAAGTGTGGGATGAACGCCGAGGTGTGGCTGCAGCCCTGAGCCGGCGACAGGGCAGCCAGCGGGGAGGCAGTGAAGCCTTTGCTTCTGTTTGAGTGACATGGAGACTCAGGAGAGTTTGCGGGAAGGACACAGGTTCTAACCAGAACCTCTGGCTGCTGTGTCGGGAGAATTGACTGGGGGTCTGGGTCGGAAACAGGGAGACTCCTGGGCTCAAGTGAGCCTCCTGCCTTGGCCTCCCCAGCAGCCAGGACCCCTGCCTGGCTCTGCTCTGCTGACCCTTTTTGTTTTATTTTGAGCCAGGTTCTCACTTAGGTGCTGAGGCTGGCCTCGAACTGGCAGTCCTTCTGCCTCGGCCTCCCTAGCCCCTGGGATCCCAGTGCGCCACTGTGCCCGGCTCTGCTCGGATCTTGCTGGGTGGCGTTGGCTGATTGCTCGCCCTCCCTGAACCAGCATCTCTGCTCCTCCGTGGCACAGAAACCCGTGCAGACAGCCCAGTTTCAGCCCATGGGTGCCAGGACAATTATTGACTCAGGTTGCCTGAGCTGGGCAGGTAGGTGCGGTGGAGAGGTGTGGACGCCATGGCCTGAGGTTGGGGAGCCCTTCCCCGCCCACACACCCAGGGCTGAGAGCCACAGGGACAGACAGACAGATGTGAGAGCCCCGGGCCCTTCGCCTGCCCCCGGGAGCCCCGCCTTCATCCATTCATTCAAACCTGGCGAAGTCCCGGCCTGGCCCTGTGGGTGCCCCCTGGAATCCAGGGGACTGTGGCTCATACGCAAGTGGGGGGCGGGGCACCTTGTACCGATGCGGTGACTCGTTCAGTTTCGGGTCCTGAAGGCCTGGTGGCCCTGAGGTTTCCCCTCATGCAGGTGGGCAGCAGACGGCCCGCCGAGCCTCGGGGAGACCAAAGGCTGAGACGGAGCCCAGAGCCTCGTTTCCCAGTGTTGATCAGGGCTCAACACCAGCCGCCTAGATCCTCAGGAAGGATCCGATAGTAGGACCTGACAGCAGGGGTCACCGTCATCCCCGGGGAAACGGAGACTCCAGGAGAGCCGGGCCTTGGCCACTCGGCCAGGCCCTGAGCTGCCCATCTGCCTGGGAACCATGGCTTGGCCCCACCCCCGCGGCTCTCTCCGCCTGGCCACCAGTGACATCACTGCTCCGCTCCCCACGCTCAACCTGCGGGCTGACTGATGACAGCAGGGACAAATAGTGACCGCTTCCTGAACGCAAGCCAGGAGTCAGGCCTTATTCTAACCATTTGTCCCCTCCTGCCATCCTTGTTTTTTTTTTTTTAATTTAGGAAACTTTGACGCTGTGCTTTGTCCATGCCAGGTCCGGTCTGAAGCCTTTCACGGGCTTGCAACAACCCTGTGAGGTGACCACTATTGTTATTTCCATCCTATGAATGAAAAAAACAGGCACAGAGAGGTTAGGTGACTTGCTCAAAGCCACACAGCTGGCGGGAGATGGAGTTCAGACCCACACAGTCTGCACTGGGGTGAATGCCACCCACCCATACGCTTGGCTCCTTCTCTTATCCCTGCTGTAGCTGTGGGGAAACTGAGGCACAGGGAGATTTTTTTTTCTTTTTTTTTTGAGCATCTGGCCGCAGCTCAGTTAGAAAACGGCAAACCCGGAGGCTCAGCCTGCAGGATCCGGCTCCAGAACCACGTTGATGCCCGGGCCCTGACCCTGGGGGTGACCAGCCCACCCCCATCCCTCAGCCTTCCCGAGCCCCTCAGACACTGCCGTTAGGAAACCCTGGCTGAGCTGGGCACCCTGGGCCCCCGCGAGGCCTCCCGTGACCCCCGCCTGGTGCCAGGTCTCAGCAGGCCCTTCCCTCTGGTGGAGCCTCTGAGCCTCCGAGGCCTGGGGCAGGAAGGCGGGAGCCCCCAGGCGCCTTGGCTTCCTCGTCCACCAACTGGACCGGTGAGGAGGGGCTAGCAGAGAGGGCCCCGGAAACCAGCGCTTGGACCCCACTGGGGCCTGAATCACCGCCAGCCCCTTTCCACTTGAGCAGAGGAGTTTCTTCCCTGGTATCTCATCCCCTCGTTCGCTCGCGGAATATTTCTCTAAAGGGAACCTCACAGGGGGGTCTTGTCAGCAAGTCTCAGCCCACGGCGCAGTGAATTTGCAACGTGGGTGGAGGGGCCCTCAGCCCCCTGTTCCCTGTCCCCCCGCAAGGAGCACGGCCCTCCCGCCTCCACCACCGCCATAGATGGCCTTTGCCCCATTCTGAATTTTTTGTGGTTGGACCCCTGCAGTGCAGAGTCTTGGGTGTTGTGTCCCTGGTGTGGCATTATGTTCCTGAGTCTCGTCTGTGCCGCAGAACCAAACCCTGTTTACCCCCCAGATATTTGGGACTGTCCTCTTGACTGCTCTGAAATAAGATTCATAGACAATGTGCTGTGGTGCCCCTTCTGGGCTGCCCCACCTTCTCTGGTGTTAGTTACCCTTGGCCACTTTGGTCCAAACACAGTAAATGGAAGGTTCCAGATGTAACAGTGCATAAGTTTTAAGTTATACACACCCTTCTCTGCACCATAATGAAATTTCTCGATGCTCTGACCCATCCCGCCTGAGACATGCATCATCTTTTTTGTCCAGTGTTTCCACTCTGTATATGGCGCCTGCCCGTTACTCCTGGCTATCAGATCACCTGCCGCTGTACCGCCATTCTCGAATGCAGATTTTGGTACTATCTGAAGTTTCAGGCAGTGGGGGTCTTGGAAGCCCCCTGCAGACGGCTGCCTACAGATAAGGGGGGAATACTTTCATCTATTTACATACGTGAACTTTTGAGGTTCAGTATGTCATCCTGTGTGTGCTATCGAGGGAGATGCAAGGGAGGAAACAGTGTGGTGGGAAGACTGGGCCCGTCCTGAGTCTGTGGGGCCTGAGTCCTAGTCCATGTCGAGAGCACCCCTGAAAAAATGAATAAGAATTGCTTCCTGTGACTGCATCTTTAGGTAGGTGGAATGTTTACTGCAAATGAGAAAAGAAATCACAGGGAAGTACTCCCTTTTGGAAGCCAACAGACTCCCATAAATATCCCAGAAAAATCACAGACGGTGGCTAAACCCACTTCCCACCCCGGGCTCGAGGTCCTCGCACGAGGCGTGTGGTGACCTAGCTGTGTCCCCCGCCTTCCTGTCCCTCACCCCACAGTCAAGCAGCTCCCCCGCTGTGCACAGAGGAGGGAGAGCCCTGCCCAGCCGCACCTTCCCCAGCCCCATCACCGTCCCTCTCCCAGACACCCTGGGGGAGGCCCAGGCTGACCGGACCAAGGACTGACCAGTTGCCCTTAAAACTTCTCCTTTGGGCCACTCTGGCTGCTTGAACCTGTCGCCTGGGAGGCTGGGAAAGCAGCACAGGTCACTTTATTCTCACGTTGTGCCTGTTGAGCTGGAGCAGGGGCGGGCAGGGCGCCTGCCTCTGGAAGCCTCCGCCCCACTCTGCAGGCTGTGTCCAGCACTCTGTGTCCTGCCCGCTGTGTGGCTTTGAGCAAGCCACACTCCCTCTCTGTGCCCGGCTCTCTTCACCCATACCGTGGGAGTGATACCAGTCAGGACACCAGAGGGCGGCCGCCCTGCCTGGTGACCGCCATCTCCCTCTCCTCCCACAGCCAGACGGTCTCGGGCGAATACTTCAGATACAAGGGCATCCTCTTCCCCGTGGGCCTCTACTCCCCGGAGAGCATCAGCCAGGCCGAGAACACCTCCAATGTGCGCGACGACGACATCTTCATCATCACCTACCCCAAGTCAGGTACCTGTGGGGCTGGGGCGGGGCCGGGAGAGCAGGCCCGAAGGGACCCAGGATGCCGGGTGCCCCAGGAGGGGACAGGGAAAGAGCCACCTGGGTGAATCTGGCCTCTGCACTTCCAGTCCCCTGCGGAAGCAGCCTTCCCAGACACCACAGGCGGCTCCCTCCCCGGGGCAGGCTTCTCCCCTGCTGAAATCAGGCTCCCTCTGTACCTTGACCTTCACAGCATTTATTACTACCAACTACTGCATCTTTTTTGGGGGGGGGTTGGGGGCGTACCAGGGACTGAATCCAGTAAGCCACATCCCCAGCCTTGTTTTATATTTTATTTCAGGGTCTCACTTGAGTCGTTGAGGCTGGCCTTGAACTTTCCATCCTCCTGCCTCAGCCTCCCAGAGCCTCTGGGATTACAGGCCTGCGCCACCACCCCTGGCTCATTTAAAAAAAAAAAGAAAAATTATTGATTAGTCTCTGGTTTCTCCACTTTGTCTGTCTGTCTGTCTTTTTGATACTGGGGATTGAGCTCAGAGGTGCTTTCCCAATGAGCCCCAAATCCCGGCCTTTTATGTTGTTTTATTTTGAGATAGGGCCTGGCTAAATTGCTGAGGCTAGCCTTGACCTTGAAATCCTCCTGCCCCAGCCTCCCGAGCCCCTGGGGTCACAGGTGTGCGCCAGCAAGCACAGTTGAGTTTTTCTGGAGCAGTGCTCGAGTCTGAGTCTCTAAACTGACAGGGTTGACTACTATTTTCAGAAAACTTTGAGGATTTTCATGATGTAACTTCACCCTTTTAAACATAAAGCCCCCTCCCCTTCCCATGTCACTTCCTTTTTTTCTTATTGTGGTTCCAGGGCTCAAACCAGGACCTTGCACAAAGCGCCCTGCTCAAACCCAGGACATGCTCACCACCGGGCTGCCACCGCAGCCCCAGCCCGGGGTTCTGGGCGTGGGTGTGGAGCAGTTCTGAAATAGAATCCACTCTCCATGCGACTCGCCCACTGAGCGCACACCGCCCGGGCTTTGGCAGTCACAGAGCTGAGCCTCCACCCCGCAGTCCATCTTAGAATATTTCCATCCCTCCATCGAGAAATCCTGGGCCTTGCGAGGCGCCCGCCCTGCCCCAGGCCCAGCACTCAGAGTCCACTCCCCATCTCCAGGACTGGCCTGTTCCAGGCGTTCCCTGTGTGCGCACTCCTGCCATGAGCAGCTTTGGTGTCTGGCTTCTGTCACTCACGTCGTGACATCCACAGGTGCTTCGTCCCCCTCTCATGTCACTGACACTCCATGGCAGGCGCAGGCCACGTTGTGAGTGGATACCCATCAGCTGAGGGGCGGTCGGTCCTTTCCATTCTGGCTACTGTGGATGATGCCCCCTGGTCATCTGCACGCAGAGCCATGTAGACGTGGTTTTCAGTTCTGTGGAATTCTGAGATTGGACGGACCCAACCTTCATACAACTATCAGCACAACGACAGAGGCTGGCCCGGTGGCCCACGCCTGCAATCCCAGCAGCTCGGGAGGCTGAGGCAGGAGGATGGCAAGTTCAAGGCCAGCCTCAGCAACTTAGCTAGATCCTGTCTCGAAATAAAAAATTAAAAGGGTTGGGGATGTGGCTCAGTGATTAAGCCCCCTGGGTCCCCCCCCCAAAAAAAAAAAGATACAGAAGAATACACCCAACTGCCCACACCCCCTGTAGCCTTTGGTCATTAACTCCTCCCTCCCCCTACCCCCTGGCAACCAGTGATCACCTTGTACCCTATGGTCTTGCCCTTTCTTAAATGTCACCCAGATGGAGTCACGTGGCATGCAGCTCTTGAGACCAAGGACAGACTTATTCCACTCCCCATGATGCACTTTGGGTTGTCAGAGTGGTGCTGAGGCCGCAGGTTACAGGCTGTAGGGACGGGGCACGGCCTGTCTGGGGTCGGGTCCTCCAGGGTGAGTAGGAGACAGCTTCTAGGAAGCTTTGTGGACAGGTCTGGGATGGATGCTTGAACCTGTCGCCTGGGAGGCTGGGAAAGCAGCCACTTATGTTGGGTAAATACTCAGGTGTGCGATTGCTGGCTCGGTGGCCACCAGGCTGCCAGGTGCCCCTTGGCCAGGCCCTAAGGACTCAGTGAGCCTCTGTCCGCAAACAGAGAAAAAGGCTGGGGATGTGGCTCGGTGGCTAGATGTCCCTGGGTTCAATTCCTGCTACCAAAATAACCCCCCAAAAAAACCAGCAGACGGTTCTCCCCAGGGGCTTTGCCACTTTGCCTGCTACCAGGAATGGCGCCGGGTCCCCTGCCCTGCATCCTGCGGGCTCACCGCCACCAGGGGGTTTCCAGCGGTTTGCTAGGTGCCCACTGATGTTCCATGGTGTCAGCGCTGTCTGGCCGTCCTCTGTCATCGGAGGTACAGGGTCTGTTCCAGTCTCTCCTCCTCTTAGTGGGCTGTTTGTTTTCTCGTCGTTGAGTTTCGGGACATTTCTTTTACTGTCCGTGGGGGAACCCTGGATCAGATCCGCGTCTGGAAGCGGCCTCCTGGCCGCGGCTGCCTGAGCGCTCTCTCCTCAGAGCGTAAGAGCAGAGATTCTTCATCTGGATGAGATCCGATTCGTCACTTTGTCCTTTGACGGATCTGCTTCTGTCATATCTAAGAAATCTGTGTTTAACCCATGACCACAAAGATGTCTTCTGTTTCTTCTTCTGGAAACTTTACGGGTTTAAATTGCACATTTAAATCTGTGATCCACTTTGAGCTGGATGTTATCCGTGGCATCTGGTGGAGATCAAGGTTCTTTATTGGTGTGTGATGTCCAGACATTCTGTGTGGTTTTATATAGAGATTTAAAACGGATCGACTTCTCCTCAGTCCTGGAACGTGTAGATAGCATCACACTCACTTTTTCTTTTGAGATGGTGCTGGGGGTGGACCCAGGGCCTCACACATGCTGGGCAAGTGCTCTACAACCACAATACACTCCCAGCCCACCTTTAAAAAAAAAAAAAAATGTCTTTGAGACGGTTCTCTCAAAGTTGTGGAGGTTGGCCCCAGACTTGCAATCTTCCTGCCTCGGCCTCCCAAGTTGCTGGGATTACGTCATGCCCGGCCGGCCCCAGCTGTTTTTTTGTTTTTTTTTTCTTTAACAGTTCCGCAGTATTTCACAACACGGACATACAATCATTCTTGTTTAACCATTTGCTTAAGGATAAACAGTAATTTTTTTTTTGTACTTTTTAATCTTTTCCTTTTTTTTGTTTATTTGGTACTGGGGATTGAACCCAGAGGTACTCTACCACGAAGCCACACCCCAGCCTGAGCACATTTTAGTTTTTTTTTTTTAAACTATTCATATTTCCTTTTCTAGGATGATCTAGGCATCTAGGTACCCGCCCCCCCCCAACTGAACTCTTGGTCTTTCATTGTTTTATAGGAGCTCTTTATATATTAGTGAACTTAACTCTTCATGGAGACTGAATTATAAATATGTTCCCCAGTTGTTCTTTTTACTTTCATCATAATTTTTCTATGCATATATTTAAACTTATGTATCAGGTTTTGTTTTCTCTGGTTGACTTCCTAATTTAGGATCTCTTTGGATTCGTGGCTCATCATTATGATCATGATCACAGGGTTTTTGTTTCTTTGTATTTTAAGACAAGGGCTCACCCTGTTGCCCAGGCTGGCCTGGAACTCCTGGGCGCAAGGGGTCCTCCTGCCTCAGCCTCCTGAGCAGCCAGCTAGGAGGAAAGGCAGGCTCCACCACCACTGTGCCTGGCTGACTGTGGTTTCAATGTGGTGGACCACAGTCATCGGGATCACGGGTGGAGGCTTGGATCTTTTTTGGTGCTTTAAGGTCACAGCAACACTCCATGATGGAACACTTGTCCCTTGGTTATTCCTACCTTAGAAAGTGTGGGAAAGTTCTAGAACGTCTCTAAGGCCTTACTTTTCCCATCTCCAGTTTCTTTATTTTCCCCTATAATGACAACAGGACTTAATGTGTATCAGTTAGGGTATACGTTAAGCTGCTGTAACAAAGAGACCCCAAGAAATAACCAGGATTTTCTCCCCGATAACAGTTCAGCTAGGTGGACATTTGAGCAGGCAAGTAACTCCATTCCAAGAAGTCAGAAAGGCTTAGAATGCCCTTCTAGCTTGGTGGCTTCTAAAATGGTGTCGTCCTCTTTGGCAACACCACTGCCAGAGTCCTGTCGGGAAAAGGGAAGACAAAAGGGGAAAGGGTATGGAGGACAAGCAGCTCCTCTTAAAGGCAGGACCCAGAAAGTGCTGTCACCTCTACTCACAGCTCATAGGCCACAGCTTAGTCACGTGACCACACGCAGCTGCAAAGGATTCTGGGGGCTGTAGTTTCTGGGTGAATGCCAGCGTGCTCAGTGAACCTTAAATATTCTGATACTATCACCAGGAGGGGAAAATGAACTGTGAAGACACTTGGCATCAACTAAACCACCTCACACGGGTGCATCAGTCAGCCACAGACAGGAGACTGAAACCACCCAGTCATTTGGACAGGAGAGGCCTAATGCAAAGGATTTAAGGGCCATTGGGGTGGGTTTTTAGAAATGAAGAAGTATTGGCAAGGATGGGGAAAAATTGGTTGGAGCCTGGTGCACTGTTAGTGGGAGGGTAAAATGGTACAGCCACTATGGAAAAAAAATTAAACATAGAATTATCATATAGCCCACAAGGTCACTTTCTGATATATACTCAAAAAAAAAAAAAAAATCGGAGGGCAGGGACTCAAGTAGATATTGGCCTGACGATGTTCACGGCCACATCATTCAGAATGACCAGAAAGTGGAAACAACCCAATGTCCACCAAGGAACAAGTCCCTCATTCAGCCTTTAAAGAAGAGGAAAATCCTGGTACATGTCATAACTCACATGAACCTTCAGACGCTGTGCCAAGAAGCCAGACACGCGGGTCCACTCACAGAGGCACATCCCAGGGTGGGTGCCAGGGGGTGAGGGACGTTGGGAGGTGGGAGTGGGCTGAGAGTCCAGAGTTTCCATTCTGCACTTGACAGCTGTGGCGGTGGGTGGCCTAACGGTTGCCCAGTGATGTGATTTTACTTCACGCCACTGTACAGCTAACCTTAAAATGGTTCGATGGTAAATTTGCAGTATTCAGAGGTAGACTTAGCAGCCTGTAACGGGGGCTTCCACTGCCATAGGCTAGAGACTCAGAAGGACTCAGGAACAGCTAACGCAGCAGCAAGGCAGGTTCCAGGGCAGGACTAAGCCCCAGTGGATCTGGAAGAGGGACTCCCCCTCCCCCAGCTAAGATTCGACTTTCACCGGAGCTGACATTTCCTGGGGGAGGAGACAAGTGTCACTGGGTGTCCGCCACAGGGCTGATGGCTGGTGACCACAAGATCCACAAGATCAGATCTGTGAATCCACAAGATCCTGGAGAGGAGCCGGCGAGGCCCGTGGGCGGCTGCTGCGTTCCTCCAGCGCCCCCTACTGGCAAAGCCGGGCCCAGCCAGCTGGGAGGGCGAGGGGTTCCCAGGGTCCAGCCCGGCGCTTGGAGAGGCAGCAGACCACACGCGGATGATGGTCGCAGGGGCGGTGGTTGGAATCCGAGTCAGTGGAACCCTAATCATAGGCTGTTGTGGCAGGAGTATAATTGTTCATCGCTCTGCTGTGGTCTCCTGCCCTCTGAGCCCATCTGCACCCCACTGATGGGGGGCTGCCTATACCTAGGGTCCTGGGACTCAAAACAAGGCAGCGGAATAAGCAGATCTTATACCCAGGCACCATGGACTCAATTCCAGCTTAAAGTGGGGGGGTTGCTGCTCTGCCACCAAAGCCTAGGTATGTCAGTGGCTGAACCCCATAATTTATTTCTTATTCTCGCAAACCCCAGAGCCGTTGGGTGGATGGGGGGAGGGAAATCCACACTGCCGTGGCCATCTGGCGCCTGCCATCCCTGGAGTCTCTGTGACCAGCCGGCAGAGAGTTGGTGTTTTGGGGCCAGGCCTGGAAATGGCTGCAGAGGTGGCTGCCTGGCCAGACAGACAGTCCTGGCCAGACAGACAGTCATATGGCCCCACACAGAGACCAGAAAATACAGTCCCAGCAGGAAAGTGGACCGGGACTGGGCAGCCAGAGGCCATCTGTGCCACATGGCACCGCCCAGCCCCACCACCTGGTACCAGTGGCTTTGTTTCTTTTGAGGCCGAATTTCCTGCTCTGAAGATGAGGCCGCTCAACCCGGCTCTTCCCACGGTGGCGGAGCACTCCGTCGACCTTGCTGCCATGACCCTGACCGTGTCCCACCCCTGACGGGGCGCTGCCCGCCTCTCCCAACAGGCACCACTTGGATGATCGAGATCCTCAGCTTGATCCTGAAGAACGGGGACCCCTCCTGGATCCGCTCGGTGCCCATCTGGGAGCGCGCGCCCTGGTGTGAGACCATCATAAGCGCCTTCACCCTCCAGGACCAGACGAGCCCCCGCCTGCTGAGCTCCCACCTCCCCATCCAGCTCTTTCCCAAGGCCTTCTTCAGCACCAAGGCCAAGGTGGGGGGCAGGGGGAGGGCAGGAAGAGGGAGCAGGATCGGCAGATCCATTCAGCACCTGAGTGTTGAGCACCTACTGTGCGTGTGGCCCTGACCCGGCACAGTAGTAAACAGACAGGGGAGAGCGGGCACAAAGGCCCTGTGTGTGTGTAGGGGGGGTGGCTGGAAACAAGTGGATGAGGGGCAGAGGGACCAGGGGGGCAGGGCCATGTGAGCACCCTGAGGATTTAGGAGGGTTTAGGTGGTCAGGCCTGGGCTGGCTGGCGCCCCCTGGTGGCCAGGTGGGGGACACCGTCAGGGCTAGGGCAGAAGCAGGGAGGCAGAGAGGAAGCAGCCCCGGTGGTTCTGGTGCTGGTGGGAGGTGACAACTGGACCAGGGTGGTGGCCTTGAGGTGACGGAAAGGGACTGGTCTGGAGGTGTGTTGGAGGAGGGAAGGGCCAGGCTGTGCTGGCAGATGAGTCAAGGTGACAGCTGAGTGTGATGATACTGCCCCCTGCTGGGCCAGGAGGGAGGTGGGCTCTGCTGGGCCACCCTGGTCCAGGCGGGGACTGCCAGGGGCAAGGAGGTGCGCCGCCGATCTGACACGTCTGTGTGGGACCCCTCTGTCCCATCCTCCCTCAGCCTCCCTGAGCCTTGGTTCTAGCCCCTGTGCAGCTACCAAATCTGCAGCTGCCGAAGTCCCTTTATATAGAAGGGCACTGCATTTGCACATGACCTGGGCACTTTAAATCACCCCCCCCACCCCCGTGCAAGGCAAGCGTTATGACAGACAGCCATCGTCCTACTGTGCCACTTAGGGAATAACGAGGGAAAAGCCTGCCCACGTCTAGAACCGACGGGCCCTTTCCTGAATGTTCCGTCAGCGTTAGCTGAGCTCATGGCTGTGCAAGCTGCAGATACAGAGCAGGGTCGTGTGGACGGCATTCATTCCCCCCAGCCACGGTGTGTGACGACTCCCCACAGTGTCGCTCACCCGGGAGCTCTCCTGAGCCTCGGGTCCAGGCTTTGATGGGGTGTTGGTCCCCTGGATGTGGCCGACCTCCGTCTCCAGACCCTGCAGGGATCGGGCTGATACCGCGTGGCCCCCGACACAAACCCCAGGGTCAGCACAGACTTCTGGTGCGGCCTAAGGCCCGAGGCCCCGCACAGGCAAAGATCCTTATTAATCAAGGAATTCCAAGGCCTTCCTGGACCCGGGGGCAAGTTCCAGATCTTTCTTTGGGCAAAGTGAACCATCCACTACACAGGGCCAGGTGGGTGTCCTGGGACGCACCCACCTGACATCAGAAGTCACGTTGGTCTCCATCTAGGGGACCTGGGATTTCTTTCTTGGCACCCACCCCTGATGCCAGTGCCCGTCCCTGAGCGCTTCTGTGGACTCTAAATAAAATACTAAAAAGGGCCGGGTGTGGCTCAGTGGGCAAGTGACCCTGAGTTAATCTCCAGTCTCAAAAAAAGAGCAGCAGGTTGTCAGCCTTCAGACGCCAGCCCAGGCGGCTCTGTGCTGGGGCCCCGAGAGCCAACGGGGCTGTGAGCCAGGAGAGCAGGGCTCCAGCGAAGAAAGAGGGTCCAGTGGAGGCTGGAAGGCCAAGGAAGGCGCAGGGGCCCCGCTAGGGGAACGGAAAAGGGGGCCAGCTTTGTCTCCTGGTCCATGCCCCTGCCCTGAGCGCCCCCGTCCTGAATCCCGCACCTTCTCTCTCCACCTCTTTTCCCTGAGGCCAAACTGTCCCTCCAGCTGGCCCAGAAACAGCTCCTCCCTGTCCCTGGTTGGAAGGAGCGCTTTCATCTCCTGGGGAGTCTGCCCCGCATCCTTCCTGCCGCAGGGTCACAAGAGGGGCTGGCCGGCAGCAGCCTTGGGTCTGGGGTTCTACCTTTGTGTGACGTCTGTCCCTGTCCTGGCCGCCCGCGTGCAGGTGATCTACCTAAGCAGGAACCCCCGGGACGTGGTGGTCTCCTTCTACCATTACTCCAAGATCGCCAGGCAACTGAAGGACCCGGGCACGCCCGACCAGTTCCTGGAGAACTTCCTCAAGGGCGAAGGTGAGCCCTGGGTGGAGCAGGGGGCCCAGACGGAAGAGGATAAGAAAGGAAGGGACCCTACAGAGTGGGGGAGAGGCCAGGAAGTGAGGCAGGCCGGGAGGCAAGGAGACGGAGGCACGGACAGACAGAGGAGGGACACAGGCAGATGGTCAAGGGCGGCCCACGGTGGGGAGCTGGGGAGGAGTGGGCTAGAGGCAGCTGCAGTGAACTTGGCAGAGGCAGGAGGGTGTCCACTCTGGCGGTGTGAAGGGGGGGGTGCCGCATGCTGAGGTGGAGTTGGTACCTTCGGGACCCCAAGCAGCTGCTGCCCACCCTCACCCCTGCCCCTCTGCCCCCAGTGCAGTTCGGCTCCTGGTTCGACCACATTAAGGGCTGGATTCGGATGCAGGGCAGAGAGAACTTCCTGCTCCTCACCTACGAGGAGTTGCAGCGGGTGAGTCCCCACAGCTGCCTCACGCCGGCCCTCTACCCTCCCCGCTGTGCCCCAGTGCACCAGGGGATGAAGAACAGAGACCCTGAGCCACTCAGAACAGGGCAGTCAAGGGGAGGCCCTGAGGCAAAGGTGACACCAAGCCAAGGTCTCAAGGAGGAGAGACAGACAGCCATGGAGACACGGAGGGGGAATAGTGTCCCAGGCAGGGGAATAGCCAGTGCAAAGGCCCTGAGGTCGCTTCTTTTCCTTGATGGGTTCTTAGGAAAACAAAGAGTCTGGGCACAGTGGCTCACACCTGTTACCCAGCAGTTCAGGAGGCCGAGGCAGGAGAATCTCGAGTTCAAAACCAGCCTCAGCAACATCAAGGCTCTAAGCAACTCAGGGAGACCCTGTCTCTAAATAAAATACAAAAAAGAGCTGGGAGGTGGCTCAGTGGTCGAGTGCCCCTGAGTTCAATTCAATCCCCAGTATCTGCCCCTGCACCCCAATTAAAAAAAAAAATAGAACAGGAGAGCAAGAGATCCCTGCAGAAGACAAAGCGAAATAGGAAAAGAGAGGGTGGAAGGTGGAGCTGCTGGGAGGACTGCACCTGTCTCTGAGCAGGGGGAGACGGCGACTGAGCTCAAGGGGAGTTGTGTGGAGCCTGAGGACCGGCAGAGGACACAGTGGAGGAACAGCCTGGGGGACACACTGGGATCCCAGCTGGACCCCTCCGAGGGCCCTGGGGCAGGCACAGGTCAAGGGGCACCTTGCCTGGTGCACTCAGGGGTGGCTCCCAGGGGCCAGGCAGGGTGGTGGCCATGGGCTTCCAGAACAATCCACAGCCAACAAGCCCAACCATCCAAGGTTCCTTTTTTCTTTTCTTTTTTCTCTGACACTGGGGACGGAACCCGGGGTACTCTACCACTGAGCCACATCCCCGTCCCTTTTTCAAATTATTTTATTCTTAGAATGGGTCTCCCTACGTTGCTGAGGCTGGCTTTGAACTCGCCATCCTCCTGCCTCGGCCTCCTGAGCCTCCGGCTTGTTCGGCTCCAGGTCCCTGCCCCAGCCTGCGCTTTCCCGGGTGCGCGCTCCACATGCTCGCGGTCCACTCCTTCCTGCTAAGGGTCTGGACTCTGGTGTCCCACAAAGTTGAAGTCCCCTTGAAACTCTCAGCTCAGGCAGGGCGGGAGCTGGGGGCCGAGTGGCGCAGCTCCCTGGCTCCATCCCAGCACCCAAGCCGGCAGCAGCAGCAGGAGCAGAAACGTGTCGGGGCCCAGAAGTCTCACCCTTAAAATGGGTGAAAAGAACGACTCACAGCTAGGGCTCGGGGATTCTGGCACGGGACACTGTGACCGCTGACCAGGTCCAGCCTCGTGAGCACCGCGTGGACAGCGGTGGGGAGGGCAGAACTGACCGGGAAACAGAGCGAATGTCTGCCACTGGGTGCTGAATCCCAGGGTGACAGGGTGGGAGGCCTTGGGAGGAGCTGAGACCAGGCCACTTTGTCCTGGAAGGGCAGGCCTGGGGACCAGGACCCTGTCCTGGGGCACTGGGGAGCCGTGGGAAAGCTGGGAGGAGAGGGGCCACAGTGGATTTGGAATGGGGACGAGGCTGGGGGCAGGGAGGCTGGGGGCAGGGAGGCCGTGGAGGAGGCTGGGGCAGGACAGTGGAAGCAGAGGGCAGGAGGGAGAGGCTGATGACAGGGGTGTAGGGTGAGGGGGACGGCGGGGTGTGGCCAGGCCTGGGAGTCTAGCCCTGTGGCTGGGACACGGAGGGCGCTCCCGAGGGGGGCCCAGCAGGTGCTGACCAGGTGCTGCCTGCTTCTGACCCCAGGGAGGATGGGCTCCAAAAGGCCCGAGCTGACTTCTGACCCGCTGTGACCTCAGGTGCACCCAGCCCCCACTCAGAACCTTCCCAAAACTGCGAGGCCCAACCCCTTGGCCTCGCCTTGGACAGAGGTGGGAAAATAGACAGGGACAGGAGGCACCCTGCCACCCAGGGCCAGGACCTGGCGCCCTCCCGCTGCTGACCCCTCCCCACTCACTCTCCGCCGCTCCCAGGACCTCCAAGGCTCCGTGCAGCGCATCTGTGAGTTCCTGGGCCGGCCGCTGGACGAGGAGGCCCTGGGCTCTGTGGTGGCACACTCGACCTTCGGTGCCATGAAGGCCAATTCCATGTCCAACTACACGCTGCTGCCCACCAGCCTGCTGGACCACCGCCAAGGGGCCTTCCTCCGGAAAGGTGAGGGAGCTCTGGGCTCCGGGATTCAGGCCCCGCCAGGCCACCAGATCGCTGTGCGATTTGGGCCAGTTCCTTAGCCTCTCTGGGCCTCAGTTTTCCCAGCTGGAGCGTAGGGGTGAACAGGGTCACTAAGAACCCAGGATTGACTTCGCTCACAGAGCTCAGTATAGAGCCTGGCACACAAGCCTCTGCCCTCTGAGTCTCCCTCTCCTCTCCAGGGAACAGGACCCCATGGGCACCGATCCAGGCTGCCAACCAGGCCAAGGGCCCACAAATCCTCCTTGGCCTTAAGAAGAAATACCCCAGTGTCAGGTGACAGAGCAGGGGGTAGAAGCAGTGAGTCCTGCTCTAACCAACTGACCCAGGCCACTAACAGCACACACCTGTCCTCAGCTTACACTTCTGGGGGTCAGAGATCCAAAATCAGTCTGCCTGGGTAACATCAGGCCAAAAAGAAGACCAGAAATCTTCTGAAGACTTCACAGGAAAATCTTTTTGGTTTCTCACTAACCTACATCCCAGCATCTGGCCTCCTCCTGCATCCTCAAAGCCAGCAGCCGAGCCCCCTGGGTCCTGCCGCCTCCCTCATTTAAGGCCCCTTGTGCTGCACACGCCCCGTGATGATTCCAACGGCTGGTGCTAGAGGACTGTAAATTTGAGGCCAGCCTCAGCAATTTAGTGAGGCTCCAAGCAATTTATAGAGATCTTGTCTCAAAATTTAAAAATAGAGGGCCGGGGCTGCAGCTTTGGGGTAAAGTGCCCCCGGGATCAATTCCCAGTACAAGGGGGGAAAGAAAGCATTCCTTGTGGTGACACTGGGCCCACCCAGATAATCTAGAACCATCTCTCGACTCAAGACCCTTCACCACATCTTCCAAGTTCCCGTTGACACGCAGAGTTACATATTCACGGATCCAAGGGTTGGGGTGGAGGCACCTGGGGGCCGCATAGAGCCCGGCTACAGGGAGACCGATGGCCTCTCTACAAGCTGCTGGGATGGGAATGACATGGGCCCCAGGATTCCAGTGCCCGGCTGATCGCCCATGACCACATAGGAAACGGGAGGCCGCGGTGGTGGAGCCCTGGGGCTGCCAGGGGGCCCCAGACACCTGACCGGGATTCAGCAGGGGAGGGGCCCAGTCATCACCCAGCAACAAGAGTTAAGGACAGGACAGAGGAGGCGACCACCAGACTGTAAGAGATGTGCTGGGCAGAGGCAAAGGGTCAAGGGGCAAAGTGGGGTGCCAGGGCGGGAGGAGGTGGGGATTCAGAGCCCTGTAGGTGACAGACCATGTAGGAGTCCCCCCTCCTAGGTAAAGGGGGTGACAGGTCGCTGGGGAGGTGGAGGGTGCTGTGAAGGCAGATGCTGGAATGCCTCCCTCCGTCCCCTCCAGGGGTCTGCGGGGACTGGAAGAACCACTTCACGGTGGCGCAGAGCGAGGCTTTCGACCGCGTGTACCGGGAGCAGATGCGCGGAGTGCAGGCCTTTCCCTGGGACGAGGCCCCGGAGGAGACCAGCCGGGACCCCGAGCCCCAGCCCCAGCCGGAGACTGAGCCCGACCCCGATCCCAGCCCCGTCCAGGCCTCGGATCCCGCCCACCCGTGACCCCCAATAAACACGTCGCTCCAGCCCGGCTCCTTGATGCGCGCGAGGGCGGCAGGGGGCGCGCGAGGGCGCTGGGGCGGCGGTGGGGACCCCGCACCTGGCGCCCAGGCTGCGTTCCACCGGGGCCTTGGGTCCCATCTGTCCCGCCAATGAGGTCCCAGGAGCCCCGCTCGGAGGCAAAGATGCTACCGAGGCCCGGGCTGTGCGCAGCTTCTCCGGGCCGCGCTGCGCTCTGGGGCTGGGGGCCTGGCTACAGAAATACAAGTTTGGGGCACGAAGGAGTTTTATTCTGAGCAAAAGTCATGGGGACCTAGAGGATCCACCGCTCCGTGCTCCCCGAACGCCCAGCGCCAGCCCAGCCCCCACCAGACCCCTGGGCAGCTGTGAACCCAGGACCTTCCAGCCCCCCGGCTGTTCCCCTGAGGCTCTGCCCCGTCTCTCCTCTCCCCCCTCCGCTTACTCACAGCTTCTGGGGGCGGGGTGGGGCGGGGGCGGGGGAAGCATGGCCTTTGGTCCAGGGACTCCTCAGGCATGTCCCACAGAATTCCATGGGGCTGCTCAGCCAGCCTCTTGGGGAGAGTGGGTCCCAGCTGAACGGGTCCTGGGGTCCACAGCAATGGAGGCCTCCTGCGACTCCCCTGACCGTGAACTGAGGCCTAGGGCCGGACTGGGCTTCTTCCACTGCCCAGGCCCTGAGGCCAGAGGCCTTGTCTGAGGCACGGCATCAGGCAGGGGTCTCTGAGAGGGCACATTTGTCTGGGCTCCTGTCAGGGTCGCCCTCCAAGTCCTGAGCGGGAGGCCCAGTCTGGCTGCGGGAAACCTCTGGATTCCGGGAGCTTGGATGCAGCCTCATCACCAAACCTCCTTTGGGTTGGGGACAGATAGCGGAGTCGGCGGCGGGCGGGGATCAGGGGCAGGGGGCCACCCCAGGGCTGGGACCAGGCCAGAGGGCGGGTGTCCACCTCACCCCACGGGCCCCCTCCAGTGCCCCGCTGCCTCATCAGGGCCTTGGCAGGAGTGTCCTTGGAGCCCCGGGACTTTTTGAGCTGTGGAAGGAAAAAGGGGAGGTGAGAGGAGGAGACGGGGAGGAGGCTTCTGGGGCCCAGAGCCAGGGAGGGAGGAGGGGAGGAGAGAGGTGGGGAGAGGTGGAGGGGATGCAGGGGAAGGTTAGATGGGGGAGAGGGAGGAGGAGGAGGAGGAGGAGAGGAAGCAGGGGAGCTGGAGGAAGATGGGGGTGAGGAGAGGAAGGAGGAAGAGGGAGGGAGGGAGGTGGGGGGAGATGTCAGGGAAGCAGGTAGGGTGGAGGGGAGGTCTGGCACCCCCAGACCCGAGGGGGCAAGGAGGCACATCCCTCCTGCGGCTTTGCAGGTGGGAGGAACTGGAAGCAGCTGGCAGCTGCCTGGGGAGGGGGGGACAAATATTTGCTAAGGGAGGTGATGCAGGGTCAAGGTGGCAGGGGACCAGGTGGAGGTGGAGGTGAGAACCTTGCCCCTGCCTAGCCCCTGTCTCCTCCTCCAGCTCCAGGAAGTCGCTGACTGGGAGGAGGGAGCCAGTCCCGGGTGTCTGGCCCCGGGGAGAAGCCTCTGGCTCCCACTTAGCAGATGGGGAGACTGAGGCTGGGGTCCAGCTCAGAGGGGCTGTGCCATAGGCGTGTCTGCCTGTCTCCCCTACGTGGTGCTGCTCGGACCCCCCCAGCAGCTCACTTTGTGGCTGAGGAGACTGAGACTCAGAGGAAAAGTCACCTGATCAGGGTCCTCCCGTGAGGTCCAACCGGTTCCTTGGAACCTCTTTGTCTGAGCAGCAGGAGCGACAATCCCTTGGGCTCCCATAATCCTCTCCCCCTACAGCCTTGTGACTCTCAGATCCAGGAAGCGGACCATTGAAAAGCCCACTCGGGGGGCAGCCAGGGCTCTGGGCCTTGGTTTCCCCCTCTGTGAAGTGGGTAGATTAGCTGGTCTTGTGAAAGTGCTGGGCATGGCGAGGTGACAAAGCAGGTTGGTTGTCTAAAGGATGGTTATTCCAACCTGGGGCGAGTTACTTGATCTGAGCCTCCACTTTCCCCTTGGTAACAATCAGCATGACAGCAGTGTGACCTCCCGGCCCGGGGTGAGAATGCAATGAATAAAACGTGAATTCCGTTTCCCCCAGGCCGGGAAGGAGCTCAACTGCTCAGCCCACCCCCTAGATGAGAACCTGGGGTTCAGGGAAGCACGTGGCACCCAAGGCTCAGGGGTCTTTTTCTGCCCCCTGCTGCCCAGAGCTTGCCCCCCAACACGTGGAGGAGGCTCATGAATGGGCCCCGCAGTTGCACACGGAGGCCAGCAGCTCGCTCTTCGTGCCTCCCCGGTGCGGGGCGTGCGGTTGGCCCTGGAAAACACTTCCTGTTCTGGGGTTCAGAGTAGGACCCGGGAACCCAGGCAACCCTGTGGGTGCTACCTTCCCCTTCCTGGGCCTCTGCTGTCACCTCTGTCCTCCGGCAGCAGCCACCAGGTCTTACCTCATTGTCACCGTCACTGGAGCCTGACATCTGGGACAGGCGGCTCAGGTCCCACAGGGAGCGGCTGGGCCGAGTCGGGGGGCCACTGCCAGTCCGGGCACGCTGGACGCTTCTTAGGATGTCACTGAGAGCGGGCCCTGGTGGGGCAGGGGACTCCTGCCTGTCCCCCTCGAGGATGCGGCAGGCAGCCAGGCGGTGGGCCAGTGGCCCGTTGGGTGGCAGGCGTGACACAGGGGCTACAGGGCAGCGGTGAGCCACACGGTGTGGGCTGCGGGCCAGCTGCCCGTCTCCCGCGACGCTGACGAGGGGGCCCTGGGCGGGCATGGGTGGGAGTGGCCACGAGGCTGCATACAGTGTCCGGAACTCACGACTGAAAGCATCGACGATCTCTCCGGTCATCAGAGTCACCAGACCGCGGTGCAGGCGGGCGTCACTCCACGTGAAGCTGGGGGACCAGAATCAGGGGTCAGGTCTCTGTGAAGCCTGGTTCCCATCGCCAGTCCCCTCCCGGGTCCCAAGGCAGGTGGGGTGACCTCAGACAGGTCCTGGCCTCTAGCACCTCAGTTTCCCCCTCTGTAGAAGGGGGACAACAGAGGTACAGGGCCGAGGGACAGATGTGAGGACCACATGAGTCAAGACACTGTCCTTTGGAGTCAGACTGGAGCTCACACCTGGGCTCTGCCTGGCCCCAGCCAGGAGCCCTTCAGCTGGAAAGAGTCAGGGTGAGTTTCCCGGCTCCCACAGGCTTGTCTTAAACTCAGCTGCTTCCCAGAAAGAGTGCCTTCATTAAGCACTTGCTGTTTGCCGGCCCTGGGTCTCCTGCCCCCTGCCTGCCTCAGCTCCTTCCTCCGTAACATGAAGCCCAAGTACAGGCAGACGCCAGCGAGGACATGGGTTCCTGTCCCTGCCTGTGGCCAGCGCGGAGAGCCTGAGAGCCGTGTGGTGGTGGGTGCTCTTGACCCCTGTCCCCACGGGGTGTGTTCGTAAATTCGCGGCTGCAGTCTTGGCGCAGCACATGCCCCGCAGACTCCTCCTGTCTCCCAGCCTCCTTGGAATGAAGCGAGACCCGGGCTCCGACCCCGGCTCAGGGACTCCTGGGTGTGTCACTTTTGCCCACCTGGAAGTGGGGTTGCCGTGGGAGATGTGAAGTCAGGCCCTCGGGGGGCGCGGCACACACAGTGGACGAGCCGTGGCCAGCATCGTGGGCGCTGCTCAGGCGTCCTCACCTGGGCGAGGTGACTGTCCTCGCTCCATTGAAGGTCGGCAGGTTGGGCCACCTTGCACCTTTTGCCACCTGCCCCCACCTATGACCTCACCCCAGAGCGGTCAGTGGGAACCCTGAGGGGTCTGTGAGGTCACCGCATTCCACTTCACAAAGACTTGTCGGGCCCTGGCGCTGGCCTGTCTCCGCCCCGAGGCCTCAAGAGCTTCCTGAGAGGGACCCAGAGCATTGGGACCTGACGCATCCAGTGGCCAGGACAAGGGGCAGAAGTCCTGTGGGTAGGAGTCCCAGGAGGTCATTCATTCAGCAATTCCCGGACGCCCAGGAAGCCCCCGGCCTGGCTTGGGCGCCGTCCCCGCCGCCAGGCCGCCATGGTCCTCGGCTGGCTGCTGCTTCTCATGATGGCTCTGCCGCCGGGCACCACGGGGGCCAAGGACTGCATCTTCTGTGAGCTGACCGACTCCACCAAGTGCCCTGGCACCCACATGCGCTGCGGGGATGACGAGGACTGCTTCACAGGCCACGGGGTGGCGCAGGGCGTGGGCCCCGTCATCAACAAGGGCTGCGTGCGCTCCACCAGCTGCGGCCGGGAGGAGCCGGTCAGCTACATGGGCCTCACCTACAGCCTCACCACCACCTGCTGCTACGGCCACCTGTGCAATGCCAGCCCGGGCCACACAGGCAGCACGACGGTGGCGGCCGCGGCGGGCCTGCTGGTGGGCTTGCTGCTTCTGCCACATTTGCCGTAGCCCTCTGGGAGGGCAGGGCCCGGGACCGGTCTCCCAGATGCCCCACCTTTCCCCCTTTCCCCCATTAAATGGCCAGAGGCCCTCGACGACCGCTTGTGGCCCCGGCTCCATCCATTCTAGGGCTGTCCCCCCGCAGCCCAGGGCCGGGAGGAGCACCCGGGGCCTGACTCGGTGGTGCCGGCCGGTGGCCTGTGAGCTTGACTGCACGACTGTATTTCATCGGTTCTAAGATGTGTGTATTTTTGCATTTCAATCAGGATACTTCTTTCCCTTGGTGGCACCTTAGAGTCTATGAAATATGACTAAAAAAAAAATCATCGTAAAAATAAATGACAGCTGACACTGATGGAGAACTCCTTCTGTTACGTGCCAGGCACCGTTCTTAAAAGCGTGTGTCCTGAGGAGCAGCAGCAGCCACACCTGGGAAATTGCCAGAAAGGCACAGTGGGGCCCTGTCCCAGGCCGGTGAAGGGGGTGGGCAGGAAGCTGTGTTTCAAGTCCTCGGAGTGACTCTGGTGCACATCAGGCTGAAAACCACTGTCCTGCACCGTGATCCTCAGCCGGCCATTTCTATGTCCCCAGGGCATGTGGCACTTTCTGGAGAAGTTTTTGGTTGTTATAACTGGTGTGTGTCTGTAGGGGGGTGGCGACCAACACCCACCAGGTCCAGGCGGGGGACACAGCACGGCACCCTCTAGTGCACCTGGCAGAACCCCCATAACAAAGATGCAGCCTAAAATGTGAGTGGTGTCTGTGTCGAGAAATCTTGTTCTAAAGGCACTAACCATTTCATCTCATGTCTGGAGGGGGGGGGGTGGAAATGAGGCACAGAGAGGTGAATCAAATTGCCCAACATTGCTCAGCTAGTACTGAACAGAGTTAAGACTTGAATCCAGGTCATGTAGCTCCAGGGTCCATGTCCCAGTTTTCCAGATTAGGAACTACAAAGGCCAAAGAAAGACTTCCCCAAGGCTACTAACGAGGCCAGCAGCAGGGCCAGAAGCAGTACTCAAGCAGGTCTGGCTCCAACCCCCCAGCTCACACCTCCTCTTCTGGGAAGGGTGTTTGGGCCCATTTTACAGATGACCTACCTGTAGGATCCTGAGATGACCCTGTCACCGTCGAGGAGCACGAACTTCTCTCGCACGCTGCCGCTCACCTGCCGTCGACAGCGGCTCTGGAAAGTGCAGCCCCGCACGATGCGGACGTCCAGGTTCTGTGGGGTCGGGGGGACGCCCTTGCTCAGGCCCACTCCACGGGCTGGGGTCTCTCCAGGCTGTTTCTACCTGGGTGGCCTGTGACCCTTAGAAGCTGTTCAAGGGTCCCCAGAGCCACTAGTAATAGAGCTTCAGGAGTTGCTTGCGGATACCCCTCCGTGGCCCAGGACCCCCCAGGAATGTCACCTCCACTGTCCCTCGTGTCTTGGGCACTAGGTCTCGGGAGATCCTCAGCTGGCATCTATCTCAGGGACCCAGGACCCCATGGAAAAGTCTTTCTGTGCTGCCCCAGAGCCGCGGAACGGGGCTGCCCAGGTCCCTCTGGCCCAGCCCCTACCTCTGTGGCCCAGGGGTTCACCCCCAGCTGCTGGGCCAGCACCAGGAAGGCAGGCAGCTGCTGGCCGTCCAGGAGCAGGTAGACGGGCACCCAGCGGCGCAAGGCGGCGTCGACCAAGTCCGAGAGCAGGTCTGGGTCAGTGAGGACATCCATGACCACGGCCACCAGCTGGGCACAGGGAGAGACCATATGGACATGTGGGTGGAGTCTGGGACTTGGGGGCCGCTCAGGGTGGCGGCTGACATCAGGGCACTAGGGGGTAAGATGCTCTGGAGGCTGGGGTTAAGGGCCTGGACTACCTGGGATACTCAAGGGGCTGAAAGGGAGTCCTCTGGACACAAACAAGAAACAGGCAGGCCTTCCTAAGAGCCCAGCCCCAATGGTCTAGAAAACGTCCATCAAAAATCACAAGTCGCTGGGTAGCACGCACCTGTGACTCAGGAGGCTGAGGCTGGAGGATGGCAAGTTCAAGGCCAGTCTCAGCAAAAGGAAGGCACTAAGCAACTCCGTGAGACCCTGTCTCTAAAATACAAATAGGGCTGGGGATGGGGCTCAGTGGCCAAGTGCTCCTGAGTTCAATCCCCCGTACCCACCCCCTCAAAAAAAGAAAAAGAAAAAGATCCTGACTCAAAATAAAAATAAAAAGGGCTGGGAGTTGAACCAGGTGTGGTGGTCCATGCCTGTAATCCCACTGGCTCAGGAGGCTGGGGCAGGAGAACCATGAGTTCAAAGCCAGCCTCAGCAATGTAGCAAGGCCCTAAGCAACTCAGCAAGACCCCGTCTCTAAATAAAATATAAAAAGGGCTGGGATGTGGCTCAGTGGTAAAACACCCCTGGGTTCAATCCCCAGTACCACTGAGAAAAAAAAATGAAAATACATGTCTGCAACCATGAACAGCCCTTGAACCGTGGCACTACGGTGCCCAAGTGTCCACTGGGTCAGTGGCCGGGCGCCCTTGGAGGGCACCGTGGGTAACTGGGCCCTGGGTCCTCTGGAATGGCCCGGGTGCTGGGGGCAGGAGGGCTGACTTGCTGGGCCACTAAGGTGTGCTTTGGGAACCCCAGCATGCTGATGACCGGATCTTAAAACAGAACAAGGTGGTGACAAACCCTGACTCGCCAGTCAGATGGCCTGGGTTCCAGTCCCCACTCAGCCACTGACAGGCCCATGCCTCAGTTTCCCCATCTCTTCAATGGTCATAATGGTCCCCACCTCAGAGGAAGACCATGCCCACTAAAAAGCATCCTCCAGCCTCAGCCTCCTGAGTCACTCTGAGACTGCCTCCGGCAAATGGGCTTTCTGGGGCTGCAGGGGAGACGCTGGGCCTTCCCAGGGGCTGGGGGTGGGAAGCTGCTGGCTCGGTGGTGGGAGATAGGATGCACGACTGGGATGGAGGGACAGTCATAATTTGGTTTGAGGCTCATGGCTGTCTAAAGGGAAAGAGCAGGGACCCCCGCCCCCCGCTGCTGCCCACATCAGATCTCTGTCATAAGGATGAGGCCCAGGGTGGGCCTCCCGGGCTCTAGGGCTGCGAGTCCTGCCAGGGCCCAATCCTGGAAATGGCATGTGAAGGTGTCCAGGTCTGAGGAATGGCCCAGGCCCCTGGGGTGCTCACCTTGTGGGCAGCTTGGATTTCCTGGCGCACCAGCTCCTTGAGAGGCGGGTGGCCCTCGCCAGGGGGCTGTGTGTACAGCTGTGCTCGGGTGATGCCCTTCCAGGAAGTGTCCTCTGGCCAGCCAAGTCGCAGCACAGGTGCTGGTTCCTCTGACTGGCCAGGCCAGTAGGTCAGACTGCCCCCGTCCCCTTCGGTGGTGGTGGCTCTTTCTGCTGCCCCGCCGGGCTCTTGCCTGGCTACTGTCCAGTCTTCAGCAGCCGCCGCCAAGCCCTGGACCTCGTCCCCGCTCAGGAAGGGCCGCAGCCCCTCCTGTTGTACACAGGCCTGGAAGGCCTCTGCCCCCTTGCTCAGCAGGGCTTCCAGCGCCAGCCGCTGACCCTCAGAATACAAGAAGCCAGGGGACCTCACCCCAGCCCCTAGTTCCTCCTCTTCCAGTGCTGCCAGCTGGGAGGCTGCCATGGGGCCAGGTGGGTGGGACGAGCGTGAGTGTCTGCGTCCCCGAGGCTCTGGCCGTCTTTGGAGGATTGACCATCTGGGGTCTCCTGACAGACTGTGAGGGCACCTGAGGCCTCCAGGGCAGCCCCGCAAATGTCCACAGCTCCCTGCGCTGTCACTGGCTCACAGTCCCCACAATTGGACTGTCCAGTGAACTGGCTACCTGACGACTCAGGGTGCTGAGAAGTACCTGCCAACACTGTGCCCCTGTGGTCTTCTCTGACCTCCAACCAGCTACCAACAGTCTGGGTGGCCAGCTGGCATCAGGAGGCCATCAGCTAGCCTCTCTGCTGGACCACACGACCTCCAGCCTGCCAGCCACAAGATGTCTCCACCTTGTCAGACTGACCACCCGGCTGCCCTGGTTGAAGGTCTGGCTAACTGCCTGACCATTTCTGGGAAACAGGTTGTCCGCCTGTGCCTGACCACCCAATCTCACTAACCAATGGCACAGTGGGTTGCAAGTGTGAATCTGGCCAAGAGCATGTCTAGCTGACCACCTGGCTGCTTGACAGACACCTGTAGCTTGACTGATGATACCTGTCAGCTGATGGAGCCCCCAGCTGTCCCCTGTCCAGTCTCTCTGCCTGGACGAGCCTCTCTGGTCCATCAGTCGGCTGGCTCACCAGTGCTCACTGGCTCACCATCCTGGACGCCTCCCAGCCCTGGAGAAATGCGCCTCAGCCCCAAGCCGAGGCACTGCTCCTTCCCCTGGGGAACTGGCCAATCTCTTCCCTACAATGGGGCACACCCTACTTCTGGACCCTCATACCCCAGCCCCTGAGGCTGCTGCAGTTAGGGCTGAGGTGCTCTGAAACCTGCCCATGATCTTGACAACCCACCTATGAAAGCAGACTGGCCAGACGTAGCTTCTCAGGCTGGCTGCTGCCGCCTGTGCCTTGGCCCCAGAGCCGTCCCCACCCAAACTGACCCCTGCATGGACTTCTGCCTCAGTCTGACCAGCTCACCACTCACTTCTTCCTGGACAGGGACCAAGCTCTATCCTGTCTCCCTTCCCAATTCTCCCAGGATTCTACAAACCAGCTGCCCCACCTTTCAGTCCCTGGGCCTGCTTTTCTTTAGACCACAGCAAGGGCTCCTGCAGAGGACGAGTAAAGCTGGCCTTGTTCAACCAGAGTCTCTACCCCCTTCTTCTTGCCTTCTCAGAGAGCCAGTATCAGGGCTGGAGACCTCCTTTTCACTCCTGTTCTTCCGGGCCTTTGTCAGGCTTTAACCTGGGACCTGGGAACCCAGCCCCTTATGTAAACACAGGGAGGGACCACACAGGGGCACTTGGCAGCGAATGGCCAGCTGCCACTCAGGCTTCCGGTTACCAGGAGAGAGGGCAAAACCTCACCTGCTCCCAACCCCCACACTGCAGCCCCACCCCCTAGTGCCAGGGAGATCCAGGGGAGGCAGCATGGCTAATTCTAGGAGGAAACAGGAAAACAAGACACCTGGGAAGGAGTGGGGGCTGATTCCAGTGGGTAGAAGGTCCAACTGGCCCAGTAAGGTACTCTGCGCATGTGCCAGGAAGGCAGAGAGGAAGGGCTCCTCCTGGAGGCTGGTCTTCTTGGAGGACCCAGCTTCAAGTCCCCAGACCAGATGCATTCCCACTCACAGGTGCCTTCGGCTGGTCCCCACTCTGCTCCCCATTAATAACACAAGAAGGCCATCAAATTCAAAGCCTCTTTATTAACAGTAAATCTGGGGTTAGTTTTTGTACCCACGGCTGGCCCTCCGACCTCTGGCACGCTCGAATTTCCTGCCCTTGGAGCGGACATAGGGTCTGTGGAAAGAAGAGACAGGGTCAGGTGAAGCCTCCTGCTGTGCTGCACAGAGAGCCAAGAGGAAGAGCCTGCACCAGGACCTCAGGATCCCGGCCTGAGCCCCACAGCGAGGGTGTGAAATGTAAGCCCCAGCTCCCCAGAAGATGCCCCCACTGAGGCCTGTGGCCTGGTCAGCCTGCACTTAACCCAGGGAACTGCGGGCCGAGCAAAGGGAGGGCAGCTAAAAGGCATCGAAGCCAGACCTGCAGGGGACCCTGATACTCACTTAGTGTGGCTGTGTGGGGTCCCAGGAGCCTTGCCAAAATGCCGGTACACCTCTCGGCCCTTGCGAGGACCTGGGGAGAGGAAGAAGGAATCAGGCAGGGACAGGTAAGAGCCACTGTGCCTTTGGCCTGCACAGGGCTTGAAGACCATGAGGTGCAGGCCTGGGCGTGTCTGACCTCCCAGACCCAGGAGGGTGAAGGCCAGTGCACCTCACCAAACCCCAACAGGTGCCAGCAAGCATTACTTACCAGACAGTAGGACCGTGCCACGGCCCTTGGGGGAGTCCAGGGCCAGTTGGTCAAAGGTGAGGATCTTGCCCCCAGCCTTGAGGATTCGGGTACGGGCTCGGCTGGTCACCCGCAGTGCGCACACCTGGGGGAAACAGGAGGGAGGGGCTCAAGTCTCCTGTAGGGAGACCTAGGGACTGCATCCACTGCCCTGGCCCAGCACAAGCATGGCTGCTGGTACCACCACCAGGAGCTTCCTGGATTGACAGCTGCTTTTTTTTTTTTAATGTGGTGCTGGGGATGGAAATCAGTGCCTCACCTGTGCCAGCAAGTGCTCCACCACAGGGCCCCAGCCCTTAACCTCTCAGAACCTCCGACCACATCTCATGTATTTTGGAGGAATAAGGAAACTGGGGAAAGCATGATTTAAGGATGTGGTATGCAAATGACAGAAGCGGCAAAAGAAAAAACTCAAGACTTGAGCACAGGCTCACCCCAGAACCAGCAGCAGGCCAGCAGTCTACAGCGGAGCCCAGAGGGGCTCGCCGAGGACTTCCACCACAAACGACCACTCTATCCTATCCTAAAGGCCACCAGGACAAGTGTGGTGCTGGTCCCACCCACAAGAGTGACAGAGGTGGCATTACAACAGACCAAGAAATCGGGTCAGGTCTGAGAACAGTTTCCTGAGCCAGAGCCCCAAGCGCCACTCACCTTCAGTTTGGGCACCTCCTGAACACGAACATCATCTGTTATGGTCCCCACGACCACAGCTGTTTTGTTTTCTCGGCCAGGAAGCTTCATCTTCCGGATCTTGAGAGGCATACGAAAAGTTGTTCTGGTGTTTAAATCCCATCCCCCACTTCGGGTATCCCAAGGACCGTGCCCTCCAAATGGACTAACCTGCCCATACCTCACCTCCCAACTAGAACAGAAGAAAAAGTCCAAACAGAGACATCTCACCTGGTGAAGGTGTGTGCTAGGGACGAAACCTAGGACCTGGCATGCTAGGCAAGCATTCTACCACTAAACCCCGAGCCCCAGAGATACGTGAAAGTAAGGCTAAGACGCTGGGCCAGCTGTCCACAGACACTTGATTTTGACAGAGGTTCAGAGCTGGGCACCCACTGCTGGCTGCCTGGACTCAGGGGATGCTCCAGCACCCCCTCCAGAGCCAGCCCCTGGCCCAGACACTCACCATCCGGGAGAGGGAGAGAGGTGGCCTGTTGGTGCGACTCATGAACAACCTCTTCAGTACCACTTGGTTGAAGGTAGAATTGGTTCGTCTAGCCAGAAACCTGTACAACTGTAGAGGATCGGGAAGACAGTGAGAATGTGGTGTAGCCAGCAGCAGCACCCTCCACTTTCAAGTGAAGGAACAAACAAATGATTCAAGGTAAAAAGGCTCCCCAACCCTCAAGATTCTCGACTGCCTCAGAACTCAAATTTCCAGATTGGGGAGTGACAGGTCCAGGCAAGGGCGACTTCCCCACCCCACCCCTTCCTGGCCAGGGACACAGAACACCCCCTCCCCATTCCAAGATATACTCAATCCAGACCTGGGGTAGCCCTGCCCAAGGATCTCAGACCCAACCTCACCTTGACCAACAGCCTTAGGTAGATGTCCTGGCTCTTGGGCTCCTTGCGCCGAACCTTTCGGTCCTTGTTATGGCGTATGTCGACTCCCTATAGGGGTAAGGGGAAGCCATGGTTCCAGTTCTGAATCTGATCACTTCATAGACAGCCTCAGTTGCTACTTATTTTCCAGACTGAGCAGGGACCCAGGCTCTGGGGACAAGAGCTCAAATCCATGTCAGTTCTGAGCCCTCTCTGTAAGGTGGGCATCATCTGAAGACCACTGAACCTCTAAGGATCTCAGTACAGTAGCCACCCAAAATTTTAAGTCGTTACAAGCTGTATCTTTGGAAGGACATAATATATGCCTATAATCCCAGTTGAGACAGCAGGCTGGCAATTTTGAGGCCAGCATGGGCAACAGAGAGACACTAAAAAGAGTGGGGAATGTAGCTCAGTGGCAGAGAGCCCCTGGGTTCTCCAGTATACCCCCTCCCAAAGCAAAACAAAAACCAAACAATGGACTCTCTTACCGGGAGGATAATCAAAAATAAGCCAATGGCAAGCTCTAAGTAATAACAGCGGTGAACCTTTATAAATAAGGACCGCAAAAGCAGTTATCTCCCTCTAACAACTCTCTGAAGTAGTTTACTCCCACTTTAGACCCAAGAATCTAGGGAAAGCCCAAATTTCCCAATGCATCCCTACCTGCCCTTCTCGGACTGTGTGATCGTTAGTAACTAAGCATCAGCACTTCCTCTGTGCACGACCCCGTGATGTGCACGGCCAGTAACTAGTGACTGACTTCTTCCCAACTCCCTCATCTCCAACACAACACTACTATGTTCCCAAAGAAAAAAGAAAAGACACTGGGGCGCAGGCCGGAAAGCACGAGCACGAGGTGGGTAGAGGACTAAGACTCAATCCGAGGCCCGTCCGGACCGAGTCCCACGCATGAGATTCTCGACTGCCCCAGAACCCAAGTTTCCAGACTGGGGAGTGACAGGTCCAGGCAAGGGCGGCAAAGGCAAGCAGTTAAAAGTGGCTACGACGAAGCTACCTAGGACCGATTCCTGGCTCGGCCATTCCCTGGCTTGGGGCGTCGGTCCACCGCTCAGCCGCCCAGCACCTCATTTTGATCATCACTGCAACGGGGGCAGTAACACAGGACCAAGGGACTCTTAACCCATTCCCGGTCTCCAGGACATCAGAACAGCCCTCCAGCCTCAAAAGTTGCCTCCTTCGGGCACCCACGGCACCCCTCCCGCAAGCCCCCACCCCAAGACCGCCGAGGATGGCAGCGGATAGGCAGGCCTTGGACGTCGCAAGGCTCACTCACCATGATGGCGCCTACAGCTCGGCCTAGTCCGGAAAGAAAGAGCAACGCCGAGGTGGGCGGGGAAAGCCTCCAGCGCGCAGCGTCCTGGTGGCGTCACACGGGAGCGACACGACGCTCTACCAGGGACAGGTCTTCTCTATGGTGTTTCGGAAGGCTGGCGAAAAGGACAAAAACTGAAGAGGGCGGAGGAACAACCAAAGAGAAACAAGCACGACGTTGAGGAGAGAAGGGCCAGCACGTCGGGGGCCTCTCTGGCCCTACCCGGTCGCTGTTCTCGATATTCTTCCGGAAAAAAGAGACTCGAGAGTGAGAGAGATGCGTGGATCTAGGAGGAGGCATCGCGCGGTGACGCTCTGGCCTGACGCCGAGAGCCTCTCTGTGGCTCCCGGAGGACCTGGCGGGCCGAGTATTGGAGGTGAGGAGGCGGGGCTGGCGGGTCTCGTCTGGGCCTGGAGAAAACTCTCACCCCACGCTTCCGGCGTTTCCTTAGATTCGCGGCCGCCCTATCTATCTCGCGCTGAACTTGTAGCGCAGCCGAAGCTCGGGAAGTCCTACTAGATATCTAACCCGAGATCTTCTTGCTGCAGCTCAATCTGTGGCACCTTATATTTCCGCCTTCCGATCCATCATCTCCCCCTGACCCTTCCTCAGCTTTCCCGTCACGGAGGGTCTGCTTTTCTCAACCAGAGAGGTTCAGCTGGTCCAGCGGTTTCGGTGTGAGGGATGTGCAAGGTACTGGTGTGTAGAGAAGGCGCACTAAGGCTCGCCTTGAAGGGTTGAGTGGAGAAGAAATAGGTGACAAGCTTCTGAGAGAGACAGGAGTGACCTAGAGAGGGGGAGATTAGAGAGGATAAAGAATGGAGCCCCCATGGATTGGGATGAGGATAGAGGGATGGAGACCCAGCGGATGGGAAGGGAAAGATGAGGGGGTGGAGACCCCCAGAAAAGTTCAGATGTAGAAAGATGGCAAAACGGGCTTGCCAGGGTGTGACCCTATTCAAATTCTGGCTCTGCTACTTATTAATGGTATGCCCTTGGGCAAGTCACTGTGCTGCACTCCCCTTATTGAGAAAAACAGGAACGATAATAGGTCTGGCATACAGGGTGTTTACCAGGATTACATAAGTAAATAAAAGTGCCTAAATACATAAGTGCTCAATAGAAATTAGCCTTTCCTCCTGTTATTAGCACTTGTTGGATACAACCTGGCCCACTGGTTGGGGCAGTGACAAAGCTGACCATCTCTGACCCACTGAGCCTGGCAGGGCCTCTTGCATTCTGCTGGATGCTTCGACCCACTCTCTTCTCCTCCTCAGAGCCCCGGGCCAGGCCTGGACAGTGAGGCCTGACTCCTTGCCCAGACCACCCTCCTATGGCTTCAGACCCAGGGCCAGGGTGCTGTTGATGTAACAGAGCAGAGGGGCAGCAGATGAATGGACACCTTCAACCAGAGGAGCAGCAGAACCAGGTAAGCGTCCAGCTGAAAGCCAAGATCATTTACTGCGGACCCCCCCCCATCAGTGATCTCCGCTTTCCCTCCAAGCAGGTGTAAGTAGCTTCCTCCCCATTTCCCAGACAGGGCAGCTGACGCTGAGCAATCAGAGGCTTCCCAGACTGTGGGCTGGAGGCCCCCTTTTTTCCTTCCTCCTTCCACATCTTCCCTTTTTTTTTGTGTGTGTGTGTGTGTGTGTGTGATGTGACCTCCGGGTCTTAACCTCAAACTAGTCAGCATCTGCTTTTTTCTCCCCGGGTTCAGAGCTCAGTGCTGCGTCTTCCTATCTCTCGATCTTACGTCTCTGTCTCTGTCCCTCATTATGTATCGCATCATCTGGGACTGTTGCTACTGTGGTGTGAGGTACATTTGTTTAGCAATAAATGAACTTACTCCTCCACTTGTCTCTTTATAGAAAGTTTTGTCCCGGGTCTCATTCAGCGTATGTCTCTGCGCTTCTGTCTTATGCTAGGTCTCGTGACACCTCCTGGCCTTGCTCTGTGGATTTAACATGTCTTTGGCCCCTGTCTCTCTTGGTCTCAGCCCAGGAGCCTCTGGGTTTCCAACATTCTTCCCCTTCCTCACCCCTGACCCAAAAGTCTCTCTTTGTGTCTGTCTTGCCATGTGACTGGGTCATTTCCTGGGCAGATGTTTATCCCCTGCTGCCTCCACTCTGGTTGGAGTCCAAAGTAAACAGTTTGTGAAATAAGGAGCCTCTGTTCCCTGGTCTTCACTTCAGAAGAGTCTGTCTCCACCTGTCATTGGCTGGGAGTTCTGTGCCCTTACTTTGCACATTCTCAATCCCACCGTCTTGTCTGTCTGTCTGTCTGCTTTTCTCTATGCCTGTCTTGAATGTAACTGAACCAAGCCTCTCTCCCTTCCTCCCAGCTCCCTCGACCCCGCCTCCCGGGCTCTGCCTTGCTTGCGTCTAGGTGTCTGGAACTCGCACATCTTTGGACTCCGGTTGCCAGTGTTAGGGTCACGGTCTCTCTCCAGCTAACGGCTTCCTCTCCACGCCCCTTTTCTTTTGTAAACTCAACGACTGGGACGGTCTACTTGCCTTCAACAAAGAAGGCGTCCGCGGCACTGCCGGAGAGGCCGCGAAGTCACCTCGGCTGCGCGCGCGCCCTCACCTACCATGGCGCCCGGCCCGGCCGAGCGCGACGCCCCGCCCAGCTCTCGCGCTCGCCGGCGGCCGGCTCCTGCGCCTCGCTGGCGAGCCCGCTGGTCCCGCCCCCGTGCGCTCTCATTGGAGCGCCTGGGGCCGGCCGCGCGGCCATTGGTCGAGCGCGTGCACACCCTCCCCCCACCCCTAGGTCTGATGGGGGGCGGTTGTGCAGACTTGAGGGGCTGGCTGCTGGAGGACCCGGCGTGTGAGGAGGGTGCGGGGTCGGGGCAGGGACCCGAGTCTGGGGAACCGGTAAACCGAGAGGAACCTACACGCTGACCGGGACCGGGGTGCTCGGGTGGGAGATGGAAGTGGAAAACCAGGACTGCCCCTGAGGGATCCAGGGTTGGAAGCCCAGGCCTGGGACCGGGTCCGCTAGCCGAGTAGGGATGAGGGCCGGGAACCGAGGGGCCCAGGAAGACGTAGGCCTACGGACGGGGAGCCTCAGGGTGGAGACCCAGGCCCAGGAGTGGAGGACATGCAGGGCTCTGCTCGAGCTGATCTGAGGCTCCAGTAGAGAGCCATTGCAGGTTTGGGGGTGGGGCAGACACCCTGGGCCTAAGGGGGCCGCCCTGGGCAGGGGGCAGAGGTGGTTTCTGAGGACGATTCCACAGACTGGGGTGTGTCTGGGACTGCTGTAAACTTGGGAAGGCGAGAAGCAGCGTAGGCAGGTGGCTGGGCGGGACAATGGAGAACAAAGGTGAGCAGGAAGGAGAAGATGGGAGGCAGAAGCTGGGCAGAGGACAGGGGAAGGGACCTCAGTCCTGGCTCCTACCCTCTCCCTGGAGAGCAGGTGGCCAGACACCCAGGTCAGTGCTGGAAGACAAGCTGTCCACCCCTGTCCCTTCTGTGGCTTGCATGTGGCTCTGCTGTGACCCCCTGGTCATATTCTGCCCACTGCCTCTCATGTTTGCCCACCCCCCTTCTAAATGCCTGCTGCCTTTCCCCTTGGGGTGAGAGACTCTTAATCTCCAAGCATCTGTCATCAGTCTTGGTTTCATCTCATTGTAACTCTTTGTCTCTCTCAGTGTTTCTCTGGTTTTCAGAGTTTGTCCCTCTTTTTCTTTATGTCTGAGATCACTGTCCACCTGGAGATGACTCAATGTGCTTGGGTGTGTGGGGGTGTGCCTTTCTCTGTCTTTACATGTTGATTTCTGCATGTATCTCCTCCGTCCAAGCCCCCTTCTGCGCCTTAGTTTTCTTATTATCATCCAATGCACTATAATTTTACTGTTTGATCTTGTTTTGTCTTCTGATTAAAATATAAACCCCGTGAAGGTAGGAATTTTTGCCTGTTTTGTTCCCTGCTATATTTGCTGGGCCTAGCTCCATAACTGGCACTTTGAGGTTCTGAGTAATTACTTGGGGAATAAATAAAGGAATGTTTGTGTGCCTGGGTCCCCCAGCCTTTCAAGATGTTGGCCTTCCTGCCCAACTGATCTTTGCCCTGTGTTCTGTCTCTCCACGCTGTCTTGTGCCTGTCCATCTCTGATACTCCTCTCCCACCTGCCACTCCCCTTCATTGTCTCCTCCTACCCACAGGCCCTACCCCTCCCACAAGGGGGTCCTGGACTCTGACCCTTGCCCCCCCTCCCTCCCCACAGAGGCCAAAGCAGGAGCTGACCTGGAGCTGGGGACACGGGCCTAAGAACTCCCTGGACAGGGCCGAGGCTATGGCCCCTCCACCACCACCACTGGCTGCCAGTACCCCACTCCTACATGGCGAGTTTGGCTCCTACCCAGCCCGAGGCCCGAGATATGCCCTCACCCTCACATCACAGGCCCTGCACATACAGCGGCTGCGCCCGAAGCCTGAAGCCCGGCCCCGGGGTGGCCTGGTCCCACTGGCTGAGGTCTCAGGCTGCTGCACCCTGAGGAGCCGCAGCCCCTCGGACACAGCAGCCTACTTCTGCATCTACACCTACCCTCGGGGCCGGCGTGGGGGCCGGCGAAGAGCCAGCCGCACCTTTCGGGCAGATGGTGCAGCCACTTATGAGGAGAACCGTGCTGAAGCCCAGCGCTGGGCTACTGCCCTCATGTGTCTACTTCGAGGATTACCACTGCCTGGGGACGGGGGTGAGGCGCTGGGCAGCCACTGTCCTAATCTCCCTCTGTGGTGTCTCTGGGTCTTTATGGGAAGAGTGAGAGACAGGGATGGGCTACCAAGGGAGCAACACTGGCAGAGGGACATGAGCGATGTCCCCTGTTCTCTGGCTAGATTCTGTCTCTGTCCTCTCCCTCTCCTGTGGGTCTTGACCACAGATGAATCAGAAGCTCCTGGGCTGGTGAGAGCAGCAGACTGAGACATGAACAGTCACCACCATGAGTGTACAGGTGCCAACACAAGTCCCCTGAGGCATCCGAGGCGCCTAGAGGTGGCATCTAATCCAGCCTGTGGAGGGTCAGAGATTTTCAGCAGAGTTCTGCCCCCCAGGGTTCTCCAGGGTTCCCCATCTAGTGAGTTTTCTGTGGGCCTCCAGGTCCTGCTGGCTGCCTGGGGCCCCTGCGGGTGGGGCCTGTGGAGTAATCTGATGCTGGGTAACAGGTGTTCTGGGATCTCAGCTCCTTTGTCCTCCCACATATGTGTCCAAAGGGCACTTGGTTTCACACCCAAGCCCTTTGTCTCAGCACCTGGGAGGGGGTGGGGCTGCATACTTGGGTCTGGCCAGGTGAGGATGAGAGGAGAAGGCTCCCAGGTGCCAGCCCACACCATCCCAATGCGGGGGTTTGAAGGAACTGTTTCCAGACTGAGGGGGCTGGGTGTCTGGCCTCTGTAGACCCTACCCTCTCTCTGCAGAGATCACCCCTGAGCTTCTGCCACGGCCACCCCGGTTGCTCCTATTGGTTAATCCCTTCGGGGGGCGGGGTCTGGCCTGGCAGTGGTGTAAGAACCACGTGCTGCCCATGATCTCTGAAGCTGGGCTGTCCTTCAACCTCATACAGACAGGTAAGGGAGCCCCAGGGTGGGAGGGGGGGGCTGGTGGCTACGACTCCTGGGCTCTGGGGGAGGAGACAGCCCACCTAACCTCTGGGTTTTCCTCATTAGAACGTCAGAACCATGCCCGGGAGCTAGTCCAAGGGCTGAGCCTGAGTGAGTGGGATGGCATCGTCACCCTCTCGGGAGATGGGCTGCTCTTTGAGGTAAAGGGGAGCACCCTAACCCTGAGCCTTGGGGGACTACAGGAGACCAGGACCCAGGCAGCTGGTCTCTCCCCCTCTAGGTGTTGAACGGGCTCCTAGACCGCCCTGACTGGGAGGAGGCCGTGAAGATGCCTGTCGGGATCCTCCCCTGCGGCTCCGGAAATGCTCTGGCGGGGGCAGTGAACCAGCATGGGGGGTAGGTTGGCCACGCCTGCTGGGGAGGCTGAGGCAATCTGAGGGGAGGGGGGAGCCTTTCTGGAGATTCTGGGAACCCGAGTCTCCCCCTCAGCCAAACCCCCTGTAAAGCAGGTCAGCCTGGCTGTGGTGCCCATGTCCCCTCCAGACAGTTCAGCCAGCTTGTTCCCAGCAGTATTCCTAGTAGCTAGAACTGCCTGGCACAGGGGAGGCATTCACTGGACACTTATCAGATGTCAGGAGGTGGCCATGAGGCTGCGGTGGGCCCAGGGCCCTGGCTTCGCTGCCCTTCCCTTTGCCCTGTGCTGCTGCCTTTCCTCTTTCCCATGGTGCTCTTCTCCCCTCTCTGGCTGTGAAGGTTTGAGCCGGCCCTGGGCCTAGACCTGCTGCTCAACTGCTCACTGCTGCTCTGCCGCGGTGGTGGCCACCCACTGGATCTGCTGTCTGTGACACTGGCCTCAGGTTCCCGCTGTTTCTCCTTCCTGTCTGTGGCCTGGGGCTTCGTGTCGGACGTGGACATCCAGAGCGAGCGCTTCAGGGCCCTGGGCAGTGCCCGCTTCACACTGGGCACAGTGCTGGGGCTCGCCACACTGCACACCTATCGAGGACGGCTCTCCTACCTCCCTGCCTCTGTGGAGCCAGCATCGCCCACGCCTGCCCACAGCCTTCCCCGAGCCAAGTCAGAGCTGACGCTGACCCCAGAACCAGCGCCACCCATGGCCCACTCCCCCTTGCATCGCTCAGTGTCTGACCTGCCCCTGCCCCTGCCCCAGCCTGCCCTGGTCTCCCCTGGCTCACCTGAGCCTCTGCCTGTACTGTCTCTCAATGGTGGAGGCCCAGAGCTGGTGGGTGACTGGGGTGGGGCTGGGGATGCTCCTCTGTCCCCAGACCCGCTGCTGCCCTCACCCCCCAGCTCTCCCAAGGTAGCTTCGCTCTCACCCATCACAGAAGGGCCCCCTGAAATGCCAGCCTCCTCTGGCCTCCCCCCTCCCACCCCTGGTGCCCCAGCGACCTCTACCTGGGGGCCACCGGACCACTTGCTGCCTCCCTTGGGCAGCCCATTGCCCCCAGACTGGGTGACGTTGGAGGGAGACTTTGTGCTTATATTGGCCATCTCTCCCAGCCACCTGAGCGCTGACCTGGTGGCAGCTCCACATGCACGCTTTGATGACGGTCTGGTGCACCTATGCTGGGTGCAGAGCGGCATATCACGGGCGGCGCTACTGCGCCTTTTCTTGGCTATGGAGCGTGGTAGCCACTTCAGCCTGGGCTGTCCGCAGCTAGGATACGCTGGGGCCCGTGCCTTCCGCCTCGAGCCACTCACGCCTCGCGGCCTGCTCACAGTGGACGGGGAACTTGTAGAGTACGGGCCGCTGCAGGCGCAGATGCATCCAGGCCTCGGTACTCTGCTCACTGGGCCTCCTGGCTGCGCGGGGCAGGAGCCCAGAACCTAATCTAGCTTGGATCCCGCTAGGGGTGGGGCCTTAGGTAGAAGGTGTGGCCTGACTACTGAGTTGGGACGGGGCTCCCAACTGCGAGATTAATCCCGCCTCCGGGGAACCAGAACTGCTGCTGGAGGGTGGCCCGCCGTCCCGAGGATAGTGCCTGACCAATGAGGGTGGGACCTGGCGCCTGGGCTCGGGCTGCTGCTGGCGGGGCTCAGTTACGACCCTCGCCTCCGGCTCGCTGAAGGCCAGGGCGACTGAGGGCAGAGACTACCTTAAGCGTCGCCCAATGACGGGAGCTGGGAAAGGCCTTAGTTCATCGGCCAGTCAGGGCCCGGTTCTCGCCCTATCCACTCCGGTGCCTCCACTTAACTGGCCAATCAGCCCGGGAGGGGCAGGTTCCCCAGGGCCGTCGTTCAGATTTGCACTAATGTTCCTCCTTTCCCCCGCTGGTGGGGGCGGGGAATTCATTTCCTCTGTTCTGTGTCTTGTGCGTCCCGTCCCCAATTTAAAAAGCAATTGAAAAGGTCTATGCAATAAAGGCAGCCGCTTCATTCCTCTAGACCTTCGCCCTTCCTTCATCTGACAGCCCAGACGAGGCCCTTAATGCAGCTCTATTATGGACGGCAGCCCGGGTGGGCCTGGGCCAGTGTGACCTGCTGGTCTGGAACCGGGGCCAGATAGCTGCCTTGTCCCCACAACAGCTGGCTCTAGGGTTCTCAAGATTTATTCAGGATCGTGTTAACGGAGGCGGTGGGAGGATGGGGTCCCCGACGTGCCCGGGGCACACACAGGACCCTCCCCGCCCCCGCGAGGGAGGGGGGAGGCTCGCTTTTTCTTAAAAATATAAATGTATTTATCTGCATCGTCACGGTCCCTGGGGCACCCAGCTGGCCAGCCCGTGGGCCACAGGGCGGGGAGGGAAGAGGGCGCGAGTCTGAGCAAGAAAGAGGGCTCTGCCAGATGGGGGTGGGGGCAGCCTCACAGAGCCCCATGTTGGGCCTGGTAGCGGGACAGCACCGCGCGGTAGTGGGACAGCTCCTGGCGGACAGACACCACCTCCTGACGCAGCAGGGCGTTCTCCTTCTCCAGGAAGGCCGCCCGCACTGAAATCTGGTTTTCCTTCAGCCGCCGGGCATCGCGAGACCGCTTGGCTGCCTCATTGTTCTTGTACCGTCGGCTCCAATACTTCTCGTCCTGGGAGTGGAGGGGTGGAAGGGCACTGAGACCCAGCAAGATAACAAGGGAGGAGCAGCTTCTAAGACAACCCTGCCCCAGGGCTGCTTCTTGCTCAGCGGAGGAGCCTAACCCACACCCAGTCTCTGCTAGGGGCAGGGGTGTCTGCCCTCCTGGGCCCAGGCCCCTAACAGGCTAAGGTATGAAATAAACTCCTACCCTCAAGCAACCGGGTTCCAGGTCTCCACTGTGGAAAACACACCCCACCCCTCCCCATTTGTCAAAGGCCTGCAGTTAGGTCCTGGTTGCTATGGATTATTGTTCCCTAGCAACGGGGAACAGGAACAGGGCTTCAGGGGTATGAGGTCTTATCCCAGTGAAGAGCACTGGCCTTTACATCATTTTTTTCCAGATCCTGGTTACTAAAGAAAGTCCCCCACCCCAACCCAGGGTGGATGGGGTTTAGAGTCTCATAAAATCCTTCCAGAGCTAGGCAGCTTTTGACCTGGTTGCCAAGGCAACTTCATCCCTCCTCAGCAAAGAGTGTTGAGATCTAAATGATCCAAATGATTGTGGGTAGTCTCTGACCTGCTGACCTTGAATTGCCAGGCAGCTGCCTCTTCCCCAACAGGATCTGGTTGATAGGCCCCTTAAGAAAGGGGCCTATCCTGAGACTTCCCCAGAGGATTATACCCAGGGTCCTCCAGTCCTGGAATCTGGTTGCTAAGGAGAACCACTCTTTAGTAACAAGGCTTTCTAGCTCAAGGAGATGCTTCCCTCAGCTCCCATTTAATTAAAACCTAGTTCCTGCTTGCTAGGGCACATCTAGTCCCTAGCAACAGGGACCTGAAGCAAGAAAAACACACTGGTCTTGATTGGGCTTCTAGGCCCATCCCTAGTGATGGTTTCTCACCCAAGGTCCCTGCAAAGCCTTGTGAGAGATGCATACGCATCTCTTGATAGCAGAAAACCCATCAGTGGCAAAGCAGTGCTAGAAAGAGGCAGTCCAAATCCAAATCACCGCAAATCAGAAGGTGGCCCTGGTTACTAAGGGCACCTCAGGCCCCTCACCGATGAGAGCATCAGTCCCAGGGAGTAAGAACTGCAAAGGCTGGCAGCATCTATGTCCTAGACAGATGCAATTGCTGTGAAGGATGCCCCTAATTGGATCAAAGATTCAGCCCCAGCCTGGCTGGCTGCTCAGGAGAGACAGGTTGATATGCTAAGGAAGGCTGTTCTTGGCAAATGGGCCTCCTGGAACTTGAACCATGCCCCATTGAGGGCTCTGGGTCCAAGCGACCAGAGAACCTCCAAGTCCACACAACCAGAACAAGTACAGCTGTCTTGTATGACTCTGTACCCCATAATGATGCTGTCTTCATAAGTCTCAAGCCCAAATGCCTTCCCCATTATGCTCTCTGGTCAAAGTGAACTCATCTTTGCAGCCTGGACAGCCCAAGAGCACATTCCAGTGAGAAGCTCAGGCCAGCTTGGACAGGACCATCCCTGGCTGTGGGCTTGTCCCAAGTCAAACTGTATCCCACATCTGGTAGTGCTCACCTTCTGCTCTTCTGGCACCTGAATTTTCCTTGCCTTCTTCATGATTGGCTGGGGCTTAAGTTCCTCCTCTGAGAAACGGTGTCTCCGGGGGTCAAAGGTCTCATGGCCTGGAATGCTTGACAGGGCAAGATCAGCTGGGTCTGGTTCAAAGGTCATCAGCACCTCCACCGTGTCTGGGTCCACAGGACTGGGTGTGTCCCGAGAGGTCAGCCCTTGGGGGAAAAAGCATGTCACTCGAACGTGTATTTATTTTGGGGAGTGGATTCTCAGAAGTTATCCCCTGCTCAGGTATCTTGCCCATCACAGGGAAGGTGCTTCTGGATCTATCACAAAGTTTGCCTATCAGGCATCATGTCCATGTTAATATAAAATTTAGAGCTTCCCGGGGTCACAAACATGCCCAGACATCATGGAATCAACTCTGATTTTACACCCGGGGTCACAAACATGCTCAGACATCATGGAATCAACCCTGATTTTACAAACAGGGAAAGTGAGGCCCAGTCATAAATGACCCTAAGTAACACGAGTCAGGTAAAGAAGGCTAAAAGCTTGGGACTTCAAGTTCCGCATTTCCTTCCTACAGTCCAGCCTGAATCCTACTTACTGAATCCCTGACCAAAGCTTAGACTCCAGGCTGTTCACAAAAAAAAGGACCTCAAGTTAGCTTCCGCAGGATTAGGTATGAGAACAGGAAGCGACTCTGAGGTTCCAGAAGGTTGGTTCGAGAAGGAGGAGCCTGCGCCTTTAAGCGCGAGCAAGCAGGGGCCAACTGAGGACACAGGTTCAGGGCCGAGTCACGTGCTGCCGCCTGCTTCTCTCTTGCTCCCCACCCCAACCCCCGCCACAAGCGCCCTCACGTTCCCGGGCCCCGCCCCCTCGCGCGTGACAGCGCGTGCGCGAAAACTAGGAGCAGGGAGGGAAGTCTCACGTGGCGAGGGAATGTGCCGCTGGGAACTGGAGTACCCAGGTTGTGCTTGGAGGTCGGACCAGGGGCACAAGTACCTGGGAATCCCAAAATTGTACTCTCCGCCTGGGGACCTCAGTGTGCTTGAAGGGGTTCACTTCTCCTTTTGTTTTTTCGGAAGGTGCCAGATCCCCCTGATCTGGGGAGCATCGGACAACCCGCCCGGTCCCCAGGCTCCCGAGCCCCTAGCCACTGGAGTGGCCAGGAGACCAGGCTCCTCTCTCCCGGGAATATACGGAGCTCCACAGGGGGACCCAGAACCAGTATCCCCGACCTACACCCTCTCTGCAGGACCCTGAAGTCCCGGGCTGCAGCATCCCCAATGGGGGGACCCAGGAGAGTAGAGTCTCTATGTGCAGGGGAACAGAAATCTGTGCCCAGGTCTCGCCTTCTCGCATTTTAGCGGTCTAGGAGTTCCTATCCTAGACCAAGAAACTGGAGTCACTCTACATTTCCCCAATAAATAACTCCTGGGCTTCTGGTCCTGGTGCCACGGAGTATCCGGGCCCTTTGTCACCAAGTCCCACAGAAAAATCTACAAAAATCGTTGGAAAGGCTTCCTGGAACTTAGGGTCCTAAGTCCTTCCTTCCCTACGGACCCAGGACACTCAGTTCCTGTCCCATTAAGAGGCACAGAATCTGATCCCTTTTCCACAGGAGGACACAGGGTTCGGGACCACAGCCCCAGCTCAGAGCGCCGCACGGCCCCGCCCCCTGGGGGCCCGAGCCCCGCCCCTTTAGCCGCACCTGCGCGGTGGCCGCCGGCGGCCCCCAAGGCAGCCCGGGCGGGGGCGTGCCCGGGCGAAGAGCGAGGGGAGGCCGAGCCGCAGGACCCCGGCCCCGGGGAGGGTGCGGGCGTGCGCGCGGGCGACGGCGCCGGCGACGGGCCACCCGGGGGCGGCGGGCTGGGCGGGAGCCCGTGCTCCAGCAGGAAGGCGTCCAGGTCCACGTACTCCACGTCCCCGAAAGGCAGCGTGCGCTCCCACAGCAGCGGCGCCAACAGACCCGGGCCAGGCACCGCCGCCGCCGGCCGCCCCCGCGGGGACCCGCCGCCCCCTGTCGACCCAGCTGGGGCATCTACCGGGCCCGCAGTCTCCAGGCCGGGCCCGGGGACGGTAGTTGCGGGCGGAGCCGCCTTGCGCTCCTTTTCCTTCAGGAGACCTGCGGGTCAGGGAAACACGGAGCGGGATAGAGGTGGGTGAAGAAAGAGGTGGGAAGGGACCCCCAAGTCAGAAAGAGGGAGTTTATGGGAGACCCACACGGCAGAGATCCAAAGAGAGACAAGAGTTGAAGGAAAGATACAGGAGAAAGAGGGCAAAGACCCAGAGAGAGGAGAGGACAGAGATACAAAGGAGGAGAGAGACCAAAAGGGAAAGAACGGGGGTGGGTAGGGACCCAGAAAGATACACAGAGGCCCGAGAAAGGATAGAGAAACAGAAAGACAGCGATTCAGCAAAGAGGGACGGAAGTTCAGAAAGAGGGGGGCCAGGTCCAGGGTAGGTGGAGGGTTGGGCAGGTGAGAGAAAAAAATGACAGCTTTGTAATTCCTCTGAAATTCCCCCATCCCCTGCGCAGTGTACCCCTTTCTCCCTTCCCCCACTATCCATAAGGGGCAGGAAGGGGGCTCTATTCCTCAGGCACATTCCTCATCCCTACATTCCATGTGACCCCATGAGGCCCCGCCCAAGCCCGTGTCACCACCGTGTGAGCATCCAACACACACCCCCTTCTCTTTGGACCCCATGGGTCCAGACACCCAGGCCAAATGAGAGAGTCTGGGGACCTAGATTCCTGGGTCCTCCGATGGACAGATTGAAAGCTTGCACTTTTGAGTCCTGGACGATGAGGATCTAGAGGCTTGAACATCTGAGTAACTGAGTAGAGAGTGGGAAATATGGACACCCAGCACATAGAAGGTGTCTACTATAAGCCATCCCCCCTCCCCCAGCACTTAGTCCCTAAGGGACTGGGGGCTAGAACTCACAGCTGGCCGGCTCTTTGGGCTTGCTGGTCCCCTGCAGAAGGCTCCGAAGCCCAAGCAGCGCGCCCCCACCAGGGGGCACCCCCGCCGGGCCGCCCAGCAGCAGGGGGGCCGGGGTCCTGTCGCTCAGAGGCCGCGCCATCTCCGGGCACCTGCCCCCAGGTTCATGGGCTCATGGAGAGGCGAAGGACTGGCCTGCCTCCGGCACACTCCTGTGGTTCGGGCGAGTGTCTGCCCAAGGTTGGGCAAGCGTAGCTTGCAAGCCTCCAGTATCCAGAACGCTGCAAATCCTAGGAGCGAAGGGGAATTACGGTCCTTGGTGCAGAAACGTGCAACTCAAGAGGGTCCCGGGAGATCATACAGTCTGGATGAGCCGGTGACCAAATCAGGCGACCAGCTCTTGCAATTGAGGATACCAGGGACACAGGCGCTTCTTCTTACAAGGTGGGCGAGCCTAGCTTTTGCAAAATTTGCAGCTCTCGCAACGGAAAGCGCTTTGCAATCTGCACCAGAGGTGTGCGCCGAGGGGCGGAGGAGGGGGCAGGAGGAGGCGGCCGCCTTGAGGCGTGGCCAAGGCAAACTTCTTTCGTGGAAAAAAAAATCCAAACCAAAACACCCGACGCCACGGCGCGCGCCCCTCCTCCGGGCCCCCGCCCGCACTAGCCCTGCCCTGTCCTGCCCCTCCCGCCTCTTTGGCCATGCACCCCAGCCGCGTGCCTCCCTCCGGCTGTAAGCACCGGCCAATCGTGTCTCGATCCCTTGAGGCGCCCAGCCAATGGAGCCCGTGGATCCTCCGAAGCCCAGGAGGGCGCGTGAGGGGCTGAGCGCGTGAAGTTGCCTTGCCTTTCGGAAGAAGGCGGGACACTGACCTACATTTGCCCAATGAGAGGTGGCGCTAGGGGCGGGACCGTGACCCAGTTCGGGCCAATGAGGCAGGAGGAAGGGGGAAGCACATGGCTCTGCGCGTGCTGTCTGATGGGGGTGGGGGAGGAGAGGTGCCTCTTAAAGGAGCCGTTTGTCCAAATAATTCTTTTGAGAAGCAGAAAACCAAAACAACAAATAACAGAGGCTTAGGCAGAGGCAGATTGGTTTTGGGAGGAAGACCGTAGTTCTTTAATATCCATAATTTCCCTCACCGCGCCTTACAATCAGACCACTGAGAAACAGGAAGTATTCTGTCCCTTTAATAGATTTGTTTTGGGGTAACTCGCCTCCCCTCTCAGGGAGGTTTGAGACCGCCGGACGCAATCTTCGATGGGGAATCTCAGCGACCATGGGGGGCACCATCCACTGCAAGAGAGGACACTGGTTGGGGGTGATGGTTTAGGATGGGCGGTGCAGGGGGCATACAGGGGGCGTTTGCTGGGCTGAGCAGGACTCTACCACAGGAAGGTTGAGAAGGGGGAACCGGAATGTACCAGGTTGAGAAACTGGGGAAAATGGTCAGATCTGGGATCAAACCATAGAGAGGCATCAGGAAGGTGAAATCCAGATCGGCATTAGGCTGAACTAAGTGAAGGAGGTCTAGGGCTCTGTATTGTACCACGTTGGGAATCCAAAGAAGCGACCACTAGATCACTGGGTTAAACCATGGGGATACAGCGGGCAGGGAAAAGGGTCGTACCACGTTGATTCTCAGTAAGGGGGGAGGCTGTCAGGCTTGAACAGCTTAGGGTAGTACCACAGAGAAACAGGAAGGGGATCTGGACCGCACCATTTTGGAAAATCCCAGTAATAGGAGGCACGCACCACTAGGTACTTGTACCACAAGGAAGCCAGAGGGGCCGGGTTATATGCCAAGTTGCAAAGCGATGAAGAGGAAAGACAAATCGTGGACCAGCAATAGTCTATGGCAGGGAGGTGGACTGTACCACATTGACATATGGGGGGAAGGAGGGAGAGGAGATCTCAGGTTAGACCACACAGAAGCAGCAAATGGGGGTGGGGCTGTATCATATTGAGGAACTACTGGGAGACACAGAGCGGTTTGGACCAAGACGTGAAGTGGGCATAAACTGAATCATACCATGCAGGCGGTAGTTGGGGCCTCTGCAGCGCCTCTCAGGGTGCCGGGGGTCCCTGTTGCCCCTCAAGGCCCTGTGGGCCAAAGGCTGCAGGGGCCGGCCATTACCGCTGAGGCTCTGGAAGATCTGGGATGGAGGATTCTGGCTCAGGAGTCTCAGGGAGTGCATCTGCCAAGGAGGGCGGGTGGGAAAGCTGCAGTGAATGGAGCTGGTGGGCGGGGCCTGTGCTCAGCCAGATCCACCCACAAGGATGAGCTAACCCTCATACTTCCTTGAGTTACCAGCCAAGGAGGAGAGGGAGGGAAAGGGAGGTTGGGGGATACCTAGACAGTAAATGGAGTACCCAGACCTGGAGAGCAGGGGAGGGTGCAGACAGAGGGTCACCTGTAGGGAGGTAATATTGAGGGCCCGGTCAATGAGGATCCAGGTGACAGTCTCAGAGCAGGGTGGGGTGCTGAGAGATCCCTGGTAGGTGATGAAGCCAAAGGATTCCGGGAATAGGAGCTCCAGGCTCAGGTCTTGAAGAAAGTAGGCATCATCTGTGGGAATATCAGGCCAGAATAAAGAGGGGTGCCCCTCTTGAACAGCACCCCCCAGGCTCACATGTGTTGTCCCCCAACACACCAGGGACGTACTCTTGTAGGAGATGCGGGTGATGGTGTCCCGGTTGAGGAGGCGACTGAGGAATGGATTTGAGCTACCCGCCACCTGTGTTGGGATAGAACGTGAGGAGGCAGGAACCCAGAAGCCCAAGCCACCAACTCCCCAAATCCTCCACTCCCAGGACACAGGAGTCTGGGCCTCCAGCTCCCTCTTCCTGGGTTTCCAGGTGCCCATCTTGCCTCCACTTACATTGACAAAGAGACTGAGAATGGCCAGGCCGTTGGGCCCCCTGGAGGCTGCACTGAGATTCCCATAGAGTTCCTGATTGAAGTGAATTAGCTGCACCTGGGGGGGATACAGAGAGTGGGGGTCCCCCAGTAGAAGGGGAGGAGAGGATGACTCCAGGTCTCTGGCTTTGGGGTTGGGCTTAGGGTGTGGGGCAGTGTTTGTGGAGGAGGATGGGAGAGGAGAGAGGAATTGAGTTGACTTGGGGTGGAAGGTCACAGGTAAGAATTCAGGTCAGTGGCCACCACCTCAGCAGAGAAGCCCTGATGGTTGATCTGGTGTTCAGAACCTGCTCCATCTCGAGCTCCAAACAGGAGTCTCAGTTCGCTGAGTCGGTGGCTATAAAGGAGGGGACCCCCAGACACATTGACTACAGGCCGGGGTGCAGGCAGGAAGGAAACATGGCGGCCAGTGTTGTACAGGGTTCCCCGGAGCTGTGGGAGAGGAACAAGCTGTCAGAGGGACATTTCCCACACCTACATTTACTGGGTCCCACAACCTTTTTTTTTTTTTTTTTTTTGTACCTAGGATTGAACTCAGGGGCACTTAACCACTGAGCCATATCCCAGCCCCCCCCTTTTTTTAATCTTTTATTTAGAGACAGGGTCTCACTGAGTTGCTTAGGACCTCGTTAAGTTGCTGAGGCTGGTTTTGAACTCATGATCCTCCTGTCTCAGTCTCCTGAGCTGCTGGGATTACAGGCATGCGCCACCGTGTCCAGCTCCAACAACCATTTAATCATTGAATGTAGTGTGAGCACCAACCCATTTCCAGGCTCCATGCTGGCCCAGGATAAGTGCTCAATATTGGTGAATTCATTTAATTAACAAGTATTTATTGAGCTGTGAAGAATAGAGCAATGAGCAACTAGACATGAGGGACAACAAATAGTGACTCACATAAGTAAGTAATTAATTGCTACTACTTAATTGCATCCTGTGATCATGCTGGAGGAACTAGGAGCTCAAGAAAGTGTAATGGGAACCCAGCTTAGATTGAGGGAGGAGTCATCTCTGGGGAGATGACATATGAATGAAAACCTGAAGGATAAGCAGGGGTTCCTTGTGAAAGAGCAGAAAGAAGGGCAGTCCAGGAAGAGGGAAGAGAGAGTGTGGAGGCCCTGCGGGGGCCTGTTTTAATGGAACCCAGTGAACAGAGGAGAGTGGTAATGGGAGCAGATCACCAGTACATGGGCATTGCAGGCAATGATGGGGAACTTTCCTTTTTTATTTATTTGTTTTGTTTGTTTTGTTTTTTGGTGCTGGGGATCGAACCCAGGGCCTTGTGCATGCAAGGCAAGCACACTACCAACTGAGCTATATTCTCAGCTCCCTCTTTTTTATTTAAATAAACTGAATATATTTGGCAGAATGCCAGACATAGTAAGTGCTGTGTAAGTGTTTGCTGTTACAACTTATCTTATCCTAATAGGAGCTTGATGGGATCTGCTGGTGTTTTGAACATCCCTAGTGGTGGAGTGGAGAACGGATTGCAGGAATCAGAGAGGTAGGCAGGTGAAGAGGAGGCGGCACAATCGGGTGGGAGATGATGTGGCCTGGTTGAGAGTGGAGGGGCCAGAAGTGAAGAGATCTGAATATGTACCAGTGAGGCTGGGAAAACTAGATTGGAAATGAAAATGAGGGAGGGGGTGGCATGGGGAAGGTGACTCTGAGTCTTTTGACAGCCACAACTAAGTGAAACATGGTTGTGGCACTTAAAAGAAATGGTAGTGCAAACTGGAGTCCATGCTGGAACCACACTGCCTGATTTGAATACCAGTGCTGGTACTCTGACTATGTGACCCCAGGCAAGTAACCAAACCTCTCTGTGCCTCAGTCTCTACATCCATAAAATAATGATAATAATAGCACTTATTGCATGGGATTAGAGGGCTTGTCAAGCTTTTAAAACTGCCTGATACGAGCCGGGCACGGTGGTGCACACCTGTAATCCCAGTGGCTTGGGAGGCTGAGACAGGAGGATTGCGAGTTCAAAGCCAGCACCAGTGTTGAGGGTCTAGCAGTGAGACCCTGTCTCTAAATAAAATACAAAAAAGGGATGGGGATGTGGTTCAGTGTTCGAGTGCCCCTGAGTTCAAGCCCCAGTACCAAACAAACAAACAAACAAAAAAACTGCCTTATACAGGAAACTTTCTGTTTTTCAGAGCTTTTGCCAAGATGAGAAGACTAGGAGCCATGTTTGGGAAGGGAAGAACAGGTGACCCGTTTAGAGTGCAAAGAGCCTCTCTCCAGCCAGCGAGTACTCCTTCCTCCCCAATGCCGGCGCCCACCTCAGCAGCCCCTTCCCTGACCTCCACTCACATCCCCCCCAGGGAATCCCATAATTCCTCCCTTCAGGCCCCTTACCTTCTCTCCCCCAGTGCTGAGCCTCAGCGGGGGCAGAAAGGGATCATAAAGGACCCTCTTCAACTCCACATCCACGGGGCTCTGCCGCTTCCCCACGGCACACAAACTCCAGGCTGCGTTCACCAGGCCCCAGAAGGGAGGCCCTGGGGACAAAAGTGGGAACAGGAGGAAATGGAGTTGGAAATAGGAGCTGGGACTCATGCTGGGATCTGTTGAGTGGGCCCAGCTCTGGATCCTTGGGTCTGAGGGAGGAGGCTGGAGCCTGGACCCCAGGGTTTGAGGGAGAAGTGTACTGAAATCCAGAATCCTGTGTTCTAGAAGAATATTGGGATAGTTTCCTAACCCCCCACCCCACTCCCAACACCTCCAAGCCTCTCCTTGATCCAGCCCATCTTAATGTAGTCATTGTGAAAGGAACTACAATTCCCAGCCAGCCTCAAGGCTGCAACCTACTCATCCACTGCCCGCCTGCCTGCCTCAGAGCCCCATGGGAGTTGTAGTTCTCTCAGTCTCCCTTGTCCCACAGCTGGACAGTGAATGTAGTGGGGAGAGGAGTTGCGCCGGAGGACCAGACGAGTCGGGGAAGCGGCCACCCAGCCTCTCTTTCTCAGCAGGAGCCAGGCCCTGTCTCTCCCAGCGAACACACACGTCCTCTCCACCCCCACACTTTCTTTGCTTCCACTCACTCCCACTCACTACTTGAAATGCGCATGTATAATGTCCCTTGGTGAGCCGCTGGGGTTCAGAGGCTGGGCCTCGCTCCTTAGGGAGGGAGGAGGGGGCAGGGATTCCAGGTTCTGGGGGGAGGAGAGGGCTGGGGACTCAGACTCCTGAGTCTGAAGAAAGAGGGGCCTGGGGGAAGGGGGCGGACTCTTGGGTCCCCCGCCCTGGCTGCACCTGGCACGAAGTTTCCCTGGAGATTATCCTTGTAGCTCCACCAGTCCTCAGGGTCAGGTGCTGGTCCGATGTGCGCTGGGAAGAGAGGAGCCTGAATCCCTCTCCATGGCACCCCACCCCACCCCTCCCCGAGGGGCTCCTGCCCGGACCCCCAGGTCTTACCTGCCGCCCCCATTGCAGCCCAGAGTACCAGCGCTCGCGGGGCGCTCAGACGAGCTGCACCCCCCATCCCCGGGAGGCCTCGGAGCGACCCCTTCCCGCTGCCCTGCCCCCCCTCAGCTACACCCTCCCCTGTCGGAGATTTGTTCCTCCAGGACTTCAGCCTTCCTCCCCACTGGGAGCCTCGCTCCCCAAATGCCAGGGACTTGCACCCCTGGCCCGCTCCTCTGCTTTCTCAGCGCTCCTCCCGGCCCCCAGCCCTCCACTCTCCCTCTACCTCCTGATCCTCCTGTCTGCCTCTGCTGGCCCCGGGGTTCCCTCTTGGTTTCGAATCCACACCCCCTCTCCGTTTCTTTCATCAAGCTCCCCCAAGCCTCCTAACTCCTCGTCTGCATCCTGCTCCTCGCCTCCTCCCTCTCCCTCTCCGCTGCCGCCTCTCGCTTCTCGCTTCTCGCCTTCCTCACCTCCTCCCGCTCCCCTCTCGGTCGGTCTCCAGCTTCGCGCTCCCTCCCCGCCTCCTCCTCTCCTGCCTCTTCTCTCCGTTCCTCCGTTTCTCTTCTCTCGGCCCTTCCTCCCTCCTCCTCCTCCTCCCTCCCTTCTCTCTCCGGGTGTTATTTATTTATTTATTTATTTTGTTGGGGAGGGGCGATATCACAGCCCCGGGCTGGGGGGTGCGCCAGGGGCAAGATGCGGGTCGCTGAGGCTGGTGCCAGCTCCCAGCCGCGCGGGCCCCGGGGGCGGGGTGGCCCGGACACCTGGGGCCGGGAGCTGGCCGTGGGGTCCTCTGCGGAAAGGGAGGGAGGCGCTTAAGGTGGAGCCTGGAGACTCCGCGCTCAGCGCGCGGGCGGCGGAGGAGCGGGGTCCCGCAGGTCGCAGGGACCCAGGCCGGACGCCCCGGCGCCCACGTCCCCCGCTCGGCCTCGGTCCTACGCCAGGGGCTGCCTTAACCGCCGGGGATCCCCTGGGATACTCGGTGCGGTGAGGGCCGCTGGCCGGGAGAGGGAGGCAGAGACCTGGCGAGGGACAGAGGCGGGGGAGGTGGAGCCGGGAGGGCAGAGGCGAGAGCTTGAGGTGAAGAGCGGCCAGTGTGGAGGCTGGGGCGGGGAGGGACGTGGCGGAGGGAGAAGCCGAGAGCAAGATGCCAGGCCGGAGGGAGGGAGGGAGGGAGAAGGAGAGGAAGACAGGCGAGCGCACACAGAGGACATGACAGAGATAGATACTGGTAGAGATACAGAGACAGGCAGGAGAATCAAAGGTAGAAGCAGAAAGACCCAGAGATAGAGAGAGACATACATCGGGTTAGAGAAGGCAGGCAGAAGGGAGGGAGAGAGACAGGTGCAGAGGCAGAGAAAGATGACACAGACTCAGATACTTCAGGATAGAAGTAGAGAGGGACACCAAACATTAAAAAGAGACACAGCAATCCAGGCGGGGAGAGGAATACACACACACACACACACACACACACACACGGTAGGAAACCTGGAGTCAGACACACACACACTTAGCTATAAATAGAGCTGATCATGCAGAAAAAGAGAGACACAGAGCCACACCAAGACAGAGATAGAGACCCAGATAGAGGGAGAGAGGCCCAGAGACAGACCAACCAATTTAAAGAGAGACACTGGGAAGGAACCAGAGACAGAGGCACTCAGACATAGCAAATTGGAAACTAAAGATGGAAAGAGTCACAGAGATGTCATACATGGAGACTGACACAAAGAAAGCATCCAAGAAAGAAAATATGTATTAGTTATCCATTGCTGCATAACAAATGATCCAAACATGTAGTGGCTTAAAATGACAGACATTTATTTTCTCAAATTGAAGGGCTAGACATCGGGGAATGGCTGACAAGGGGCTCTTGTTCTCTCAGGAGGGTTCAGGTAAGCTGTTGGCCATGACTTCAGTCATCTGAGGCCTTTATGACCTGGTCTCCTGAAGTCACATTCCTTTTATTCAATTCACGGGAAATGAGTCACTTAGTCTAGCCATGGTGGAGGGGAAGGAAATGAGGCTCCCCCTCGCCCACTGTGAAGGGAGGAGTATTTGAGAATGTGCAGAGCCAGGCATGGCCCTGTAATCCCAGCTGCTTGGGAAGCTGATGCAGAAGGATTGCAAGTTCAAAGCCAGCCTCAGCAATTGAGGGAGACCGTAAGCAACTTAGCAAGACCCTGTCTCCAAATAAAAAGGGGCTGGGGATGTGGCTCAGTGCTTAAATGCCTCTGGGTTCAATCCCTGGTACAAAAAGAGAATGTGTTGGACTTATTTTAGAATCAACTTCAGGTGGAGAGAACAGCAGACAGACTGAAAGACACTCCTTAGGACTTGGAGTGGAGCACTCAGGAAAACAGAGAGACAGAGGGAGCCAGAGACAGGGAAAGAGGAGAAGCCATGAATACTCAGCAGTAGTTGTGATAAAACCTTCCATAGGGAAGCACCCAGTCCACCCCAGCCCAGGTCTCACGTACTTCCCGTGCACTTACCCATGTAATCCTCACAGCCATCCAAGAGGGAAAGCCTGTTACTGTCCCATTTTACAGATGAGCAAACCAAGTCTCAGGATATACAGGGCTACATAGTCAAGAATGTTGGGCCAGGGGCTGGGGATATAGCTCAGTTAGTAGAGTGCCTGCCTTGCATGCACAAGGCCCTGGGTTCAATCCCCAGCACCACAAAAGAAAAGAAAAGAATATTGGGCCAGAGGTGCTGAGCAACTCAGTCAGACCCTGTCTCTAAATAAAAAACACAATAGGGCTGGGGATGTGGTTCAGTGGTTCAGTGCCCCTGAGTTCAATCCTCGGTACTCCCCCGCCCGAAACCCATGGGAAAAGATGGGCAGGAAGGCCCATCTGTGCTGGGCACCGTGACACCTGCCTATAGTCATGACTTAGGAGGCTGAGGCAGGAGGATGGCAAATTTGAGGCCAGCCTGGGCAACTTAGAGGGATCCTGTCTCAAAATAAGATTTTAAAAAAAGGGCTGGGAATGTAGCTCAGTGGGACAGCACTTCTGGGTTCAATCCCCAGTACTTCAAAAATTAAAAAAAAAAAAATGAGAAAGACCCAGCTGTGATGGAAAAGTATCCAGTAAAATGCCGGCCACCCGCAGATGGAGTTTCCTAGTCCTGGGGCAGCCTCACACTCCTAGGCTTCCTTCAGCCCTGAAAGCTGCTCCGTGGTGTGGTAGTGAGCGTTGGCCCCGCTGGAGAGAGAGAAAACTGAGGTTCCCAGAGGAAAACGACGCACCCAGGACGTCGTGGGTCGAAGTGGTGGCCTGCTTCCCTGCCTAAACAAGACATGCCCACCCTGGACCTGCGAATGGGACATTTTTTGGCAAAAGGGTCTTGAGATGAGATCACCCTGCATTACCTGTGTGGATCCTAAGCCCAATGACAACTGCTCTTAAAGGGAAAGACAGGGAGATTGGAGACAGAGAAGGCTAGTGAGGACAGGCGGGGGTTGGAGCCAAGTGTCACCAGGGAACACCGGGAGCCACCAGAGCTGAAAGAGCCAAGGAATGATCCTCCCCTAGAGCCTTTGGAAGGAATATGGCTCTGCCAACACTTGACTTTGGACTTCTAACCTCCAGAACTGTGAGACAATACATTTCCATTGTTTTAAGCTGCACAGTGAGTGATTTTTTTTTTTTTTTTTTTGTAGCAGGGATTGAGCCACTGAGCCACATCTCCAGCCCTTTTTATTTTGAGACTTAGGGCTTCAATAAGTTGCTGAGGCTGGCTTTGAGCCTGTGATCCTCCTGCCTCAGCCTCCCAAGCCACTGGGATTACAGGTGTGCACCACCACGCCTAGTGATTTAGTGGTTTTTTTACAGCAGCCAAACCCTGGTTGCTGCCCCCGGCCCGTGTGGGCAGCTGAACTTCAGGTCACTCCTGTGAATTTCCAGGGACACCAAATAAAACACAGACACACACTTCACCTTTAAACAAGCTTCAGGACGGCTCCTCCCTCCGCTCTCAGCCTCAGGCTCCCCAAATGGGAGAGCAGGAGAAGGTCACTTGAGAGGCTGGAGAGACAGAGAGAGAGAGAGACAGAGAGAGAGAGAGAGAGAGAATTTGGAAGTGGGCTATTATTGGGGGGGACCCTTATTCTTAGAAAGTTCCATCCAAAAAAAGCTAGAGGGGCAGGGTTACAAAGGACAGGTGAGTGTAATTCGACCCAAGGGACCATGGGGCGACATGCCCTCAACTTCCTGGACAGGGCCATGTCCAGGTCACTAAGAGATGTAGTGACCAATCAACGCCTCTCTGCTCCAGGATGGAAGGCAGGAATCCTTCCCAGTGGCTCCCCGCACCTGGGGTGGGGAAAGAGCGGAACTGGTCAGAGGCTGAGACAATGAAGGAAGAGAGGTACGCAGAGGGAGGGACAGACAGACAGATGTTATGGGGAGAGCGGGCACTCTCCCTGGATTGCTCAGCTCTCCTCCTCCAGGAAGCCCTCTCTGAGCCCCGAGGAGGTTCACAATGTCTTGTGCTGTCTCCATGAAAGCCCAGATGTCACTAGACAGGGCCTGTGTCCCTGTGTGTCCTTCCTTCAGAACCCAGGCCTGACCCACCTCTGGTCCTCTGACCGCACACAGGGCCTGTGCACAGGGTCCTCAGGACACAAGTCAGGCCCGCTGGAATGAAATCGCGCTCAGTGGTGTCTCTCCCCAGAGATTCTGCCCTTCTGGCTGCCGGAGAGACACCTGGATTTCCTGAAGTGCTCCCAGAGGACCTCCTGTCCTCCCAGGGGCCTCTTCTGCAGGCTCCTGTGGTGCCTAGTGCCGTTGCCTCTGGGATCACACACCACACCCGTACAATGTCCCCAGGGCTCTCCCTACCTGTACACCGGCTAGTCTCAGTGCCAGTATTTCCTGGGAGACTTTAAAAGAACATTTTGAGGGAGCTGGGGGTGCAGTTCAGCGGTGGAGCCTGTGTTTAGCCTGTGTGAGCCCCACTTGGTGGGGGGGGGGACTCTGTTGAGCTAATGAAGAAGTGAGAGGATCAAATCAGGGAGGGGTGTGGCCTTCACAGTGAGGCAAAGAAAGGACTTTTCTGCAGGGGTTCAGAGAAAAGCTTCCTGGTGTGTTGGTGACATTTAACTTCTCTTTTTTCTTCTCACAACTCTGAGAATATCTTTCTGTCCCATGATCAACTGGGGCTGTATTCAACTCATCACTCCTGCTGACTCTTCCTGTCCCCATAATCCCAGCCAGGGCTCAGAACTCATTGCCTCCCACCCCCAGGCTCCCTCTAAGCTCTCCCCCTCCAGCCCACTCCCACTCATCCCAGAGGGTCTTTTACACCCAGAGTTGACTCTGCCTCTATGGTGGCTCCCCATCACCCTGGGACAAAGCCCCCACCCCTCAGTTTTTCCTGATCAAATCCTTCCCCAGGAAAAAAAAAAAAGCCAGGCTTTCCTCCTGGTCTTAGAGACCCTGCATGTCCTGGCCACCCCCACGCCCCAGCCCCGTCTCTCTTTTACCATGCCAGGCCCTCTGGCCGCTGGACCTTTTCACAAACTGTTTCCTCTATCCGGGTCTCTGACCCCGCTTCTCTGCAGGGCAAACTTCTCTACCCTTCAGGAGTCCCTCCCCAGGAGGCCATCTGGCAATGCCATGAGATGGCCAGGGGCCTCCTCCACGCTCTGGAGGCCACCTGTGTTACCTCCATTATAGTGAATAGACAATCCGGGCTCAGTGCCCAGAGCGGGAGGAACGGCCAGGCCGGAGGTGGTCCCAGATGTGCATTTCATGCCTATTCGTCTCGGGCGCTGGGAACAAAGTGTGGGTCATAAGGAACATATGGGGCTCGGCCTGCTCTACACTTTCATCCCCTACCTCCTGGGCTCCTGGGTGGGAGGTGGCAGGGCCAGGACTCTCCAGGCCTGGTGGTTCCCACAGCCCCTCTGGACCTCCTCAGCCCTCTCTCCCTGCCCTCACCTCCCACTGCCTCTGGGAGCCCAGCAAAATCCTCTCCATCTGGGGATCCTCTCCTTTCCCGGGGGAAGGTGGGGCTCTGCATGTTTACACAAAAGCAACAAAGTCACATTCAGAAGGCTCTGACTCTGTGCTTACTGCTGTCCTAACCCCAGCCTGTGGATTAACTCACTTCATCCCCTGAATGCGCCCTATTATTATGATCCTCCCCATTTAACAGAGGAGAGCATTGAGGGACTGGGAGTAGCAGTGCTGGGATTTGGCCCCGGGCATCTGGTTCCAAACACACGGCTCTGTCCAGCAGGACTTCCTGTGAGGGTAGAAATGATCTGCACCGGGGCGGTCAGGATGCAGCCACTTGAAACGCATCTAATGCGACTGAGAAACTGAATTTGTAATTTTACTCCATTTCGATTAATTTACACTTACGGAGCTCAGTGTGGCTGCTGGCTACTGCCTGGGACGGTGCAGCTCTTGATGGCTCTGTAGGGTGTGACCACTGTTGAATCTTCTCACCTGTATGAGCTTCAGTTTTTCTGTCTTGAAGAGGAAGTTAGAGTTCTAGCTAAATCCAAGCACACCTGGGTTTGAATTCCACCCACACACACCTCAATGTGGAGCCCCCAAGAGCCTCAGTTTCTTCATTTGTATCCTGAGGATAACAGGCCCTAATTATTCCACAAATATTTATTAAGTACCTATTATGTCCCAGGGGCTGGAGTTACAGCAGCCAACAAAACAGACACACATCTGAGGTCAGGGATCAGGAGGTGGGATGGAAAGCCATGGCCAGACATTACCTCTCTCCAATCTTAGCCACTTTTCCAAGATATGCTACATGGCTGCTCTGCCAGCATCTCATGATGTCATAGCACACTCTGGCTTCTGATTGGTCAAAGGTCTGGTATTAGTGCAGGGACAGAGAATTATTCTAAATATCTTTTCCCTTGATACAAAAACACCCTATGCAGCTGAGTCCAGCATTAAAGCCTATATTCCCACCCTTCCTTCATCCAGTTGCCTGGATATATATGCAATAGCCGGAGCACTAGTTGCCACCTGGACCAGGGGGATTAGAAATGTTCTAAGGACAATAAGAAGGAAAACTGGAAGAGTCCTGGTTCCTGGACTATCTCCAGATTTCTATTATTCAAGAGGGAAACAGGACTGGGGATCTAGCTCAGTGGTGGAGCACTTACTTTGCATGTGGGAGGCCCTGGGTTCAACACCCGGTACTAAAGAGAAAGAAATAAACTTCATTTTATTTGAATCACTGTTATTTAGGGATTATTAGGAACACTAATGATACAGACAATATGAAGAACCATGTCAGATTTGGTTGGGTTATAGATTAGACCATTCATTGATTTATCCATTCAACCAAAATTTATTGTGCACCTATTATGTTAGCTAATTTTCTAGGTACAGAGATACATCCATGACCAAATTAGAATCCCTGTTCCCATGGTGCCCATGTTACAGTGGAACAATGACAACACAAAGAGTAAACAGATAAATACATTTCGGCTTACATGGCAGAAGGTACTTTCTAGATGTGATTATTATTTTTTTTTAAAGAGAGAAAGAGAATTTTTTTTAATATTTATTTTTCAGTTTTCGGCGGACACAACATCTTTGTTTGTATGTGGTGCTGAGGATCAAACCTGGGCCGCACGCATGCCAGGCAATTCAGTGCTTCCTCTGGTTGCCACATGATGTGGGGGTGGGGGTACCACAGGATGCAACTGATGACACACCATGGTGCATGACTCTCATCTGGGTCCCTGAGTGACTGAAAAACCACCCCTTGCCAACCGACATTGGACATGTACATGAGCAAGAAATAAACTTTCATTATGCGAAGCCGTCAGGTAACCTGATTAATGGAAGACTGTGGAAGCAGCTTGCTGTTACTGAGGAAGTGTGTCTCAGGCCCCGGGGCAGAGTGCGTTTGGTTTCTACAGGAACAGGAAGGAGGACAGTGTGGCTGCAGTGGCATGAATGAGGAAGAGTTGGAGGAGGAGAAGTCAGTGACATGGCAGGGGTAGATCGTATAGGGCCTTATAAGGCAGGCAAGGACTTTGGATTTGATTGTTGGGCATAGGAGTGATACAATCCGACTGCTATGCAGAGAGATTCTTCTGGATTTGCATTTTAAACTGGTCATCCTGCTTCTGCATGAAGAAGACTCTAAGGGGTAGCTGTGAGGGAGCAGTGATGTTGGCTTGAACCAAGGTGGTAGCAATGGAGGTGGTAAAAATGGTTGAATTCTGGACATGAATCTTGAAGGAGCGGATGGGACTTGCTGGTGGGTTTGGAACTGAACATGGAATGGTGGGTGAATTCCCAATTGAATTGACTTCAAAAGACAATGAAAAGGGCAAACAGAAGGGATTTATACAGTTTTCCTGAAACTTTTCTTATAATATCTCCCTAAGACTTCAGCTTCAGAGATACCCCCATCCTGGGTCTAACTGGAAGCCAAAGGTGAGGTGTGTCGTCCCCCCCCCCCCCCACCCCCGCCAAAGGGGATTTTCATTGGTGGCTTGGAACTCAAATAGTTATCCCCTGGAGGCTATTTCTTCTAGCATCACCAGGAGCAAACCCAGGTTCCCTGGAGGACTAGCAGCCTAGCACCGTGTGACATGACCCGTCCTACTTCCCATTTGCTGAGAGCCTCATTTTTGTCTCATGGAAGAAAAATGTTATTTCCAGGTTCAAATCCCTAAGACTCCCTCCAAGTACCTCCTCAGTGACTCTGCAGAAAAGGTCACTCAAATTTGAAGAGCCTGCTTGTGAGTGCAGGGACAGAGGTCTGAGTGTCAGGGAAGGTGCTAGGCCATGACAACCTTCCATCCCTTAGTACTTTGCTTCCTGCCTTTTTGGCCCCACCCCTGTGGCCTGTAGGTGCCCCACTGTTGGGCAGGGATAGAATTCTGCTTAGCACCGAGTGATGTCCTACTACTCTGCAGCTCTCAGGAAAGGGTCCAGGCTGCACTTGAAGCCCAGGTGAACCCATCAGAACCTTCTTCAGACATTCACTCAAAGTCCCCTTATTCCTTCCTCAGAGACTATCCAGAGGTCCCTCAGAAATGAAAAATTACTAAATCTGGAACTTTCTGGAAATTGGGAACCATGGTCCCTTTTAAGGAAGTTAAATTTCCCGCCTTTTCCAGACACGCCCCTCTTTGGGCCTGTCCTTAACACCCGATGACGCCACAGGAGTTCTTTCAGGGGATTGGCCACTTTGTCTCAGGGAGCCCGGGGATAACTTCAGCTGGGCAGATTCCTCAAGACCGTCTTCATTTGCCCCTAGAGACTCTCCCAGTACAGATCTGGGCTCTGAGGACGAAATTCCTCAAGATTTGAGACTTTATTGTGGGTAACTAACTGCTTGTGTCACAAGTCAAACGAAGGGCCACGGGACCAAAATCCGGCTCAGGCGCCTTCTGGTGAAAAATCTCCTGCGCCTGCGCGTTGCTGGCGCGTGCCGGTGACGTAAGGCGCTCCGTGGCTTCTGATTGGCTCTCTCAGGACGCGCGCGGCTGTGGAAGGCTGCGTGGCAGGTTCCGCATTGCTGGGCGTCGACGCCTCGCGCGCCCTGGTTAGTGTTAAGGCCTAGGGTTGGGTGAGGGAGGCTCCAGGCCGCGGCAGCCCCCTGCACGCTCCTCCTGCTGTAGCCGCCTCAGCGGCCGGGCCCAGCGCGGCCTCCAGGGCAGTGCGAGGCCGTAGCGATCTAGGACGAGGCGCTCGGGGTCCGGGTTTCCGGCCGCGCTGCCCAGCAACAGGTAGTCGGTGCCGGGCTGTAGGCGCAGGCAGCCACAGGCCAGGTCGGCGCCGGGCACCCAGACGTCCTGGCCGCCCCGTTGCACAGGCCGCGCCCGCTGCTTGTACACGGCCAGCACCCGCACGGCCAGCCGTCGCCATGCAGGGCCGGCCGTCTCCAACGCCAGCACCTGAGCGTGCAGAACTGCGGGGAGGGAGGTGTCAGGCGTGGGTGGTGCAATGGGATCAGCCTGGTCGGGTGGGCCCGGGGCGGGGGTGGCCTTCCTGGATCATGGGAGAGAGACCTTGACCCCTTAAAGGTGAGAGGACTGGACGTGGCCCTGGGTAGTGAGGGTCAGGCCTGCCCCAGGAGACACAGTCCAGGAGCAGGGGAGAGATTAGAAGGGAGCGGGTTAGGATTTACAAGGTGGATTCCAAGATTAAGGTTGGGAAGGGCCAGGCTGTGTGCTGCCCAACAAAGGGGAGGCCAGATAGGGAAAGGATCCTGGCTGGGAGCCTGGGGTGTGTTGGGACAGGCTTTGGGGGTCATATTAGAGGCAGCAGATCTAGGACTTATATTGAAGGGAGAGTGGATGGGGAAACCTACAGTAGGTGGGGCTCGGGACAAAGCAGCAGTTCTAGTTCTACTGTATTTAATGCAGTAGGTTTAGAAGGTATCAGGAGAGAAGCCCTTGTGCCAGAGGGGTGTTGCCAGGGGAAGGACTCTGGGATGAATTTGAGTAGATAAAAGGGTGAAGTTAGTCCCTGAAATCTGAGGGTTGAGATCACATTAGTTGTAATTTGGGCAAGTATGAGGTGGGACAGTGTTGAGGGCTGGGTCTGTGGGGCAGGAGATCCCTGTAAGAGGGGAGGAAAAGGCCCAGGTGAACCCATCAGAACCTTCTTCAGGCCTAGGACACTAGTGGCCAGAGCATGATCTTGAGGGTGGAGGAATCCTGGATCCTCTACACCGGGGGAGATAGAAGGGGTTGTTCTGGATTTGTGGGCTGAGCTGAACTCCTGCATGTCTGTGAGCTGTTACCTGAGGTCATCAGCCCCAGCGTCTTGGGACTAGTGTGGGCTAATAGATTAGTGAACCAAGAGGTGGGCTTTTATGGGGACCCAGCAAAGGCTTAGCTATCTGGAACCCTGAAGAGAAAGGGAAGGGGTCTGAGATAGGTAGAACAGAGCAGGGGCCCTTTCACTCAACCAGTTCCTCTTGCCTTCTATCCCTCAGAGATGTTGGGCTAAAGAGGCGGGTGAAACTCTGCAAGCCCAAGAACCCAGGAGAAGAGGAGATACAAGAAGGTAGTGAAGACCCCTTCCTCACTGTTCCTCCCCCCATTCATGTCCCATCAGATCCTGGATTGGGAAGGGCCTTAGAATTCAGTTCCCCTTCCATTTAAGATGAGGAAATTGAAGGCCAGAGAGGGTGCTGCCTGAAGGCAGTCGTCATGTCATCTGGACAGCCATGGCCCCCTTTCCCCCCAGCACTCACCATAGTCCTGCTGGCAGTACCTCTGAAGGCTCATGTGTACTCTGGTATCCGAAATATTGCAGTAGTTTTGACACTGAGGGTCTGGGGAGGGTCAGACTTCTGAGGCCTGGGCCACAGCCTTCTGCACCACCCATCCTCCAGTCCATCTTGATTGACAGCCGGGGTGCCCTCACCCCTGGTGACTCTGGGTCCCAATCAGTCCATCCCTGACCCCTCTTGCTGCCTAGGGATCTCTGTGCCAGCCTGCCTTACCAGAGCTGGAAGCACCAGGTGTAGTAGCAAAGATGGTTGTTGCTTCTGGAATTCCTGGGAGACCAAAGGAGAAATTTAATTTAACCTCTTAGCCACGCTCCCCAAGGATTCCAAGCATCCCTTGCTCTCTTCTCCCAGGACCCAGGAGTCTGGACCCCTACCCTTCTTCTTTCAGGACCAGAAGTTCAGGACCCTAACTCCTTCTCCCTAAGACTAAAGAATCTGGAATTTCAGGATTGTATTCCTGAGGCTCAGAGTTTAGTCTCCAGCCCCTGGTTCTTGTTTCCTAAGGTCACTTGTCCCACTACATTCATCCACTGAGATCTGGACTGTCTCCTCCCCTCCCCATTCAGGACTTGTGGCCCTGACCCTCAGGACTCACGCTGGCAGGGCATCCGAGGGGAGCGGCTCTGCTGGTAGCCAGGACCACAGCGACTGCACGTCAGGCCTGTGACCCCTAACTTGCAGGAGCACTGCCCACTGGTCTGGTTGCAGGTGCCTCCTGTTGCCCCAATGGGGTGGCACTGGCAGGCTACATGTGGAAAGGAACTGGGGACATGGGGTACCTGGGACCCAGATGCTCCTTACCAAATCTGCATGCCCCTCCTCCCCAAGACCCAGGAGTCCAGGTCCCAGCCCTTCCTCCCTCAGACCCAGGAGTCTAGGCCCTGCATCCTTGCCCTCTGGGCCTGGCCACACTCACCCCTGCAGGCCTTTCGGCTGGTGATAGGCTGGCTGGGATCCCTCCAGAACCCTGGCTGGCAGTAGTGGCAGTGTCGCCCAGCTGTGTGGTGGCGGCACCGTTCACAGACACCCCCACTCCGGCCACCAGACAGCCTGAACAGCTCAGAGTTGAACCGGCAGCGTCGAGCATGCTGGTTGCAGGAGCAGGCTAGAGCGAGGGGGGGGGGCACATGAGGGCCGGGCTCTCTGTTTCCAGCCCTCTCCCCACTGCCCTGCCCTCAGGAAAGGAAAAAAGAGAGGGTATGATATAAAAGACGCAGCCTGGAGCTTCTGAGTGAGCCTGGGTCCCAGAGCATCTTCATTCTCATTCTAAAATGGGATATTGGTCCAGAAGTGGGTGAGCAGGAGGGGACCTGGGGACTTCCTGAGTGGCACTGTGAAACTGTGGTGCTAAAAGAGGAAGGGCAGCTCTGGGTGGGCAGTGAGCTCAGACGCTGTCTGCCTCTGATTGTGTTCCAGAGCTTGGTTTCCTGGGCTGCAGAATGGCATTTGTAGTGTTTATTTCATGAGGCTTACGTGAGATAAAGCAGATAGAAAGTGCTTAACTCGGGGCTGGCACAGAGCAAGTACTTGCTGATGAGTGCTTCCGCATGTCAGATGCCAGGTGCTAAGTGATTGATGTATTTCATCCCCAAAGGGCTGTGAAGCTACCACTATCATCATCCCCAATTTGCAGATAGGAAAACAGACACAGAGAGGTGAAGTCTCTGCCCCAAGGTAGCACAGCTGGGTGGTAGTCAGAGGCAGGATTTGAACCCAGGCATCCTGGCTTCAGAGGCTGTGTTCTTAGCAACCACACTCGGGTGCTTCCATGTGGCTCATCTGAGGACAGTCTATTTTGCTGGTGGCATTTATCAGGTTTTTGAAAGCAGTAGCCCTTAAGCCTTACTGCTTTAGGAATTACCAGGGCCCCATTTTAAGAAAACAATATAAATCCAGGGCCCACTCTCTGGGCAGCTGCTGGGCTAAAGATCTGTATTTCTGGTGAGCACCCCAGAGTGCGCTGTTGAGGCAGGAGGTGCCTAGACCATCCTTGAAGTTACCTGGGTTTAAGGGGGTTGAGGGGCCTGCTCTGTCAGGTGCCTGGGAGTCCAGGAGCCGTGGTGCAGAGCTGGCTGTGTGTTCTTTGAGAAACGACTTGCTCTGAGCCTTGGTTTGCTCCATGTCTAGTGGGGATCTCCACCTCTGACTCCCAGGGTTTGGGGGTACATGAGAGGTGTCATTGCCACTCAGATTATCTGACTTGAGGGGAATCACTTCACCTTGCACCCCGCCACCCGGGAAACTCGGACCTGGGGAGTGGGAGTCTGCATGCCATGTCTGTAAAGCTGCTGCTCAGCCCCAGGAGTTAGCCTCACCTGTCCACCCACCCCACACCACAGCGCTGTCAATCTCTCACCCAAGTTTGGAGGGCAGTGCCCTACCCAGCCTGAGTGGCCATTCGGAGGGACAACCTCCCAGCTCCTGGGCCCAGAATGAAGCCTGTCCCACCCTCAGGACATGTGAGTCTCCCTTGCTCACTTCCCTGAGGGGGGCTGATGGAGCAGGTCAGACTTGGCTGCTTCAGAGGCCCGGTGGGGCTGCCAGATGGAGGCCCTAGTGCAGTGGGGAGCAGAGAACTGGAACATGGTGGTCTCCTGGCCCCCAGGGAAGTCTCTAGTAGGGGCAGAAGAGGGTTGGGAGCTGAGGCCACTAGGATGATCTGCTGGTACAGTATGTCCCACGCATGGAGGTAGGGGACTGGGCTCTACCCAGGGTCACAGTGGGGTGGGAAGAGCTGACCAGGTCTCTGAGGAGGGGCCTTGACCTTAGAAGCTGCAGCCTGGGAGCACCTGAAGGGAATGGGCATCAAGGAGAAGCTGGGGGTAATTATCGGCTGGCCCAGTGTGTGGTAGCTTCTAGGAAGGTGTGACTCCCTGCGAAGGGTCTCAGCCCTGCTCCTTGCTGGCACTCAGACTTGAAGTCAAGTGACCTGTCTGTCCCCTTGGGGCTCTCCTTCCTTTGCCAGGGAATGGTAACATGGCAGGTGCTCAGGAAGCTTTCCTTGTGCCAGGTGTGGACTGGACTCTGCTCTGGAGACTTTTGTGTGTCAGTTCACTGGATTTCCACTTCCACCTTAAGGAAGCACTGTTACTATTCCCACTTTTCAGCGGAGGGAAGGAAGTGAGACAGAGATGTTAAGTCACTTGCCCGAGGTCACACAGCTGGTAAGCAGAGGAGCTGGGTTTCACGCCCAGGCAATCTGGGCTGCCGAGACTGGGCTTCTGTCTGCCACCCTAGAGCACTCAGGTGACAGCACCCAGTGGGAGTTTGGCAAGCGGGAGCTGAGGCCCTGGACTTCCTGAGCTTGGGTCCTGGTTCTGTCACTCATGGTAGCTGTGTGTCTTTGTGCAAAGGACTCCCAACCTCCAGCCTTGCCTGCTCATCTAGAAATGGGCTTGATGCCACGCTGAGCTGGCACGTTTCGTGATTGTTGTGAGGTTGGCTGGAGTCAGGAAATGTCCCTCTGCCCAGTCTACTACCTGAGCACCTGCACCCAGCCAGGGATGGATGAGAGCATCCTGTGCCCTTGGGGACATAGGACCAACAAGTTGCGAGGGGGCCCCAGGACTCACGCAGGCAGGGGTGGGGGTGCCGGGGCGTGGCAGGCCTCCAGGGCCAGTCTCGGTGGGATGGGCGGCAGCTCTCGCACCCTGGGCCGGTGGTGTGGTGGCGGCAGCGGCAGCGCGGGGGCCGGGCACGGGCAGCACAGCGGGCCGCATGGCCATGGCACTGGCAGCGGCCTCTCACGCCAGCTGCTGCCAGCCCTGCTCGGCCTCCAAACTCCACACGGAGGTGGCTGGCCACCACCCTGGCCTTAGGGCCTGGTGGGGAGCGAAAGATGACCCTCTCAGGACCCCCCAAAGCCCCAGGCCAGGCAGGTCTGCGCCACAGAGGCCTCCAGGGACCCCCTGCAGCCCAGGCCGCAGATAGAACTAGGGCTGGGGGTCCTGGGGTGCAGAAGCGCAGGCTGACAGACGTCAGGAGGAAGGGGCCATCCAAATCCAGGGTCAGACTGCCATTGCAGGTGGCCCCAGGGCCAGGACTAGTCCCTGGGGAAAGGGTACAGGACTGGGGGCAGGAGGCTGCTATGCCACCTGTCAGCTGGGTCACTGGTGGAAGGCAGAAGCGAGGGCGTCCCCCTGGATCATAGCATGGGTCCGAGGTTGCCCGGCTTAGGAGGAACAAGAGGGCAAAGGTCACGGGCATGATCCCAGTAGAGCCAGCACCTAGGAGGAGAGGTGGCTGGGTGGGACCTCAGCCATCAGCCTCCACCCTGCTCCCCAAGGTGCCCTGGGGAACCCCAGCATTCCACCCCAGCCCTACCCAAATCCCCTCCCCGATTGCTTTGAAGCGAGGAAAATAGTTCCATCTGGGGAGAATCACTGTTTACATAACCCAGAGGGGAAAGAACGCAAGCAAAATCGAGAATTTTGCCTGAACTAATCCGTAGCTTAACACCCCAGAGTTATCCGTCAGTGTCGAAAGAGCAGGGCCTCTGGGGAGTGGGTGAGGGGTGGACCAGCAGAGGCCACAGATGTGGAAACCCAGAGAGGGACTAAGGAGAGACATGGGGAACAGGGCTGGGGAAAGCAGAGAGAGAGAGAGAGGACTCAGAGACAAAGAAACAGAAAAAAGACAGAAGCAGAGACAGAGAGATGGGTGGAGAGACCCACGGGAAGGTCCAGACGTGGGAGGCAGAGACAGGACAGGGCTGGGCACCCAGAGTTCACAGGAAGGTGGGAGATCCTGGGGGCCAAAGGGGCAAGCAGGTGACACGCTGGGACAGCCATGGACAGCAGACAGCCCACAGGCCTGGGGTGGGGGTGGGCAGAGCTGGAGGTGCCCCACCCCCCTGCAGGGGATCAGAAGCAGCAGGGTGGGGGATCTGAAGGGCTGAGGCCCCAGCCCACAGGGATCAGAGGGAGGCCCTTTCCCATGTGGGGCCCTAACCTTGTTCTCCACACCCTGGGCACGGAGGGGATTATCACCAAACACAGGCCTCCCTGCCACCCACCCCCAGCTCCTTAACCCTTTCTCAGCCACCCCAGTGCAAAGCCATAGAGGAGCAAAGGGCAGGATGGTGGCCTAGGGGTGGGTGGCAGCCAGGGTCTCTCTGGGGCTGAAAATTGGGTCTGCAGAATCCTGTGGGGCTGGGAAGGCAAATGCTTGGGTTCCCTGGAGTACCTGGAGTGGGATTCTGAGGTTAGATTTCTGGTACTTTCTGATCATCTCATCCCACCAGCCACTCTAGGCCTCAGCGGGGCCCAGGAATCAGAGTCCCCACACTCTCCATCCGTCCTCAGGTCCCTGGAGCAGATGGGGGAGCAGATGTTGGGGGTGGTGGGTAATGAGGGAGCAGAGACAAGCGGGAGGGTGGGAGAGGAGGGTGCCAGATGCCAGATCCCCCTCGGGGAGCAGAAATCCAGACAGACCCCAGGGCAAGGCAGGAGCTGGGAAGGACTCAGCCCTCAACTGGCCCTTCCCTTCTCTCCCGAACACCAGCGCCCGGGGAGCAGCCCACTCGGAGTAGGGATCTTTCTTGGGTTCCTGCCTGGCTCTGAATCCACACCCAAGCTGGCACCTGGGCTGGGGTCTCTGGGGCACCCTTGGTGGGAAGCTGCTGTTGCCATGCGGACCTGCCTCCCCCGCCCCGGACTACCGACACTGTCCCCAGTGAGCCTGGCGCCATTTTGCTCTCGTGGCAGCTCACTGGGCCCCTGGGCCCCAGCCTTGTTAAGGAACCCTCACCCCCTTCTCACCCTGTGTGAGAACATCCCCCTTGCTAGGTGGTTCAGGGAGTCCTGCCTTCTGGCCCTTAGCACCTGGGGAACCAGGGTGTGGGTACCCTGGTGCTCCTGGGACACAGAAACCAGCCCCTGCCTGCGTGGTGCCTGCTATCACATCCCCACATTTACCCCTGGGGGCCTGTAGCCCACCCCACCCTTCAGAGCAGGTAGGTCCAATGGGATCCCAGAAGACCAGCCGCTGCCTGGCTTGGGTAGTGGGGTCTATGGGGACCCAGGCTTCCCTCCCTTTGTGTGCACCCCATCCCAGCCTCAAGCCCTGTAGTCAGCCAAACCTGCAACAAGAAGAGCGTCCTGTAGTCGGTCCCCACTGCGCTGCCTTTGCAGGAGCTCGACTGGCCGCGGTGGGCTCTCAGGAAGGAGTGACGAGTAGCTGTGCTCAGGCCAGGCTCGTGGGGGTTCTGGGCGGGAGCTTTGAGCAGAGCCCGCAGAATCCTACACCACCTCCCCCACCCCCGCCGCCCTAGTCCCCTCGCCAACCACAGCCACACTCTCCCCACAGGGACCCCTGCCAGCCACAACACCGGAGACCATGTGGGACCAGAGAACCGCTGCCCCTGGTGGGTCCACAGCTGGGCGGCCCCAGGCAGGTGGGTGGAGGAGGCTCCAGGCAGGTAGGATGGGTGGCTGGGGTCCTGGGTCCACTCCCACTTGCCCCAGCCTACCAACTCCCCAGGGCGTGGCTCAGCTGTGTGGCGCCACGGCTGCAATTTGGGAGGGCTGACCTGTGGGCTGTTCAGGCTGAGGTGGGGCATTGGCCATGGGGAATTCTGCTGACCCCAGCCACCCCTCCTCATCCTTGCAGGAACCTGGTGTCGCCTGTGGGCTAACAAAGCATTGAGGTCAGTTGCTTTCAAGTCCTAAAAATCTGTTCTTGGAAGGATCAGGTCAGCTGCAGGGAAACTCAGAGAACTCAATGCCTGGGATGGGAGGGCGGGGAGAGCAGTGGAGAAGCAGAGCACCTCAGGCCTGTGGGTTCTGGGGGGGCCTAGGAGAAAGTGGGGAGCACCAGGGGCAGGGCTCAAAGACTCCCCAGCAACAGGGGGCCTTGATCCCCAGCCGCTTTTGTTTTTAGATTCTTGTGCAAATGTTGAATTGCCCATGTGAATGGTGGTAACTAGAAAAATAAAGTTTTCTAGCTTCCCTCTGGGGAAAGCAGAGGCCTCCAGTCCCAGGATGGTGCTCAGCGTTGGCTGCTCCTTGGCCTTGAGGACCCTGGCATTTGTTGTGGCTCAGCGGGGCTGTGCCTGACAGGTATCAGGGTACTCCCTGCCCCATGCTGTTCTGGGGTGGGGTGCAACCACGATTCTGGTTCTGGGTGACCCTCAGGTACATAATCCAGGAGGATCAAGGGCAGGGACATCAGATTTAAAAGATGGGTGTTAATTCCTAAAGCTGTGAGGAGGGATTAGCTTCAAGAAAAATCCATATCCGATTGGGGCCAAGAGACCCCGTCAGAGGGGGCCTTGTGGAACCTGGGCAAGGGATGCGTGAGAGACAGAGTGGCATATTGCAAGAGTCATGACTAGCTGATCAAGGAGTCCTGAGCACGCTCCTTCTGCTGCCCGACAGCAGGACGGGCAGTGAACAGTACCTCCGGGCGCTGGCCCTCCAGAGGTCACCTAGAGACAAAAGGCACTTTCTTTTGAGCACTTTCTTCCTATAAACTCCTAGAGGGTATCAAGTGCTTCAGAGCAAAGGCAGGCCAGGGGACCGGGCCTGGCAAGGACACATGTGATCCCAGCGACTCTGGAAGCTGAGGCAAGAGAGGGAGTGTTGGAGGCCCGTCTGGGCAACCTAAAGAGACCCTGTTTCAAAATAAAAAGGGTTGGGTATGTGGCTCAGTGGTAGAGTCCCCCAGCCTCTGGGTTCCATCAAGGGGGAGGGGTGGGGTGAGGGGAGAAGCCAGCAAGCAGGGGGTGGTTGCTGGGGTGGTGGGAGTCCTATAGGTTTCAGTGGGACAACAAGGGAACATTTGGGTTGAGGTCTGAAGGAGGCAAGGGCAGCCCCTCTGAGTGCTGGGACAGGAGCCCTGCAGCCCCGGAAGTGCTGGTGCACAGGGAGTCCTGCTGTAGAGAGGACTCCGGAGGCTCAGGCCACCTTGGTTTTCCTTGTAGGACAAGAGGTCCCTAAACTCTCCTCCCGGTGGGCCTCCTCCTTCCTCCTTTGTTCTTAATAGCTGCAGTGCCCCAGGCCATTAGAAGCCCTGAAGGCTCCTGCAAGACGGGAGGAGGAGGGGATGGTCTAGAAGCCTCCAGAGCCCAGGAAACATCCCCGAGCTGGAAGACTGAGGTGCTCCCTTTGGGACCTTCACCCCCTCGGCCCTGCTGCGAGTGTCCAGACCACGCCCTGTGTGACACCCGCAGTGGATCTGGGTTGTCTTGTTATCAGACATGGTATTAGTGTTGAGCTCAGAAGAGGGACATCTGCAAATAGGTGCAGTCAGTTCAGGGTAGGTGTTGGCACCAGATGGCTCAGGTGGGTCTCTGCCACCCTCCACTGACATAGGGAGCAGGACAGCAGGCTAGTGTGTGTGGGGGTGTCCTGGTTGTTGAGACTGACAAACAGCCATGAGGGGGAGCACAGGAGATCCCAGTAGATGGTGCTCAGAGGGCCCCCTCAGGGCAAGCAACGGGGTTGGAGGGCCCCAGCAGCATGTCGTCCACTTGGTGCCTGACCAGCATTTACAAAGAACTTCAAGATGCAGCAGCAGGATGTCAGACTCCACCAGGGAGCCTTTCTGAGCACGAGGCCATGGGGCTACTCTGGCCACACACCATGAGGTGGCCCTGGAGGATGCACTCTGGTCCTGAGTCAGTGTCTCCTCCCAATTGGCCCAGGCTCTGGTCCCCACTCTGCTGGTGCCAGCCTGGGACTCACCTGGGGCCTGGCTGCAGCAGCATTAGCTTCTCTCAGTGGAAGAACCTTGAGTTGGGCGGGTGGTATTAAAACAGATGGGACGAGGGCTGGGGATGTGGCTCAAGTGGTAGCGCGCTCACCGGGCATGCGTGCGGACCGGGTTCCATCCTCAGCACCACATACAAAGAAAGATGTTGTGTCCGCTGAAAACTGAAAAATAAATATTAAAATTCTCTCTCTGTCTCTCTCTCTAAAATAAAATAAAACAAGACAAGGATCCTATTAAAAAATAAAAGAAATAGATGGGACAGAATTTTCATCAGCTCAGAGAAGAGAGGCTCAGATAGATTTAATTTGCTTTTTGGAATGTGAAGCAGCCAACAAAGCATTTCTTGTGCATCTCTCTCTCTCTCTCTCTCTCTCTCTGTGTGTGTGTGTGTGTGTAGAGGGAAGAAGGAGTCATGTCTCTTGTAAGAGCTTACTGACCTCTTTGGGGAGCCATATTAAACTTGAGGCATTCAGAGAGGGCCAACAATGTTCAGATTTCCCAAAGGGCTCAGACTAATAAAGGAAGGCGCCCTTGCATATAGGAGGATGAGAACGGAGGCAGCCTGAGGAACTCCAGAGCTGGTCAGAAGAGTGAATGAGGGGAGAGAAACAGTGGAGCTGGGAGTGAAGACTGTGGGTGGGAGCCCTGGAGAGAGGTCATCTATTCCTTCAGAGGGACAGGGAGCCACGGTCACAGAGCCCAGTCAAGTCTAGTGGAGCCAGGGCAGGACCGACCTGAAGGCCAAATGATTGACTACAGTGACTCGGTGCCCCAGCAGTGCCAACGCCAGGCAGATACCTGAGGGACATGAAGACCACACACGCAGAGCTCACACAGGAGCCTCATGGACATACGGGACAGCGACTGGAGTGCCCACCAGCTGAGGATGACCAGGCAAGATAGGGCCCTCAGAGCCGGCATGTTCTTAGCCATCACAGAGCAGTGAAGCACTGACACAGGCCACCTGGGTGGGCCTGCAGAGCTCGAGGGCACCAAGTGGAGGACTCCAGACACAGACCACGTGTAGCCTACGCTTTTGTTACACGAAGCCCAGAATCAGCAAGTCCACAGAGACAGGAAAAGAGAAAATCCAAAGCACCTTAGTTGGAGGGGACGGCAGGAGGGTGGAAGTGAGGTGGTTAAAGGTGTAGGGTTTCTTTTGGGGATGATGTAGATATTTTTTTTAACAGAGTTTTATTGATTTACTAGCAATTTTAGTTTTTTGATGGACACAACATCTTTATTTTTATGTGGTGCTGAGGATGGAACCCAGCGCCCCGCACATGCCAGGTGAGCGTGCTATCGCTTGAGCCACATCCCCAGCCCTTGATGTAGGTATTTTAAAAGTTAGAAAACATACCGAAAGCTGTGAAATTGTGCAATTTTTTTGGGGGGGGTAGTACTGGGGATTGAACCCAGGATGCTCTACCCCACGCTTTTTAATTTTTTACTGTGAGATGGGTCTTGCTAAGTTGCTGAGGCTGGTCTCTAACTTGCAATCCTCCTGCCTCAGTTTCCAGAAAAGCTGGGATTATAGGCATGCACTACTGTATAAAGCAAAATTATACACTTTATTTTATTACTATTCTAATTAGTTGTACATGACAGCAGAATGCATTTCAACTCATTTTATACAAATGGAGCACAACTTCGTTTCTCTGGTTGTACATGATGTAGAGTCATACCATTTGTATATAGAGTAATGGGGTAATAATGTTCATTTCATTCTACCATCTTCCCCCCCATACCCCCTCCCCTCCCCTCACTCCCTATTCCCAATCCAAAGTTTCTCCATTCTTCATTTGCCCCACCCTCCAATTATGGATCAACATTCACATCTCACATGTTGGCAACATTATGGATCAACATTCACATATTGGCCTTTGGTTCTTTGGGATTGGCTTATTCCCTTAGCAAAATACTCTCCAGGGGCTGGGATTATGGCTCAATGGTGGAGCTCTCGCCTAGCATGGGCGGGACCCGGGTTCGATCCTCAGCACCACATAAAAATAAAGGCATTGTGTTGTGTCCATCTATACGTAAAAAAATAAATATTTTAAAAAAGATACTCTCCAGCTCTATCCATTTACCTGCAAATGCCATTATTTCATTCTTCATTAAGGCTGAGTAATATTCCATTGTGTATATGTACCACAGTTTCTTTATGCATTTATCTGTTGAAGGGCACCTAAGTTGGTTCCACAATTTAGCTACTGTGAATTGAACTGATGTAAACAAAATTATACACTTTAAATGTATGTGATTACATCTCAGTAAAGTGATTACCAAAAAAAGAAGAGGGTTGCTTACTGCAAATCTACATTTTTTTATTTTTTAAGAGAGAGAGAGAGAGAATTTTAATATTTATTATTATTATTATTATTTTTAGTTCTCGGTGGACACAACATCTTTGTTTGTATGTGGTGCTGAGGATCGAACCCGGGCCGCACGCATGCCAGGTGAGTGCGCTATCGCTTGAGCTCTATCCCCAGCCCTGCAAATCTACATTTAAAAGCTAACTATATTCTAGAGGAAGGAGGTGGCAGTTGCTAGTCCCTTGGGTCCTGGGCCAGAAACCAGCACTGTGGTACTTTTACCATATTTGACTGGGTGAGGCCTGCAGGAGCCTATCCAGATCCAAAACCCTCACACCTGCTATCAGCAACAGGAAACACTTGGCACTTAGCATTGTGGGTGCCTTGGCTAGTCCCATGTTATATAAGGAGGAGACTGAGGCCCAGGAGGTCAGAACCCAGCTGCACTCAGGGCTGCTGGCCAGCAGGGGGCCGGGCCTGCCAGTGAACTGCCTCTGCTCAACCACTGGGACGCGATGCGCTAAGGTGGTGGAGCAAGGATTCCTCTCCTTGGTTCTGTTTGCTTCTCTGCCTCTAGCACAGTTGTCTGGAAGTATTTATTTTACAACATGTATGAGTTTTTCTGTGTGCTTGAACTGAAGTATATTACAAAGGCACAGAAGTCCTCTGGCTGGCTGGACCAGGGAGCGGGCTACATTCCCAGTTCCCCAATGGATGCTGAAACCACAGGTGTGCCCAACCCTAAATGTACTGTTTTTTTGTATGTACATAGATGCCTGTGATGAAGCTTGAGTTTTCTAAATTGGGCACAGTAAGAGATGAGCAGCCATAGCTAACAAGTAGGACAGTTATAACAGTACACTGACACAAGAGGAGAATGTGACCTGTCTCTACCTATAACTGCCTTATTGTACTTACTTACACTTGTTCCCTTAAAAGAAGCCTTCTGTGGCTTCTCTTTGGCGTATCTGAACTGTCGGCACCACTGTTCTTGCACTTCGGAGCCATTATGTAGTGAAATAAGTGTGACTTGAACACAGGTGCTGGGATGCTGACAGGCAGTCCCTGGTGACTGACAGGTGGGGAGCTTCTCAGTGTGAACACGCAGGACAGAGGGAACAACTTGGCAGAGTGGGAAGGTGAAAGGTTCATCATGAAATCTAAAGTTTATAAATTGCTTTTTTATTTTTATGCTAGGGATTGAACCCAGGGGTGCTTATCCATGGAGCCACATCCCCATCCCTTCTTATTTTTTATTTTGAGACAGGACCTTGCAAAGTTGCTGAGTCCGGCTTTGAACTTGAGATCCTCCTGCCTCAGCCTTCCAAGTCGCAGGGATTAGCAGTGTGTGCCACTTTGTCCAGCTGAATTGCTTATTTCTGGAATTTCCCATTCAATATTTTCAGACCACATTTGACCTTCAGTAGTCAAATCTGTGTAAAATGAAAGGAGAGAACCACTGTATCACATTTAATTCTCATGCAACTCCAAGAGGTAGTGCCGTCAGGTGGGACCATAGAACTAGCTGCAACTGCAGGTAGAATACGGCTGGATATTAGTATTTCCAAATGGTGGACCTACTCACACTAATAGGTGAGAAAAGCTTAAGAGGTACAGGAACTTGGCCAGTCAGGTGTGATGCTGGTAAGGGCCTGGGCGGGGCCTGCGCTTGCGGGAGGACGCCCCATTTGTGCTGTCAGGCTTGCGCATGGCGCTTCAGACTGCCGACGCCTGGGGATCCTGAACTGGAAGCAGTGAGCGTGGCTTGCACCCCACTCGCCCCTCCTGACTCTTGTCCTCTCTCTCCCTGCAGCCAAGGGGTTTGGAGCCACCTGCCCCTCCCTCTCCACCTTCTACTTCCTTTTTGTTGTCTTTGTGGTGTCCACCATCTTCCACTGCCACCGGCGCCTGGCTCTGGTACCTGCCCCCTGGGCATATTCAGCCCAGGTGGTTGTGGTCCCCAGACACCACCCCCAGGAGGGCATGTTCACTATCAACTCCAAAGGCCGCCTGGGGAACCAGATGGGCCAGTACGCCACGCTGTACGCCCTCGCCAAGCTCAATGGACGGCCCGCCTACATCCCCGCGCAGATGCACAGCACGCTGGCCCCCATCTTCAGGATCACGCTGCCCGTCCTGCACAGCGCCACGGCCCGCAGCGTCCCGTGGCGGAACTACCACCTCAACGACTGGATGGAGGCGCAGTACCGCCACATCCCAGGGCGCTATGTCCGCCTCACGGGCTACCCCTGCTCCTGGACCTTCTACCACCACCTGCGCCAGGAGATCTTGCAGGAGTTCAGCCTGCACGAGCACGTGCGCGTAGAGGCCCAGAAGTTCCTCCAGGCCCTGCAGGCCACGCAGGCCTGGCGGATGACCTTTGTGGGGGTGCACGTGCGCCGGGGGGACTACATTCGTGTCATGCCCCAGGTGTGGAAGGGCGTGCTGGCCGACAGAGGCTACCTGCAGCAGGCCCTGGACTGGTTCCGAGCCCGCTACCGTTCCCCCGTCTTCGTGGTCACCAGTGACGACATGGCCTGGTGCCGGCAGAGCATCGACAGCTCTCCTGGAGACGTGGTGTTTGCTGGCAACGGCCTTCAAGGCTCCCCCGCCAGGGACTTTGCGCTGCTCACGCAGTGCAACCACAGTATCATCACCGTGGGCACCTTCGGGATCTGGGCCGCCTATCTCACAGGTGGGGACACTGTCTACCTGGCCAACTTCACCCTGCCCAACTCCCCCTTCCATATGGTCTTTAAGCCACAAGCGGCTTTCCTGCCAGAATGGGTGGGCATTGCTGCGGACCTCAGACAGGTCCAGCAGAGCAGCCTTTAGGCCTGCTTAGCTCTCCCTGTCCTGGGCCTCTGGGGTGTGTTGTGGAGGGGGGAATTGCAATTCAGAATGTCGGAGTCCAGGTGGTATTTGAATTTGCCTTTTCTACTTCATAGCTGAGTGACCTTGGACAAATGTCTTCATCTTTCTGTGCCTTAGTGTGACACCTTGAAGATGAACGCAGGCAGAACTTAGCAGTAACACATGAGAATCCACAAGTTCATGTAGGGCTCTTGCTTATGAATCGGGGGATGTGTGGGTATGGGAAGGTCCTGGTTGCTGAGGGCCAGTGGACCATACCCACTCGCCAGGTATGTGGCCTGACGAGTGCCTGGAGCGCTCTCACACAGAACCTTACTTTGTTGCAGCACTGGTAGCATGGAGTCCCCATGTTCCATATCAGATCCTAGGGGGTTCTGTGGAGGCCATTCCTGCCCTGGAGCTCCAGGAACTCAAGGCTTTGCATCCATGGGCCTTCCCATGACGGAATGCAAGGGATGGCAGGATGCAGTACTGGGTCTTGGAGGTGTCCTCAGTGGGGAGGCTGTTCCCTTGCAGGGCGGCCGATCCAGGGCGAGAATGCCTCACCTTGGCAGCCCCGGCCACAAAGACTCGGGGTGCACATTGTCATGGGTGACAGCCTGACCCTAAAGGGCTATGGAGACCAGACCACAGCCATCTCAGCAGCTGCCTGCAGATACGGTGACTGGCAACAGACGCCTCACCCCTGCTCTGCCTAAGCCCCTGGGACCTCATTGCCACTCTGAGCAATCCCAGCGTGGCCTGCCCAGGCCTGTCTTCCATTGCTGTAACTGAGGGTCACAGAGTGGGAAGAGTATAAAGAAGGCAGGTTCTTGAGGCCCCAAGGCCTATAATATGGTGCTGGCAACTGTTTGCAGCCGGGTCATGACATGGCAGGACTGAAGGTCCTGGCTCAGGTCTGCCCTTTTGTGAAGCCATGGTCCCCTGGGATTGGCCCTTTGTCCTGTGACCTCTTACCTCAGTTGCCTTCCAAAGGTCCCACCCCCAGGCTCATAGCTAGCTTAACTTCCCCACTCTCCTCCCTCACAATGAGGAGTAACTTGCCACCCAGAGTCTTGGTGGGGACATTCCAACCATAGCACAGACAGAAGTGGGGTTAGGTGGCTACACAGCTGGTTTTCCTGTATTCAGTGTTGTTGTTGTTGTTGTTAATAGGAATTTTATTTTTACTTTTTTCCCACATTTATATTGGTGCATTATAGTTGTACATAAGTTCAGTGTATTTTAAAACATGGAGATGCCAGAATGTTATTGGTGTAATGCTCCTTTATGGGTATTTTAAAAATCATAACAAAATCATTTGAATTCACTTAAAATTCCTACCAGGTGCCCTGGTTTAGGGACCATCTCTGTCACTTTCTTTCCTGCATGACACCATCTCCAGGTGTTTGACTTGCCATTCTTGGGCTCACTTCCAGAGCCCAACCCCTCATCCCCATGGAGTGCTAATGTGCCTTCTCAGAGTCGTCTTGGGCCTGGCTCCTTCCTTCCGTCCTTGACAGGGTGGTCAGGTGTGGCGTTGGCTATAAAGTGGCTTGGGCACGGCAGGTCTCTGCCACCTCTTCCCTGCCACGTGGCAAAGCACCCTGAGACCTGGTGCTTAAGACATGGACAACACTTGCTTTCTCACGCGGTCTCTGGGGGGCCGAGCTGCGCGGCTGTGTCGAGCAGCCAGGAGATGGCCCTCCAGTGTTAGCTGGGCCGGGGATCTGCTCCCATGACTGGAGGGTTGGTGCTGGTCCTGGACATGACCTCTGCCAGCCACTTGAGTGTCCTTGCAATGTGCAGCCAGTTCCTCCAGAGCCAGGAAGCTGCAGAGGCCTTGGTGACCTAGCCTCAGAGGACGTACTGTCACCCCTGCCCCATCTGTCACTCCAGACAGCAGCTCCGCCTCCACGTGGGAGGGGACTGCACCAGGGCCTGTATCCCCCAAGTGGAGGTGGGGTCCTGGAGCTTGGTGATTCAGCACACCCCGGCTCAAGCCACAGATACCGATTGTCTTACAGTCATGGCGGACAGAAGTCCAGGTGGAGGGTGAGCAGGGCAGCTCCTCGCAGGCCCAAGGCAGGATCTGTTCAGGCCTCCCTCCTCGCCTGTGTTGTCCTCACATGTCTCCTGCTGTGTCTTCACATGATCTGCCCTGTGGGTGTCTGTCCTCATCTGGTTTCTTATGGGGACACCAGGCTGGATCAGAGCCCACCATAGCAACCTCATTTAATTACATCCCATGACCCCATGCTAAGGTTCTGGGGGCTGGGGCTTGAGATTTTGTGGGGACACAATCCAGCCATATGGTGGTCTTCTGTGATTCCTAGCTGGTTCCCTAGGGTCCCCTTCCCTTTTCCCTTCATCCTCTCAGGACTGGCCCTCAGCAACCAGGATCTTCCTCACATCACCCTTGTGGAGAGACTCCAGCAGGAGGGAACAGGAATCTGGGGTCCTGACCCCTGGGTGAGGGCTGTGCCCGGATTCCCCCCCCAAGTAGACACTCATATGCCACCCCCTGCTGACTCCTCCACTTCCTCCAACTTGCCGCATTCCTAGAGGCCAATCGATGGCACCTGTGGCCCTATGGCCACCTGTTGTGTTGGGTCAGCGGAGTCCTGTCCAGAAGTGGAGCAAGGAGGGACAATAAGGTCAGATTATTTGGTCTCCCAAGGATGGTCACCACTTCCCACGGTCACTGGCCCTCTGGAGCTGTGCTGCCTCGCTGACCTGCGATCCTACCCGTGCTGCTGACACCATACTGTGGAGCTCAGCCCAGGTGGCCCAGTCTGAGTGTTCCTTGTACGTGGATCCTGATCTCACAAGATTCCCACGTTGACATTCTTACTGGGACACTGAAATCACTGGGGATCTGTGTTGGCTCACTGAGAATGATGCAGACACACGGCAGACACCTTGACACAAATGGAGCTGGGGACATTCCGGGGCAGGGAGTCAAGTGCCACTTCCCTGCTCTGGTCTTTCCTCGGCATCCTGGGGGTGATGTGGGTGAAGATCTGGGAGCCCCGTCGTGCAGCCTCCTTGTCTTGGGCCCTTTCTGAGGGCCTCTGCCAGGAGGGAGTGGGACAGAGCAGGCCCCAAGCTGGCTACTGTGGGCTGGGCATGTCACTTGTCATGTGGCACTCAGCTCTGTGTGATCTGGACACGAAGGGCCCCACTCTGTTCCCCGTGTGTTGGGTGTTGCTTGAATGAGGACAGCCACAGCTTCTCTTTTATAAAAGCCCAGTAGAAGTTGGCAAACTGCCAATCATAAGTTGCATTTATTCATTTGACAAATATTTACTGAGCTCCCCACCTCATTTGCAAGTTCCAAAGCAGAAGCTGGCCAGTGCCAAGAAACCACTCCTGTCCCTCGGCAGAGGGGCAGGAAGGAAGCCAGCAGGATAGGCGCCACGTAGGTTCCCCAAGCCACCATGCCCAGCTCCTCAGATGGCACTGAACCCACAGTACATGCAGGTCACGGGCTGAACTGTGCACCCCACCCCGACATTCCTGTGTTGGAGTCCTAACCTCCAGTATCTCAGACAGTGTGACCTAAATTGGAAATAGGGTCATTGCCGATGTAGTAGTCGAGACAAGGTCATGCTGGAGTAAAGGGGCCTTGGTCCATTAGGACCAGGGGCCACCCAGACACACAAAGGGGCAAATGCCGCAGGTTGACAGGGGCAGAGGTGGACTTCTGGCATCAAGAACTGTATGAGGAATGCTTCCTGCTGTTCCCAGGCACCCAGTTTGTGTCGCCCTGTTGTACAGGAGCCCTGGGGAGTGGATAGAGTGTCGTGTCCGCCAGCTGAATGTTGAGACCCCCCAGAGGGCTGGTGCAATGTGAGGCCCGGGCTCCATCCTCAGCTCCGCACATGGAGACACAGGTGAGAGACTAAATTTTCTCTTGGCCCTGGCCCCAGGCCTGGGTTCTGTCAGGGAGTCAAGCAGAGAGTGGACCCGGGAAGCTGCCAAGAGCTACGTGGCTGTGGCCCCGGAGTGACCTAGCAGCAGAACCCCTGCTTCTGAAGTCTGAGTAGCTGAGAATCTCAGAGCCCACTAAGGTGGCAGAGAGAACTGAACCAACCCAGCCGGGGTCTGAGGGCCACGGCTCCTTCCAGGGGTTGAGCCCAACCGGAAGTGGACTCTGGTGTGCACCTCCCTCTGCCCCCCTTCACCCTGACCTTGAGTTCAGCTGGAGCTGGAACTGGAACTGGAAGAGCTGGGGAGGCGGGGCTCACTGGCTGCGTTTCCTCCCAAAACTCAGCAGGACGCTCACGAGATTTTCAGACTTATCACAAGAATTTTTTTCCTCCTTTTTCTTTTCCTCGGTGCTGGGGTGGAGCCCGGGGCCTTGTGCATGCCGGGCACACGCTCACACAGGCCTCATGACCCTTGAGGCCCTCCTCATCACCGGGAGGGTAAATCTCCTTAGTCCACTCACAGAGCCGGCGGCGGTGGCTGGTGTGCCAGGCCGAGGTTAATCCTCCCGGCCACCCCAGGCTCCCACGCTCATCAGCCCGGGATTTGGGGCAGGGACGGCGCCTCCCTAAGCATTAGAACGGTGCCTGGCCAGACATGTCGCAGGGCAGATGTTATGGTTTAGATATGAGGTGTCCCCCAAAAGCTCATGCGGGAGGCAATGCAAGGAAGTTCAGAGGTGAGATGATAACGTTGAGACGCCTAACCCGTCCAGGGCATCTGTCCACTTGAGTGGACTCACTGGCTGGTGGCCGCGGGCAGGTGGGGTGTAGCTGGAGGAGGTGGGTCTCTAGGGGCACACTCTCCCTTTCTCTTCTCACCCCTTCCTGGTGGCCATGTCCTGAGCCCCCTCCCTCCACTACACTCGTCTGCCATGACATCCTGCCTCACTGTGGGCTCAGAGCAATGGAGCCAGCCGTCCACCCAGACCTCTGACGCCAGGAGCCCCAAATAAACTCTTCCTCCTTAAAACCATTCTTGTCAGGCCTTTTAGTCACAGCGACGGAAAATCTGACTGAAACTCTTGGCTTCATCCACTTGTCACGTTTCTGGGGTTCATCCACATGGGACACAGGTCAGCACTTCACTCCTCTCAGGCCAGGTGGCAGGTGGACCTCTGCAAAGTCACGAGAGGCCATATTGATTGCACAAATCGAACTGACGGAATTCCTTCAGGGCTGCAAGTTCTAAAGCAGGCAGTGACAAGCCCCCACCTGCTCTCTCCCTGTCCCCCACCCCTACCCTCCCTCCCTCTCAACAGAAGGGACAACAGGAAGCAGAACAGGATGGGAACTACTTCCTCGAAGTCAGAGGTGCCTACCCCTGTCCCCAGCGGAACGCAGCACACAGCTTGATTAAACACCCACCGAATGCATGAAACGTGTCATGGCGGCACATCTGAGGACACCGTGAACTGGGGAGTGACAGAAATGCTCTTTCTCCAGGGAGCTGGCTGGACCACCAGCGCACCCTTCACCAGGCCAGCAAGGGTAGGGACAGCATCCTCATTCCGGAGGCAGAGGGTGCTGTCCCCAGGGCATTTTGGGAAACTGAGGGAGGCTTTCGGTTGTCCCATTGGTTGTCAGGTGATACCAAAGCATCAGGTGACATTAACCCCACAGCAGACATGGAGAGGGGACAGTCGCAGGGGAGTGTCCCTGTCTACTCCGCGCAGCTGCCTGTTTCTTTTCCCATGGCAGCAGCTCCCTGGGAGCCCAGGCCATTTGCCCTGTGGCGGCCCCCATTCTGGACGTGGCGACTCATCCTCGTGGTGTCCATTGTCACTTGATTCTCTTGTTTTCTGAAACTCGATGGATACAGCAGGAAGCTTGATTTGATTTCAGCTTTTCCCCCCTTTTTCCTTTAAGGAGATTCATAGCTGATCCATGAACCTCCTGCTTCACTTGGGGGCCCAGAGTGGCCACGGTCCCTCATTCAGTGTTAGGACTGTGGGGGCCTCTGGCAGAGCCTCACCCCTCCCCAGTAACCGTCCTCATTAATCTTGCACCTGACTTTGGCAGCCGTAGACAGTGATACCGCAGTTCCTGTTTCTGGGTGTCACTGTGGATGCTGAATGGTGATTTCCCGGGAGTAGTTTTAAAATCAGGGAGACTGAGAAGAGTCTCCACTTGCCAGGGATTTTCCAAGACCTAGCCCCCTGGTTTCAAATCCCAGCTTCTACTGTGTGACCTTGGGCAAGTTACCTTAGGTCTCTGTGCTTTGGTTTCCCTGTGGAATTGTCAGGAAGATTGAACGGGTTGGTGCTGTGTGTGTGGCGTTGCTCTCTTCCAGTTCTCGGAGAGCACTGGGCTGGAGGAGCGTGGCCTGGACTCCTCCACTCCTCCATGCCTTCCTGGCCTGCACCCTACAGACTCAGGCTCCCGGGATCACCTCCCTCCCGCAACCAGCCACACCTGCTCTGGGGAGCCAGGTGCACCCTGGGTGGGGCTTTCTGGCCATTAGTGCAGGAAGGCTCCGGAAAGTTATTTGGCCTGAATGAAGAGGCGACCTGGAGGACTACTGAGCTGCCACAGAGCCGGCTACAGAGGCACCTGTCACCCTCCCTGCAGCCAGACCAGGTGAGAGCGGGTGAGGAGAGCGCCTCCCACCCGCAGACCACACGCGCACACCAGGGCAGAGAGCCCAGAGCAGTCTTGAACCCGGGCCTTGGGGAAGCAGAGACCCGGCCTCCCAGGCTCATGCCATGGCCTCTGATCCCCTTTGGGATGCACCCAGCCAACCTCCAGGAGAGGAGTCCACCCCTTGGCAGCCAAGACCCCCTCCCAGTCCCCAGCCCCGGGCCCTTGGCCTCCAGGCCAGCTGCTCCCTCCCCTGTCCCTTCCCGTCCTGTCCCAGTTTCCAGGAACTGAACTAGGGATGAGTGTGCGGGCAGGAGGCCAGGACATGGCTCAGGGTAACCAGATCTTCCTGTCCCAGCTCTGAGGGGATGGCAGGACCTTGGCACAAGACCTGGGGTCCTCAGAGACCCCACAGTTGCCACCCCACTCCCCTGACCTGCCACTGCCCAGGGAGGGGCTTGGGCCTTCGCTCAGTCCCTAATCCCACCTGGAGGCACCCGTTCTGTTCAAGGCTGGAGACGAAGTTGGGGATATCAAAGTGACAGCTGCACTCAGCTCCAGTCTCCTCCTGGAGTCATGACTTGGTGCCCAACAGGCCCAGGCCCCGGGAGCAGGACAGAGAGGGGGAGCCGCAGCTGGGAGGGATGAGCTCACCTGGGGATGAGGGTGACAAGGCCCAGGGGCCAGGGCCAGGTCAGAGGCTGGGATTTTGCTCTTGAGGGGGACAGGGAGCCACGGAAGGCTGCTAGCTGGGGAGGGGCAGGCCAGCTCTGCATGGGGGGGACAGAGTGGAGTCCAGGGAAGGGGAGAGAAGGCCGAGCCCAAAAGGGAGAGGGTGAGGCCAGGCCTGGGACAGGAAGAAGTGGAGGAGACCGAATTCAAAAGTCTTGGCTGATACTGGTGGCTCCACTTCTCTGAGGGGACTGGAGCCTGGTTCCTCCTTCAAAGTCGGGGCCCGTTTCTGGCATTGTACTGCAGCCCCTAAAGGAAGGCCCTGGAGACCCAGATGGAGGAAGGGACAGACCTGACCTCTATTCTCTCCTTTACACCTACAGCCCGGACTGACGTGTGGGATACAGCTGTAGGAACTGAGGGTGGATAGCAGGATGAACTTCCTGACCTCAGAGAACTAGCTTGGGGAAAACCCAAACTCCTCCCATTTGTCAGCAGCAGCCCAGCTGCTGACTCTAGCTGTTGGCTAGAATCTAGCATCCAGGATTTCCCCACTGGTGACAACCTGCTGCTTTTCCCATCTCCTGTCATCCGAACACCCTCCCCAATGCCCCTCTACAGATTTAGGCCTTTGCCATGCTCCCCCAAGATCCTCCCTTAGCCACGGGGCCCTGGGCTAGGTTTTCTTTGCCATAAAGTGGGCATGGTAACATAGAGTTGTTAAAACTCAGTAAAGAAAGTCGGGGGCTGTGGCACACCCCTGTAATCCCAGCAATTAGGAGGCTGAGGCGGAAGATCCAAGTTCAAGGCCAGCCTCAGCAACTTAACGAGACCCTGTCTCAAAAATAAAATAAAAAGGGCTGGGGATGTGGTCAGGGGTAAAGTGCCATTGGGTTAAATCCCAGTACAAAAAAAAATAATAATAAAATACAAACAAAAACTCAGTAAGATACACAGCCGGACACTGGGTCCGAGGCCGACGTAGGTGTGAGTTTGGGGTGTCAGCCCTGCCCTCCATGCCAGGAGCACCCGTGCAATAGGACATTTCGCTGCAGTGTGCATCAATACCGATCCACGCAGCCCTGGAGGAATTATTATGGACCAGGACCCTGAAGCACAGGTAAAGGCCCTCGGTCAAGGTCACTCAGCTAATCGGAGACTCACATGTCAAGCCCGCTGCCTCTCTAAGACCCTGGGTTTGCTCTGGGACCCTCACCCCTCCTCCCTGGGCGGCCTCTGAAGCCTCCCTGTCCTTCTGTTGGCGGCAGCGGGGCTGCAGGTTCTCAGTCCAGGAGCCCAGATGTCGGCACGACTGGGAAGGAAAGCATCCTCCCTACTCGGTGCCCAGAAATGGAGACTAAGAGGGAAAAGAAAACAGAAAGACGAGAATGCAGACAGACAGACAGACAGGATGGGGAGATGGGGGGATGTCGCTGAGACCCAGGCAGAGAGGGGGAAACCAGGTGGGGCCAGACATACGCCGGCTGGGACAGCGACCCCCAGGTCCTCCAGTGAGGGCACACGACGGGCACGTCCTTCCTTCAGGGGGCGTGTTTGCAGGGAGCTGCCACCTGGGGAGGTCGAAGGGCCTGGCCTGGGGAGGGGACCTGGAGGGGGAGCAGGGCAGGCAGCAGGGCCTGAAATGGTGTCACCAGAGGGAATGGCTTTGCCACTCACCCCTCGCTCCACTAAAACCTTGGAAGACACACGGGCAGGAAAATGGCTTCGAGGAGACAGAGGAGAACTTCCTGCCTCAAATCTCCATCTTGTGGCAAGGCTGGGGCCTGAGAGGAGAGAAGGCGGAAACGGGTCTGTAGGTTCAGCTGGGCTGTGTTCTCCAGAAACGCCTCAGGGCCCGGGTGCTGCCAGCCTGGGCCTCCACTGTCCCTATGTGGAAATGTGGCTGCAGGGGACCGTTGTCAGGCCCTCCCCTTCAAAGGGGCCTGCGGGACAGTGGGATAGACTGGCTGCCTGCGGCTCATTCCCCCTTCCCTTTCCTCCCTCCTCTACCGTCCACAGCATTTCCTGGGTCCCCGGGTGACCCTGGATGACCTGTGCCCTGTACTTGGCAAACCTAGAGCCACCTCTGCTCCCTGACCTTGGGGCACACACTGTCCACTTAAAAAAACAAACACCCAGAAGAAGGGACATGGCAGGGGCTGCTCCCCTGGGCTCCTTCCTGTCCTCCCGCTTCCTCGGCTCCTCTGGTGCCCAGAGGGTCTCCCCACCCAGCCAGGGGCAGGGCCTCTGGTCCCCTGAGGGTCTGGACAGGAGCAGCCCTGCTCGGGGAATGGGAGCCAGCGCTCAGCCAGGGGCCAGCAACCTGCCCGTCTCTCTTTTTGGGAAGGCCAACTACTCTCAGGGATAAATTGCTCTGTCCATTCCCACTTTAGTTTGAATGTGGCTTACGGTGGCTGCAGTAGCTGGGCCCTCATGGACCCAGGCCCACCATCCACTGGCCACTCTGTGTTTCTAATTCCAAATTCCCAAGGGAGACGCTCTACCTGGTCCTCACTCTCGGAGCCAGCGCCCACTCCCACACGTCACGGACAGGCCATGGACGGGCCACCCGTGGGCCCGTGTCATATAGGCTGTACCTGATTTTTTTCCAAGGACACCAGTTGAACTGGTGACCTCATTTTTAACTTGGTCATTTCTGTCAATACCCTATCTCCAAATAAAGTCACATCCTGAGGTACAGGGGTTAACACTGCAGCATATCCTTTTTGGAGGGACACAATCCAGCCCATAACAGACTGCAACAAGGTTTGGGGTTGGTGGCAAACGTGTCCCGTCTTCCTACAGCCCACCCCTTGATGGCCCGTTGCACATATGCTCTACTCCATTTCTTCAGTGCCATGAAGAAAAGCAAGGAAAATCCCACATCAGCCTTGTTGGGCAGAATCACAGACATCTCGGGCCACTTCCCACTTTCCAGAGGGAGGCTCCCCAAAGTTAGCTCCACCCACCAAATCTGTATTCCAAGGTATGGGGCCGGGTGGAGGCTCACTGGTAGAGCGCTTGCCTAGCAGGCATGAGGCACTGGGTTCAATCCCTGGCACCACATAAAAATGAACAAATAAAATAAAAGTATTGTATTCAAAGGTATGGGGTACCTTAGCTGGTCTCCGAATCCCCAACCTCCAAATAAGACTGACTCCTTCTCTGGGTGTTTCCCTCTCACTCATGTGTGACTCCTCCCACTGTGATCTGTGTCTAAATGCTGAAAACTCGCCCACACTCAGTAGCTCCCATCCGCAGAGTGGGAACCCCTGGTCTTAACCTAGAGCCTGCACATAACAGCACCCGTTGCTCTGGGGGCAATAATAGTGTGTCTGTGCTACACACTGTTTTAACCCTCAGAGAAGTCATGTCACCTTCCCTGAGTCACACAGCTCATGAGGGTGACAGCCTGAAATCAGCAGCCACATCCACTGTGGTGTGTGGTCTCTGAGTTACCACGAGAGACGCATTCTGTTTGGGCAAGTGGAGGGAGGATTGGTTCTGAAGCAATGAGGAAGGAAACTTCTCTAGCACTTCACAATTACCTTATCACTGGCGGGTGATGAGGTTTATAACAACATTGAGGATCTCGGGAGCATGAGCTGAGTTAGAAATGGACGTGGCCTCCCCAGTTCCTTTCATTCCAGCCAAAGGGAGTTGGAGAGAACTGGACCACCCAAGGGTCTGGTTGGGCCCAACACTTGGGAATGACCCCAAGGGCCCAGACTGAGCTGAGCTCAGTTCAAATCTAGGTAACTGGTTGACAAGGCCGAGGGTGATTCTGGGCTCACTTATGTGACCTTAGTGGGCTCTGAGGTTTTGGGTAACTTGTAAATCAGAAGCAGGGATACAGCAACGCTAGCTTCTCTGCCGACTTTTATTGGCTAGACTAAGCCTAAAGACCACATCTGTGTCCATCCGGCAGCTTGGCGGTTTCAATCAGGTCACAACCTGCTTGTGTTGGCTCTGGAGTCCTCTCATGGCCCTGTGGCTTAGTGCTCTGATCAGGAAGGCAGGCCATAGCCAAGGCCGCAGGAGCCTTCTGTCTCCACCTACCTCTGTGCGAGTCTCCAGGAAATGCTGCCATTAAGGCTTGCTGGTGAGGAAGAGTCTTTGGAAGGACTGGAACTCCCATGTACTGGGGAGGAGCCAGAGGTGAGAGGAGGTGGCAAGGCCCCTGGAGGTCTCCGAGCCGGAGGCCCTGGCACCACTGACTCCTCCCAGACGTCCCCGTTCCCATTACTCAAAACCTAATCTTCACAATTAGTAACCACACCTGGCTTTGTGACTACACAGCACCAAGGGTGTTTCCGCTGACTGCAGAAACCCATCAATCATTCATAGGTGGAACCATGAGCTATACAAATGTGTCAACAGTGACGGTGCTTGATGACCAGCTGCTTTTGTCAACTGGCTTCTAGTCACATAATGGGACCAGAATCGTTGCGCTTCTTACAGCTGCTCTACTCCTGCTCCGCAACCACGTCGGCCAAGCCTCATCCTCTGGGGGGCTGTAACTTATCTCAGGGCATCTCAGGCCACAGCTTCATAACTGCTTCACACTACAGACGCTGGCTCGAGTTTTCCACCCCAGAATAGGAGCCCTCACTGCTTTCCACCTCCAGTGATACTACAGTGGGTCCCAGTGACAGAAGTCACTCCTACGGAACCACCCCACTCTTGGAAGTCACTTCTGTTGCAACCAGAGCTGAAAAGAACAGGCGAGCTGCACACTGTGGTGCAGGCCTGTGATCCCAGAGCTTTGGGAGGCTGAGACAGGAGGACTGCAAGTTCAAGGCCAGCGTAAGCAACTTAGCAAGATCTTGTCTCAAAAATTGAAAAATAAGAAGGACTGGGGCTGTGGCTCAGTGGAAGAGTGCCCCTAGGTTCAATCCCCAATACTACAGAAAGAAAGAAGGGAGAGAAGAACGAAAGAAAGTTTAAAAAAAAGAGAGAAAAGAATAGAAACGAAAAGAAAAAAACAAAAAACATATCTGTACTCAAATACAAGGCGGTGTTCAGGGATTTCTCGGCTGGCACTGAGGTTTTGCTGTTCAGGCATCTTGCAGTTCCTGGCGCCCCCTTGGAGCCTGTAACTTCCCCAACTCAGCCACTCCGCACCCTATTCCTTCTCTCAATATCATTGGCCAACTGTCTTCAGGGTCTTTTAGTAAAAATACCCAAGAGAGAGAATTTGATTGGCTCAACTCACTTTTAAAGAAAGCCAGCCTACAATTCGTAGCCAGGGCCAATGAGTGGAGAGGCCAGCGTGGGGCCACGTGTCCACCTCCAGTTCAACTGGCTGTGACAGGGATGGAGGGGCCGTCAAGAAGTTCAGTCTCCTGAGGTGGACATAGGAAGGGCGTGCAAAAGATGGACATCTCTAGAAACTGGATCCCCAGTGAAGTGTAGGCACGCATACCTGTGCTCACCATTTACAGATGCAGTCTATCAGCACCCACCTTCAAATATACAAATGGACACACACAGTGCACAGACAACTTACATCTGTTTCACTTAAAATTTTTAAAGATATTTTTTTTAGTTGTCAATGGGCCTTTATTTTATTTATTGATATGTGGTGCTGAGATTTGAACCCAGTGCCTCACACATGCTAGGCAAGCTCTCTACCACTGAGCCCCAGCCCCAGCCCACACTTAAAATTTTTGACTTTACAAAGGTGCAAGAGTCAGACATATTCAGCAGAAGCCATACTTGAATTCTGAATTTTGCTCTTTTCCCAGGCAGATATCTTGATCCTGGGCAGCAGCAGTGAGCCACAGCTCTAGCCAGCCACGCCATCATGGTGGTGATCAGCCAGTACTCCAGAATGTGCTGTGCTGCTCGGCTGTGATGTGTGGTGGGTTAGGGGTACTCTGTGCTTTTTTTTTTTTTGTACTGGGGATTGAACCCAGGGTACTTTATCACTAAGCCACAGCCCCAGTCCTTTCAATTTTTTATTTTGAGAAACAGTCTTGCTAAGTTGCTGAGGCTGGCCTCTAACTGTGGCAATCCTCCCACCTCGACCTCCTGAGCCACTGGGATTAGAGGTGTGTGCCATCACGCCCAACTTTCACTGTGTTTTTGTATTATGATATTTTTAACTTACAGCGGGCTTATTGGGATGTGACCCCATGGTAAGTGGAGCACCACTGTATACCATACATTCACACCCTCATCCACTTGTGCCACGTTCACGACCACCTATACACTACACACACCTGTATGCACACTCACCCGTGTACATACACAGTAGATGTACATCTATGCCCTGCAATGTACTTGCGTTTCTTCATATGCACAGAATTTCACACACACCTGTATGTGTACACAAGGTACAGATACCCATAAGCACATATATGCAACACATGATATCCAACTGTATACACACATCCATGGATAAATGCATGTATACACACACCTGCCCAAACACATTATGTTAGGTTTTCATCACCAAAATACCTGAAAAGGAGAACTTAGAAGAGGAAAGGTTTGCCAGGCACGGTGGTACACACCTGTAACCCCAGCGGCTCAGGAGGCCGAGGCAGGGAGATCACGAGTGAAAGCCAGACTCAGCAAAAGTGATGTGCTAAGCAACTCAATAGGACCCTGATTCTACATAAAATACAAAATAGGGCTGGGGATATGACTCTGCAGTCGCGTGCCCCTGAGTTCACTCCCTAGTACGCTGCCCCCCCCCAAAAAAAAAAAGATGAGGAAAAGTTAATTTGGCTTATGGTTTCAGAGGTTCAGTTTGTGGTGAGGCGACTCCATCATTCTGGGCCTGAGGGAGGCAGAGCATCATGGCAGAGGGCCCTAGCCAAGAAAGCTGGCAGGAAGCAGAGAGGGACAGGAGGCTGAGTCAGGGCCAAAATAAATAATCCCAAGTCATGTCCCTAGTGACCCACTTCCTTTAGTCGTGCTCCATCTGCCTGCAGTCACCAGGCAGTGATCCAGTCCAGTTATTAACCCATCCCTAGATTAATCCGCTGATTAGGCTGCAGCTCTGGTAATTAGTCCTTTCACTTCCTGCATCGACACAGGAGCCTTGTGGGGACCCCTCATATGCAAACCATCACACGCACACACCGGACAGACACACCTGCCTGCACTTGCCCCGCTGTGCACTCGGGTCACAAACACAGCCCGCACAGTGCCTGTGCACCGGCTGCGCAGCCACACTCTCGCGCCTGCATCAGGAGCTAACGTGCCGCTTTCCCTTTCCTACAGCTATGGCCAGCACCCCGGGGCCCTTCTCCTTTCCCATGGCACACGTTGTCCTCTTTGTCTTCCTGGCTTCTGCCATCTTTCACCTCCAGCAGCGACTGGCGAGGCTTCAACCCCCAGGGGAGGTGCAGACACCAGCGCCACAACCCACGCGCGAGAGGCCCACAGCCCAGCAGCTCCAGGGCATGTGGACCATCAACGCAGTAGGCCGCCTGGGGAACCAGATGGGCCAGTACGCCACGCTGTACGCCCTCGCCAAGCTCAATGGGCGGCCCGCCTACATCCCCGCGCAGATGCACAGCACGCTGGCCCCCATCTTCAGGATCACGCTGCCCGTCCTGCCCAGCGCCACGGCCCGCAGCGTCCAGTGGCGGAACTACCACCTCAACGACTGGATGGAGGAGCAGTACCGCCACATTCCGGGGCGCTACGTCCGCCTCACGGGCTACCCCTGCTCCTGGACCTTCTACCACCACCTGCGCCAGGAGATCCTGCGGGAGTTCAGCCTGCACGAGCACGTGCGCCAGGAGGCCCAGCAGTTCCTCAGGGGTCTGCGGGTGAACGGGAGCCGGCCCAGCACCTTCGTGGGGGTGCACGTGCGCCGGGGGGACTACGTGCGTGTCATGCCGCAGGTGTGGAAGGGCGTGCTGGCCGACAGGGGCTACCTGGAACAGGCCATGCAGCGGTTCCGAGAGCGCTTCAGGTCCCCCGTCTTCGTGGTCACCAGCAACGGCATGGCCTGGTGCCGGCAGAACATCGATGCCTCCCGTGGCGACGTGGTGTTCGCCGGCAACGGCATTGAGGGCTCCCCCGCTAAGGACTTTGCGCTGCTCACCCAGTGCAACCACACCATCATGACCATCGGGACCTTCGGGATCTGGGCCGCCTACCTGGCCGGCGGAGAGACCACCTACCTGGCCAACTACACCCTCCCAGACTCGCCCTTCCTCAGAGTCTTCAAGCCAGAGGCAGCCTTCCTGCCAGAGTGGACGGGGATCGCTGCAGACCTGTCCCCGTTACTCAAGCACTAAGGCTAGCCCCTCGTGGCCAGCCTGACCCTTCCCCTCTTCTGGCTCCCCCGAGATCAGTTCCAAGGCAAAAGGCACACAATGTTACGGGCACAGGACCCTTTCCCCTCGAGTGAGGATGCCTTCGGCTGTGAGGGATTTCCCAACAAATGTGTCCAAAGAACATATCTGTAGTCTGGCAAAATTGTCCAGAGGGACACAGCCCAGTGCTGGTTAACTGTCAGCTCAACAGCACTGTCGGTGACCTCAGCTGTCACTGTCTCTTCTTAGCCCAGTTGCCTCATGCTGAACCTCCCCCCCCCAAAAAAAGCTGCCATATATATGGGTGTCTCACAAACAACCTCATCCAGAGACAGCAAAGAGATCATGCTGGGCACAGCTGCGCCCTCCTGTAATACCAGCAGCTCTCGAGGCTGAGGCAGGAGGATCACGAGTTCAAAGCCAGCCTCAGCAAAAACAAGGCACTAAGCAACTCAGTGAGACCCTGTCTCTAAAAAAAATACAAAATAGGGCTGGGATGTGGTTCAGTGGCCCTGAGTTCAATCCCTGGTACTACACCCTGCCCCCAAATAAAAGAGCTCATCATGGGTCCCTTTTGAAGAGGGAGGGAACTCTCTCTGAGTTCATTTTCCATTACCATAAAGAAATACCTGAGGCTGGATAACTTGATAAAGGTCTAGTGAAGATCTGATGGCAGATGGCACCACAGGGACAGAGGGGCAGGTGGGAAGCAGCAATCATACGGCCAGACAGGAAGCCAGAGCAGGGCGAGTGCCATTATTGTTCTCTCTGTAATAACCTTTTTTTGCAAGAACTCACTCCAGGTCCCCTAAGAACTCCATCAATCCTTTGCGGGGTCAGTGCTTCTAATGACCTAAGGACCTCCCACTAGGCTCCACCTCTTAAAGGTGCACCACCTCTCACATCATCAGAGGACCATCCTCCCAAGTCATGAAAACTTAGGGGACACCCTCAAAATCATGTTAAAACCATAGCATGTTCCTAAGCCTGCCAGCAACTTACTCCTCAATCTTTTGGGCAAGATTTGTGTCACATGCATATGTGGCCCATTATGAGGGCAATCTAATGGTAATACAACAGTGTGTTCAGCCTCAGATCCTGCAGCTGAGGAGCTAACAAGCTCTTGAGAAGGACATGGCAATCTGCAGAGACCTGGGGTGTCACTGCCAAGAAAGAAATGGGGAATGGCTATAGAGTAAACAACAGGGAAGCCCTGAGCTGTCACACAGATTGTTCACTGCACAAAACATCTGGTCAAAGGGGCAAGCGGAACCTAAGGAGTGCTATGGTCTACTCACCAGGCTGTGTCCCTGGGAACAGCTCCCTTTATTCCTAGTTAGTCCATCCAGAAGAGGAGCCTTCTCAGTTGTACAAAAGCACCGTACCGGCGAGCGGCTGGTGTGCATGGAGAGCAGACACCCCACCTCTGCAACTCTGACTCCCTACCACCAAGGCTGAGCGAGGCTGAGATCCTGGAGACCAGCATGGCTGAGTGAACTGGAGGGATTCCACTTGTTTTTACAGTAAGTGTGTTACACACCCGGCCATGAAGACCCCATAAGACTCTTCTTTCTTGGATACATCTGTAATGACCACATAGATGATCAAAGAGGAACATTTACTTATTAAAATAAAAACTATTTAGCCACATTATGAACACAGCCATGGCAATTCTGAGGGGGTAGGGTCCTCAAAGAGTTATTATTTGGATATAGTAGGAGCTTCTAAATACATCTTAGGGGTAGACTAAACCCCATTTCAAGCCTGGGTCAAAGGACAAATTTTGCAACGATTTTATAAATCTTAAGGTACTTCTTCCAGACCACCCACAGATAGGTAGGGAATACTTACTGGGTAAGGAAAAGTGGCCTAGAGGCAGGGGTGCAGTGGAGCTGAACTGCCAGCTGTGTGGAGAAAGGGTACAAGGGACAAGATGGCAGAGAGACCAGTGGGAATAGTGTGATATTCCCACGGTGAGGCGATAGGGAACCAGGCTGGTAATGAGGGGGAGCAAAGGGTTCTTTCAGGGGCCCCCAGAGTCCTTAGTATCTGCCACAAGTTCACCTTCCTGAAAGAGACAACCAATGAACGGCCTCAGCTGGAGTCAAACATCCACCGTGGGCCATTTACCTAAGGTCCCGGAGGCGTCACCTAACAGAAGCACGGGGCTATACGTGGGCCAGGGACTTCATTCCAAGAGAAGGCGATGAAGGAGAACAGGCGCTCCTTGACTAACAACAGGCTTACATCCCCTTAAAACAAACTGGGGTTGGGTACCTCAGCCTAGCATGTGTGAGGCTCTGGGGAGGGAGGGAGAGAGGGAGGGAGGAAGGGAAGGAGGGAAAGCAAGCCAGGCACCCGCCTCTAACTCCAGCAGCTCAGGAGGCTGATGCAGGAGGATCGTGAGTTCAAACCCAGCCTTAGCAAAAGTGAGGAGCTAAGCAACTCAGTGAGACCCTGCCTCTAAATAAAAAACTACAGAATAGGGCTGGGGATGTGGCTCAGTGGTCGAGTGCTCCTTCAGTTCAATTCCCAGTTTCGCACCCCCCCACCAAAAAAAAAAAAAAAAGAAGAAAAAAGAAAACGAAAACTGGGACCAGTTAAACTTTAAAAAGTTTGCTTGGGCAAGAAAAAAGTTCTGGAATGGGGCAGAATTCTATGCTCCCCCCAGCCCACCTGTACAGATTACATGTATAGCCAGAGAAGAGGAAGGGCCAGACAAGAACAACCTGATTGGCTGCAGTCACATTGCCTTATATGGGCATGTTCTGGCAGCTGTCAGCCTCTGATTGGTTGGAGATTCAGCTGCTATGATTGGTTACAGGGACATCCTCTTAGGTTAAGTTATGACAAGCCAGTACCAAAAGTGAGGTCTTATGCACCAAAAGTGAGGTGGTACTTCAGGAAGTATGGAGACCACTTTGGGCCAAACTTTATCATACAAGTGTGGAGACAAGTGTTGGCCAAACTTAAAAATTTCATAGTCCTAAGAATTTACCCATCATAAGTTGAAAAATTTTAAAATCCAAAGTGCTTTTAACACACTTAACCTACCTAGCCTCCCAGCTTAGCCAGGGGTATCCTGCAGCTGTCAGTTGTTTACCCTGATAATCGTGGGCTGCAGCTCACCGTTGGTGCCCATCATGGTTGACAGAATATGGACCGCATATCACTAGCTGGACATTATACAGCTTGAATGGTCACTGAACCAGGTGATCCAGGAAAGTCCAATGTAAAAGAACTGAGGCATGGAACCATGAGATGGGAGGAAGCCAGGCAGATCCAGCACAGAGCCATATATTGGGGAATTACTGAGAGAAGTACGGTCAAGGGCAGCGGCAAGACCAGTAGATCCCCAAGACTTGGGACAGAGGGAGGGGGCTTATATAGTGCTCAAGACATAAGCGACTCATCAAGCCAGAATGGAGCTGGTTTATTCCAAGCTAATGTGAAGGATGTCAAGTAAATTCCTGGTGCTGACCTGTGATTCCATTTATATGAAATCTCCAGAGACAAATCCATAGACAGAAAATAAGATTAATGGCTGCCTGGAGCTGAGTAATGGCTGAAGGTCTTGGGTTTCTTTTGGGGGTGATGACACATTCTAAAATTGATTATGGTGATGGATGAGCAACCCTGAGTATACCCAGAGCAACGGAGTGTACACTTTCAGTGGCTGAATCATCTACTATGTGATTTAAGTCCCAGAAAAGCTGCTGAGTAAAGATTCACCCACCCTAGTGGCCACTGTGATTTTTGGTAGTTGTGTAACCAGCATCTCAATCAAGATATAGACACGTTCCATCACCCTGAAGAGTATCAGTGCTCCTAGGCAGTCTCCCAACTCCCAGCTGGAGGCAACCACGGATCTGCTTCTGCCATTCCAGCTTTGTCCTTTCTAGAACTTCATGTAAAGACTCATTCTATGTTTAGGTTCTTTTGTTTGACTCTTTCCCTTCTGCATCCCATCTCCCAGACTTGCCTGTGCTCTGGAGTATATTAGCTGTGAGCTCTCTTTTCACCACCAAGTAATATTCCTGGAACAATGACACTGCCGCTGGTGTCTCACATGATATTTGGTGGACAGACGTTGCTGATGTTTTCAATTCAGGGCTATCGTCAATAATATTATCGACATTTGCATACATTATGTAGACATGTTTTCATTTCTCTTGGGGAAATACCTAGAAGTGGTACCATGAGGTCACAGAGAAGAAATTATTTGTCTGAGGTCCCCAACTAAGAGCCCAAGATTGGATGGTAACTTTTCTGACCCAGGGAGGAGAGGGCTGACCCTCTAGGGCCTGCAGGGGGCATGGCTCCCATTCAATTCTCCTCCCAGGGTTCAGCTGCTTGTCCCCTCCCTGCCCTGGCTCCCAGGCCCTTATCCCCAGGCTTCTGGTGGAGTGGGGAGCTGTGGAGGGGTTCCCACTAGGGGAGTGGAGAGAAGAAATAAGGTGAATATAAAACACTGAACAGGAGTCTGTGGACAGAAGAAATGGAGAGGCGTGTGTTTAGCAATACAGAGAGGAGAGGGAGAAAAGGAGAGAGAAGGAAGAGGAAAGGACAGTCCATGTGGACGCGTCCTCTTGGGAAGTGTAAGTTAAGTTGGTAATTCTGGTAATTTGGCAAACACATTCTTGTTCCTTTACAAGCTCCAGATAGAAACACCCACCTTCTGTTGAGATCAGGGGGTGGCAGGAGTGTGGCAGAAGATGTTGCTTGGTGTTTGTGAGGATGGCCTGAGGTCTGAGCCCAAGCAACTCCATTTTAAAACTGCAGCTTGAAACCTGCAGTCTCACCAGGCACACCTAAGGGAGCCCTCCAGTAGGGCCCTGAGGCACAAACAAGTCACCTCTCCCCACCCTGACAAACTCAGAGTGAAGCCTCTGGCAGGGAAAGGTGAAAAAATCAGAGTGGGGACCACAAGGCCAGATGTTTTAACCCCTGGATAAATGATGTCACTGAGAAATCCGGTGGTAGCTGATGAGGATTGAAAGGGGGGGTCAAAAGCCCCAAAATTTAGTATAAATAATAGAGCAAATGAACAGACATTCAGCCAGCCAACACTGATGCACACAGCTGGATGCACATCACTCCTGATGAGGACCTGGACTGACATCCCATCACTTGTCATTGTTTCCCTGATCCTCTGCATGGTCCTCACCGCTTTCAAACCCTACAGCCACATCTTGACCCTGGTGAGAGCCACAACTTCTCCCTAGGACCGCCTCTCCAGCTGCCCGTCAGCTCCACCCAGGAGAAGCCTGCCTTGGTTCCTGACCCGATCACCGCGGTCTGAGTGGTGGGCATCTGCTGGACTTAAAGCCTAAGGCCTGGGACTTCTGATCTGATGACACCTGAACTTAGCACGCAGAGGGAATGTCTGTCCTGAGCCTGTCATGATTAAGTGTGTTTGCAGTGCTTAGAACTAATCTAGAATTAATTGCTGTGAATTGACTCTGTCTATTGCAGTGCCCAGCATTAAGGATTATCATTTTCTTGATTAAGAACCTACAGAGTGAAATTGTATTGAGTGATTTGAGTGAGTAAAGCACTGAAAAGGGCAGAAGCGTGTGGACTTTCTTTATTTCTCCCCCTTGACTGCATAAGTCGCACCTTTTGTCCATGGCGACAGGACTCCCCATGGACATCCCACAGGTCCAGCCCTGGCTCTCCTCAGGTCCAGAGGAAGGGACTGAAACGTGGGATCACGGGTGGTGGCAGGGAGTGCTGGACTCAAGCCCACTCCACCTTCTGGAGAATCCCTCGGTCATCCTGTGTACTCCCAGGAGGCCCCAGTGTACTCTCAGTGCGAGCCTGCCCTCCTCCAGATGCAGGCGAGATGGGGCCTGTGGGTGGGAAGTGAGAGCTGGCCGAGCTGGGTGCCCTCCACTTAAGAAGGCAGAGACAGAAGGAGGCCACGGATGGGGCAGGATAAAGGGCAGGAGGGAGCAAAGACAGAGACCACAGCAGGGAACAGGCAGAGGACAGACCAGAGACCCAACAGCTATGGAGAGAATAAGTATAGGACAGAATGGGACAGTGAGGGACCTCAGCAGTCAGACACAGATGGGGACAGATTGATATGAAAAGGGATACAGTCCAAAGACTCCAGAGAAAGACAGGAAGCCCTGTCATGCCTCTTCCTGGTCTTCCTAGGGCTGCCTGCATGGCTGGCCCTCCCTCCCCGCCCACATTGCCAGCTGAGCCAGCCACCTTGATTTCTCCACCTGCTCCCAGTGGCCAGAGGCCCACGCACCTACAGGACTTGACCCGCTCTCTTCCTTCAGCAAAGATGCTGTCCCCAGGTGGTTCCTCCGCCCAACTCCCCATTCTTCAAGGCAGTAAAAATGCCTCATCTCTCCAGGCTGTCTTTTCTGGGGGCCACAGCCACACGGTCCCCTCCACCACGACCACCCGGACAGCGCCCTGTGCGTGAGACTGCAGGAGGCTCTCTGCAGGTCCATGAATTCGCCATGGGGGAGGCTGACGTGCTCCGTTTCCCACTCTAAAAGCACAGGCTGTGGGCTCTCCAGTCAAATCCCTGGGCAGTTCCTCCCATCTGTGGGCCCAGGGCCCATCTCACCCCTCCTCTATCTTCAGCAATCTCTGCAAAGGGAAGATGACGAATGCTATCTGGCTTGGAGACATGGAAAAGTGCCTCTACCCAGGCCAAGTCCACATGTCTATTCCTTTCCCTTCATCGCCAATCCCTGATGCCCCCAGAGCTCTTGCACATGGAGGGTCTGGAACAGAGCAGCAGCTACTAAAGCTGTTTGCTATGGGTTGGCACGTCCCGCACATCAGGTCCCATTTGTGGTAGTCTAATGAACACTTGTCCACCTGGGCTATAGGTACAGACATTAGGGAAGTCGGTGGCTCCAAGCCATATCACATGTCCCTGATCTGCTGTTCTTTCCCCCTGCAGTGCAAAGAACTATTGGTGGCTCGCCCAGGTCCTCTCAGACTCTTACCATCTCTCCACGCCCAACCCCCAGCCCTTAATTGTGCCTTTTTTATTTTCAGCTGCTGTGACTCTGGGGCCTTGGTGACCCTGGAGCAACCATCCCTCCTAGGGCAACAATTGCTAGATAGTAAAAGACACCCCTGTTAGCACCTTCCCTAAGCAACCAGCCAACCCAGAACCCATGTCCCCCCACCTCCTTTAAGGGACTCTTACACCCACCTGCCCACCACCCCAGGGCTAGGTCCCTGGCAACTCAGGACAGCCTCTGAAGGACATGGAGGATAGGCCCCAGGGCAGGTCCCCTATCTGCAGCTGTCCCCTCACCTGCCTTCCTGCTGAGAGTGCAGAGAGATGGCTGTGGTAAATTGGATCCTTCGTCATTTAGAATCCTGAGCCTCAACTGGAGAGAAGGCAGGAAGGGAAAATGGGGAGAACACAAAAGGACCCCAGTACAATAGGCCCCAGGAACTGCCCTACCTACCCTCCTGTCCTCCTCTAAATGAGCCAAACCAACTCACCCATGACCTTTGTCTGCTGAACCCTATAAAACTCAGACCCCTGTTGTAGCATGCTGCCATTTTCTCCTCCAAAATTCATCCCTCTGTGGCTTAATAAAAGCATCATTAATCCATCGAGGTCTGTCCCCAGTTGGTTATTTTTGCTTACAGCCTTTATGCCCCAAAGTCCACGGAAATGATTCAAACTGGCCAATCCTAAGCCTGAGTACCTTGCCCTTCCTTTGCTCCTGGGGAATTCACAGTGAAGGCTCTTGTCTGTTGTCCCCTCCTCTCCTGCTCTCTAGACCAGCTCTAGGCATCCCCTGGGGTCCTGCATGGTGTCCAGTGTCCCTTTCTTTTGGGACATAGGACTATAACAAACTGTCTTTTGAATGAATGGTGATGCAGTTTTCACCTGCTGCCTCACCACCTCTGAAATAATAAACTATATTTTAACACACTCCTGCTGGAGGCATACCCCATGGCTCTCTTCCCAGGACTGCCTTTGGGCTGAAAGTACCTGGGAAAGTCTTCCCTTCCTTACTCCCTCCGGTGACCCCTGACCCATGACTACTGGAGATGGTGCAGTGACAGGTCTCCCAATATGGCTCCCTATGGCCATACCCCTGATATCCCTGTCTAGCCCCCCACCATATTCAGCCTGCACTGACCTGACTTCCTTTAACGTAGCAGATGTGAGATTGTACCTGTCATTAATGTAGTAGACTGAAATTGTACCTGTTTCATGAGACTGGAATATTCTGCAATCTCCCCTTGGAATGCTTGCTCTTCCAGAGTCCCAAGCTACCCCACGGAAAGGGAGAATGCTGATGCTCCATGGTGAATGAGAGTCCCGAAGTCCCCATGGCCCTTCTGGCTACCTTTGTCAAGGCACCAGAGAGTGCCATCTTAGGTGCCCCTGCCCAGCTGGGCCCCAAGACGACTATAGCCCTGGCTATAATCATGGGGTCCAGTGAACCATGAAATCGTGAGTGATTTCGGATGGTTATTGCTTTATGGTTTTAGCAATAGAAAGCCCAGACAGGGAGATTCAAAGGCCTGGTTCCACGCACCCCAAAGTGGAAAAGTCTGTAGCTGAATTTATGCTCCACAACTCCCCAGGGGAAGAGGCCGAAGCTGAGACTTCACCTGAGGGCACACTCTGGCTCCTTTTCTTCCTCTAGTCTGTCTTTCTCCAGTCCCTCAGTATATCTCTCCTGGAAAGCATTTCTTAAACAAATCACTGGTGTGGACATCTTGTCTCTGTGCCTCCAACAGAAGCTGACTTCAGACACAACACTTCTGATCCAACTGGAACCCAGGGGTCTGGCTACCCTCTTGTCCCTCCCTACTCTTCCCTGCCCCTTTCCTGCATCCAACAGCATATCCCCCTTCAGCTTCGCCACACAACAGGCATCCATCTGTATGTATATGTGAGGAAACGGGCATTAAGAACATCCATGAGGTCTCAAAAGGAAGCAGAAAGCAGCTTGTTTGCCTTGGGCAGCAGCAAATGAACCTCCATCCCCAACCACACAACCATAGAGGTGGTAAGGCCCATAGGAAGGCAAAGTCCAGGCATTCGCATGTCAGCAGCAGTTAGGGGCCAGATTGGGATTGGGTGTCTGTGGTGGGAGGGGCTCTACTAGTTGTTCCATTTCCCCTCCTGGAGTCTCTTTGCCATCTTCACCCGCACCAGTTCTGGGTCCCTGAAAAACTCCAGAACCCATCACCACGGGTCCTCCAGCAGGTCCCAGAGCCGGGTGCCACTGGAGTCAGATAAGTCAGCAGAGAAGATGCTGGGGGCTGGAGGGCCAGAGCCCAGTGGAGGACCCCCACTCAGGGCCTCTAACCAGTCCAAGGAATCCGTGGGGCCTCTGGGAGAGGTGGATGGGGAGTTCGTGGGGGTTGGGAGTGAAGAGGAGAAGACAGACGAGAGGCCTTCAGAGTCCGGGGAGGGGGACAGCACGTCGAAGGAGCCAGGAAAGTCCAGAGGAATGGGGGGCAGCGGGTCTGCGGGGGAAGGAATGGAGGGTGAGCTTAGGAAGTCATGGATCCGGTTCTGTTCCTCAGCCCATTCTTTCCTCGGACAAAGGAGTGTAGAACCTCAGGCCCCTTCTCCCCCAAACTTAGGCGTTAGGCTCTTACCATCAGGCTCGATCTGGTCCTCCAGGATGTCATCAATGCCCCGATTTGGAAGCAGCTGTGGACGAACAGACGCGGCGTGAATCTGGCATCCCACCCAGAACCTGAGCGGAGACCCACTATTCCAGGCCCACTTGACCGGGCACCCTCTCACCTGCGCCCTCCGGATGGCTTCCTGCAGCTCCTCCTCCAGCGTCAGGGGCGCTGAGGAAGGTGTTAGGGCTGTGGCCGGAGGCGGAGGAGGAGGAGGAGGAGGAGGAGGCGGAGGCGGAGCCGGAGCAGTCACTAGGCTCCCGGCCGCTCGTGGAGGAGGTGGCTTGTGAGACGCCGGATTCGACTTGGTCTACAACCACGAAGAGGTAGTTCCCTAAGCCACGCCCACCACGCGCAACCCCACCCACTCGCAATCCGTGGCTCCACCCCCCAGGTCCGGCCCTTCACTCCTCGCCCCCTGTCCTCTCATTGGCTCCTCCTCCCTGAAGATTCTTCCCCCAGTTGCTCTTAGCCACGCCCCCTTGCGCCGGGCTTTCTCTGCTGGGCCAAGTCTCTCCCCACAACTTCATTGGTTCCTGAGTTTTCGACCCTCCGCCCCATCTGTTTCGTCTTCTCGTCACTGGCCCACACTCTCATAGTGCCGCCCTCACCGTGCCCTGCCGCCGGGAGGTTCCCAGGGCCTTGGGCCTGAGGCGTGGCCAGGGAGCACCCGCCGCACCGTCCTCCCGCCGCGGCTTCTGCCGCTCGCGGGGCGGGGCGCCGCCGCGCATGCGCTCCAGGAGCATCGACTTGGTCCCGGACACCGGGAGGCCCCGCAGGCGCAGCTGCTGCCGGAGCTCTGAGACCTGGGGAGGGGGCGGGGAGAGTCGGTGCTGGGCGTGCTCGGGCTGCAGGCCGGGAGTGGGGAGGACATTTGGGAAACGAGATAGGAGAGACCAGGAACCCTCCAAAAGATGAAACTGGGGACCCAGACTCCTGGATTTCCTTGGGGCAGAGGCTGCGGTTAATCCCACCGAAAGAAAGGACACACCTGGAAAGTTGTCCCCCAAACTCACCGTCAGCTCCTCCAGTTTAAGAGTCTGAAGTTCCAACTTGTGTGGAGGGGGAGAAGGGCTGGGGACTCCTGGTTGGAAGGGAGTGAGGGGAGTGGGCTTCATTCTGGCGATGGTCGTGAGGGAGGAACAGTTTAGAAGGGACAGAGAGAGAAAAGGCATATTAAGGTCCTCATAAACAGGGGCTCTAGAAAATGTAGGAAAGTGACAGCCCAGAATTCTGGGTCTCTGAGGAAGCAAGTACATGGGGCTAGATTTCTGTACGTGGGAGAGGGGGAACTGGGGGTGTGAGTCTGAAAGGAGAAGGACTGGGAGCTGGAGAGTTGGGTCCTGGGGGAGGACGGGCTCCGGACTGGACCCTGTCATGAGCAGCGGGTTTGAGGCAGGATGATGGGATCTGAATTTCTGAGTCCCCAGAGAAGAGAAATGAGGGTCATACCTAGGATGTAGCTGCTGTGAGTTTGTCCCTTCCCACAGAGGTGGCCCCTGGGGACCCAGGGCTGACCTCTCAACTTGGGGGTCTGCCCTGGACCCTTGTCTCGGCTCCGGGGGCATGTACTGGTGGTATGTTAAGTTTCCCCTGGGCTTGGACTCGCTCCAGCGTTGGGAGGTCTTGGAAGACTCCTAAAACAGCAAGTGTGATGTCCCATGCTTCAGCTCAGTTCCTGCCTTTCTGCCCCAGAGCCCACTGCACAGTGGGGTTGGCAGTCACCAAAGAGGATGGGGCAGTGGCAAGGAGGACCAAGGCTAGACTCAGAGGGACTTCCTCTCACTCTAGTCAAGACTCACCTTCTTTGGGGACCTCCAAGGACAATATTCCGTCTCAGGGAGCAAGACGCCAGGGCTGAAGAGGAAAGAGGCAGGGACCAAGGGCAAAGCTGGGGCCAGAGCTGGGCCTGAGGCTGAGATCCACGGATCTGAATCTGAGGCTGGAGAGAGTGAAAGACCTGAGTGGCCTGGAGGCATTTAGCCAGCAAGGAGGAGCAAAGCTGTGGGAAAGGAGGACCCAGCCTCCCTGGGGTGTGGGAGGACAAGCCCTGGCAGCTGGATGCCTGGACTCCTGGATCTAGGGGCCCAGATTTTCACATTCTCAAGAAGGCAGCAAGCTCTGTCACCAAGGGGTGTGTTAGCTGAGGATCACAGATGTCTGGGGTTTTGCTGAGACAGGGGTGGGGGCCTGCACTCCTGGTTCTTGGGGAGACGGAGAAGCTGAGAGCCACAGTCTGACATTCTTATGTGTACGGAATGTGGAGTGGAGTCTGGGAAGCCTGTCTCCTTCAAAGAGCATCTGGAATCATGCATCTGTTGGGGTGGGAAAACTGGAGAGCAGGAAGCAGAGCTCCCAGGGGTGGGATGACCAAGGACCTGGATTCTTGGATCCTTGGGAAAGGACAGGATGGAATTTCAGTGTATCCTGGGTGGGGTATAGGAACCAAGCTACAGGAACCAGTGAGGGACCTTGCATAGCTGTACTCCAGGATGTCCCAGGGAAACGGGGCCACCATCCCCTCCCACTCAGGGCCCACACTTACTTGGGTCCTGATTCCGTCTGTGGATCCGAAGCTGGAGGACTGTGGAAGGAGGAGGGAGGTGGGAGGAGGAAGGCGGGAAGGGAGTGTCCGGGAGCCAGGCTTGGCAGGCGGGTGGGAGTTGCAGTTGTTGGCAGGACACGCGTGCCCAGCCCCCTTACACACCCCTGCAGGCGGGTGGGCAGGCAGCCTGCTCCCTTTCCCGGGCCTCCCGCCTGCTCCCTGCCAGCGCAGTGCCTCGGGCCAGAGCTGCTCTAGGGCTAGGAGCCAGCCAGCCTGCAGGCAGTAGGCAGCCCCACCCCAGCTCCACCTGCCCCTCACGAGTCAGTGCCCACGCCACCCCCAGGAAAATCGCCATCTTGGCAGCCCAGCCCGTTTGCACCTCACCTCCTTTTATCCATGAACCCCATTCTGCAGCGCCAACTTCTTTCTGGGCTCCCTTTTTGCCCTTCCCACCCTTGAAACGCATCTCTGAGCTCTAGATCTACATATGCCACTTCCGTGTATTTGTAACCTACACACTTCATCCTTGGCTCACTCTGCCTTGGCACCCACCCAGCCACATTGACATTCTTATTTGCACCCTAAGGACATGGCCACTAATTTTGGAGCAAGGCTGTCCCCTTGCACAATTCTGCTCTTTGCACATGTGTGCCTTTTTGCACATTTTTGCTCTTCCGTTATTAGTGTCTTTGTACACCCAGCCATGTTACCACACTCACTTGCACTTGGGTGCCCTTTGCCTACTCAGGAATTGACCCCCAGTTCTGCGCATTGCATATCTTGCACCTACCCTGGAATCTAAAACACAGCTTTTGACACTTTCAAGGCTCGATAGCTCATTGTCCCCTCACCAAACTCCCACCCTGTCCTCCAAAGTCCCCACTGTGTGTGCATGTCTGCTGTGCATACATTTCAGTTGAAGCCTTGTTCTTTGCAGTGCCTGATCTGCACACCCACCTCTAGCTGCCCACTCCTCTTTGCTGACCTAGCCATTTGCACACTTAGTGGCCTACCTCAATTCGACCCCTTTGATGGACACCTTTATGCTGAGTGACCTTTTGCACAGAAAATACATGCCTCACAGGTCCTCCAACCTTCTCCCACCCCAGAGTAGACCCGTTTCCAGGAGCCCAGGACCCCTTCCCAAACCCATAGGGAAAAGCCTCTCACCAGATCGGAACTTGGAGCGGATGATTTGGGAGCGCTGGGAGGGAGCTGCCAGGGTCATTTCCAAGGCTGGGATGGGGACCTGGACTGGAGAGAGAGCAGGGTCAAAGTGGAGGTCAGGAAGCTGACCCTGTGGGTGGACTTAAGAAAAGCTCTGAGGTAGTTAGGGATAGAAGCAGCCTGTAGCCCTAACTTCTGGATGTGGAAAAGGGCTGGGGCCCCAGACACATAGGTCAGAGGGAGGAGGGCTGGGGCCTGGACTCCTGAGTCTGAGGGAGGAGGGCTGGGAGCCCTGACTCCTAGATCTTGGTAGAGGGAGGACCTGGGTCCTAGGGAGGAGGGCACTGGGAAACTCGACCCCTGGGTCTTTGAAGGAGAAGAAGGGATAGTGGCCTGGACCCCTGAATCTTGAAGGGGAAGGAGGTTAAGGGCTGGCACACAATACTCTTGAGGGGACTAGAATTCAATATCCAGGGGAAAGGGGTCCTGAAAGGTTCCTGGGAAATTGAAGAGTGCCTGCAACTTGCACCTGAGAAGGGAATGGGTCAGGATGTCAGCCACCAGGGTCTGTAAGGAAGGGATGGGGACCAGAAAAGTGACAGAAGAGTTAAGGAGAGTCCTTCCCTCCACCCCAGGGGCTTCTCACCAGGTGGGCTCGGAGCAGCTGTGCCCTAAGGCGGGTGGAGTCGGGCGGTCTGGGTTGGAGACTGCAGGCTCCACCCCACCAGCCTGGGACCGCCTTGGAACCCCCTTTCTGGTGCGTGCTGGAAGCCCAAGAAGTGGGCGGAGGAGACGCGAGCTACGCCTGGGACTCTGAGAAAGGGCGGGGACAGGCGCTGACAGAGTCTGGGGCGGGGTTCCTGGGCTCGCTCCTCCTCGTCGTCCTGAGGCTGTGAGGTCGGGCGGGACAGCCGCAGGCAGACGGACGGGAGCAGGTGCCGGGAGAGGGGCGCCGAATGAGCAGCAGTGGCAGGTGGTCGTGTCCCGTCTCTGCCGGCAGGTGCCACCTGTCGCTTTTTTTTTTCCCCTGACACAGCAGCGGGAGTCAGGTTTAGGGAAGGGGAAAGTTCAAGCCCGAGGGACGGACCCCTGGTCTAAGGAGTGGGTTGGGGGTCTGCGGGAGGAAGGGCTAGGAACCGAGATAGAGGTGTGGTTCGGTGGTGTGCTTAAAAGTCAGACGGGTTCAGAGTGGGGTAAGGGGACCCAGATTCCTAGGTAAGAACGAGAAAGCAACTTTGGACTTTGGGGGTGAGAGGGAGAGACGCTGGTTCCCAGTGGCCGGATCAAGGGCCTGATATCCCGCAGAGCACACTTCGGACCACATTCTGAGGTGTGTGGGAGGCCCCAGTGCTCCTGGGTTGGATTACATGCAAGAGGGCACGCTGAGGCCGCGGCTATAAATACCTCCTCCGACTAGGCAGGAGCCCAACCTCCAGGCGAGGGCCCCGAGGCCTTAAAAATCACCATCTCTAAGGCCCCGAATCTTAATAAAAAGAGGCATTGCTAAAGTCACAGATACATTTATTGCTCCTTGGCACTATCATCCCAAACCCATTTCCCGCCCCCGCTCCCCCTCCCCAGTCTCATCCTGCTACTACCCCAAAATTCAAACTCCCAGCTTTCCGCGCGGGGACGGGAACTACAACTCCCAGAAAGCTCTTCGTTCAGTCGGTCTCCCGTGAGTAGAAGCCCAAGAATTTTCAAGGTTCGCGCGCTTCTTTGCTATTGGTCTTCAGGGAGGCGAGGCTACGGGAGGTCCGTGGCGGTGATTGGCTGGCAACTCCTGCTGCTCAAGATCCCACAGGAGGCGACGGAGCCTGCGCAGTTCACGGTGCAGGGCGTCGTCGGTCACTGGGCCCGTGAGGCGCAGGCGTGAGCTGCCCAGGGGCAGGATGAGGGGCGGGTGAGAGGAGAAGCTTTCGAAGATGTCGCCTTTGAGGCCAAAGAAGATAGGTTAGAGTCTGAAAACGGGCGTGAGGCGACTGTGCCAGGAAGAGCCGAGACTCAACTACGCCCGAAGAAAAACTCCCAGCAACTGCAGGATCAGGGTCCGCTTAAAGGCGACTCTGGGATCCGGAGCACAGTGGGGGTTGTAGTTGAGACTACAAAGGCCATGGTTGCGTGGGCAACCAGCAGTGGGGTGGCCAGGTTCCTACATCCCCGAGGAAGGCTGGGAATTTAGTCCTAGGGACTCCTGAAGGTTAAGGGGCACAGACTCCGAGGAGAGGTGGCTGAGGGGTTGCAGAGGGAGAAAAGAAGGGCTGGGACCTTGAACTCCAGTGCTGGTGAGAAGGGGACTGGGACCAGCCTCCTGGGTCAGAAGAGCGCTGGGGCTAGGGACCCCCACGCCCAAAAGCTGAAAGCCCCAGTGTTTGCATCCCCATTTTCTTCACCTGTATCCACAGCATCCTGCTCTGCTGGGGGAGGGTCCCAGGCAGGTGGTGGCCCGCGGCCAGGACCCAGCTGGTAGTGGCTAAGCAGATGGTGGAGCTGAGCAGGTGTCAGGGTGGAGTGGTCAGTTCGTAGGCTGCTCCATGAAGCCTGGTGGGAGGACCAGGTGAGAAGCCTATGGTCATTATGGGGGAGCTGAGAAATGGCACATGGAAGGGCCTCCAGAAGTGGAGTGGATGTGCATAGTGGAGTCTAGGCCATGTGTCCTGGGCACTGTGAAGACCGCTTGTCACTGAAGGGATGGTAGGGAAGGGTGTTGCTCTCAGAAACTTTAAAAAATATGATTTGTTTCAGAATAAATAAAGATACAGGAAGAAGGTGGGGAATAAGACTGATATTCACTTGTATCATTAAAGCTGGCAATGTGTACAGAGGGGTTAATTTTTCCATTGTGACTATTTTTGTATCTGTTTGGCAAATTTTGCACTTGACCTAGCTGGCACTAGAATCATCAGTGTGATTAAAATCAGAGACTCTATCCAGATTGCCTCGGTTCAAAGATCTCAGCTTGATTACTTACTGATCTTCTGACAAATCACTAAGCCTCAGTTTCCTTATCTGTCAAACAACCCTGTAGGGTTGTTATGAAGATGCAATGTGACAAACTGGAAAGTGACTTGGAACAATGCCTGGGGCTTATTAAATGCACTGTCGGTGTTTGATAAAAAATAAATACATGAAATCAAGTGACCTGTTCTACCTGATTCTCAGTTTCCTCATCTGAAGAACTGTCTAATAATAACCCATTTTCATGCAGAGCTGTCAGTATTAAACTAGAATTGTGAAACACAGTGGCTGAAATTAAGGTTTTGTTCAGTGGATATTTTAACCAGCACATTCCCTGGTCTCAAACCAAACTTCCTGACTCAGCATGGCTGAGGAGGGACCCTGCAAACTATTTTTAAAAAGTTCCACTGGGATTCAGACACAGTCAAATGTGGTTATTGTTGGTGCTGGCTGCCAGCTATCTAAGCAGAGTCTTGGAATGAAAAGGGGTCTCCAGGAGCTCTGAGGGTGAGCTGAATATACAGGGTGGCTGAGAGGGGTTGAAGAGTTAGAGGTTAGGGGTTCAAGGATTACCTTAAGCAGGGAGGTGCGGGGCACACAGAGCAGGTTCACAGCAATGGAGAGTTTCCGGAAGAACTCGGTGGCAATGTCACCTAGCCCAGCCCCCTGAAGCCAGTCCAAGACAAGATCTAGGTTGGTTCGGATTTGAACAGCTCGGGACCACTGATAGAAAGGTCGGCCTTGACCTAGGAGGGAAGGTTATGGGAGTAAATGTGGGTGGACTGTGGCCTGCTTCCCAGACCATTCCTGTCCTTGAGCTTGGTCTGTGTCTCTGTTCTCCAGAATATCCAGACATGTGGCCTGTGCTGTGTGTCTAGCTTGATATGGGTCTGGGATAGGAGCCTCCCCATTCCTGGCTCCCAACCCAACTCTCACCTCGTTCCATCAGTGAGTTGAGAAGGGATGCATTGGAGAAGAAAAACAAGTAGCCAAAAGTCTGAGACACAAGATCTGGATGCAGCTCACACTGGCTGGTCAATTCCAAGGCTGCCTGGAACACGCCCAGTGTAGGTCTCAACCCTGGAGGCATGGCCCCCAGCTCTGCACCAGGCCCAGGCAGATCGGCACCAGCTGTGAAGGGGTTGCTATCCAGGAGAGCAGGCAGTGTTGAATAAAGAGTCTGAGGAAACAGGCAAAAAGAAGTGATTGGATCACATTCACTGGAAGCTTCAGGTTGGTAGAGCATGAAGATAATGGGCAGCTCTAAAGGCTTCTAGGAGTTGTAGCCCACTCTGCATTCAACACCTGAAGGGACTCCATGAGCAAATCCCTACTTCACAGATGGGCTTCTAACATTTATTAAACCTGGAACAAGTCAAGTCTTAAGAAAGACTTTCTAGAAGTTTCTTGGTTATTCTAACACAACTTCTCATGCATTTTGGGACTTGTAGTTCTCAGTAGATAGCTCAAGAAGGACAAAGAATAGTGGACAAAGGAGCCCCCTTCTTTTATCCAGAATTCCTGAAGGAAAGAAAAAGAATGGAGAGTTAGGAAGTAGGAGTCAGGTGGCAATTAGCTGGCAGAAAGTGAGACCAGGCCAAGGACCGGAAATGAGGTCAGATACAGAAATAAAACACCCTCTGCAAGAATGTGCAGGAAGTGAAGCCTCAGAGGAAAGGGCTTCATAGTTACGGCTGTTCAAGGAACTGCTACCTATCCCAAAAGACTCCCTTCTCCTTTTACAGACAGGGAATCAGACCCAGCGTAAACCAAAATCCCTGAGAAGTCCAAGAAGCAATATTAAGGTCAAAAATATGGCAGGAGGTGGGGGAGGCAGAGCTAGGGGGAGGCAGACCCTGCAGGAAGAGCACTGAGAGAGAAAAAGGTCTCCAGATTAGAAGTGGAAGTGAGTTCAGAGCTACAGCAAGTGAGATCAACAAACACAGGAAACAAGATCCGATTAAAGATCTTTGGTTTAAATGGACAGGACCTAACACTACTTGAACTATCTTTCTCTCTCTCTGCCTGTCTATCTATCTATCTGTCTATAATTTATCAGTAGACCAAAAAAAAAAAAAAAGGGGAGCTTGAGAAAATGTAATGGTTATACAACCAGGTAATGAAGCCAGACTGTCAAGAGGCAATAATTGCAGACAGGAAGAGAAGCCAGAAAGGCAGGAAGTGATGTCACAGCAACAAAGAACTGGAATGAGATGGGAAGTGATGTCATAGGAGAAGGAAATTTTAAGCCAACCAGGAAATGACATCAGAGCAACACAATGAAGTTTTATCAGAAAATGATGTTGTCACATTGGAAGTAGGGGCAAAGCCAACCTTGGTGAGGTAGTAAACAGACTGCTGGAAGGTACACATGATGACCTCATCCAGGAGGGCCATGGCCTCGTCACATAATTCCAAGTCATTGCAGAGCTGTGGGTCTGAGGATAGACCTAAGGGTGAGAGGGAGAACCACAGGCTGGCAGCCAGGAGCCCAGGGCCCCAGATTCAGGAAGAAGGGCTTGGAAAAGCCTAAGCTTGGGTAAGAGCTCACCCTCCTGGTCGGCCTCCTTCTCCATTTCCAGCACCTTCTCCTGCACAAAGCTCAGCAGCTCAGTGGTGTTGGCCATCCACAGCATGAGTGGCCGCAGCTCCACAGATACAGCCTCTGGAGTCAGGGGCACTTCGGGGATCCCCTCAGGGTGGCTGAGGAAAGGGGAAGGAACCTGTGATCCCTGCTCAACCCCCATAATAGTCCAAACCTCAAGATTTGGGTCTAAGTTGAGGACCAAGCCCATGCCCCATTTCACAGCCAGAAATGTTGAGTCCCAAGGAGGAACAGAAACTTGCACTAAGACATGTATGGAATAAATGCAGAACTAGATGCAAATCCCAACTCTTGCATCCCTCTGGATCTTTGTGCTTGGAATTTCTCTTACTTCTCTGGCTGACGGTCTCCAATTTCCTTAATTTTTTCCTGCAGAACAGTGAGATCAGAATGAGGGGAGAGGGTCAGGAGAGAGGGTATCTTGAGTTAATGTCCTGGTTTTTCTAGAAGCCTAATTAGGACAGAGACTCCCCACTTTGCAGATGTACTCTAATCCCTAAGCCTCACAGGTAAGCATTCTGCCACGGAGTTACCTCTCCAGCCCTTGTCACTTATTTTTTGAGACAGGGTCTCACTAAGTTGCCCAGGTTGTCCTCTAACTCGTGATCCCTCACTAGTCCCTCTTTTTAAAAGGTAACAAGAGGCAGGGGCTGGGATTGTGGCTCAGTGGCAGAGCACTTGCCTGGCATGTGTGAGGCCCTGGGTTTGATTCTCAGCCCCACATATATATAAATAAAAATAAAGTTCTACCAACAATTTAAAAAATACACATTTTTAAAAAAGTAACAAGGGGTGATGGCGGTGATGAATGAGCGATCTGTTGCCCTTGGGGCCTCTTCTGCTCAAATTCTGTTTCTTCAAAACCCCAAAGAACTCCATAAACCCTCCCTCTAACAAGCCTCCAGTTCAATAGGATGGAACCTTTCTTCTACTCTGACCTATTTCTTTCTGGGGCTCCCATATGTAGGTCCAGCCAACCTATCCTCCAATAATGGTCTCTCTTGCAACTGCTGCAAGGTCCCAGCCCAGTGGGCTGCCCACCGAACTTCTTACAAGGGTCTCTTCAAATTCTCGGCCCCGCCCTATTTCCCAGAATGACTTATTCCAGGATCCCACAGCTCCACAGGTAGGCACTATCTCCTCTTCTATGAATCCAAAACTTCAGTGAGTGGGACCACTTACTAAATGGCCCCAGCCCTTCCTGAGGCATCATGGGAAACATACTTTCTTCTCACCCTTGTCCCTAACTGAGTAGACTTGGGCTGCAGGTGGGGCTGGATGGCAGTTGGGGGTGCTCACCCAGACGGCCTCCTTGATGAGCCTGGCGAGGCGGCCCAGCAGGCGCGGTAGGTGGCCCAGCTCCAGCTCTCGGGCCGAGTGCTGCACGCAGAGCGCCAGCAGCGTGGCAGGCCCCAGCGGTGGCAGGTCTCCCGCTCCAGAGGCCGCTGTCCGCACGATCTCTCCCAGCAGTGCTTCCTCCTCGCGAGGTCGGAAACGCAGGACCGGCTCCCGGCCGTCCAGGTAAGCGGCCAGCGCCTCCCCACGCTCTTGCAGACCGCGGCCGCACAAACGGCAGGAGAAGGCCCAGCCGGGGCCTGGGGGTGTGGCCCCGGGACGCGCAGGAAGCCAGGGGGGTCTGGCCGGCCCAGAACCCCCGGTGCGGGGGTCCTTGTACATGAACAGGAAGTGCTCGCCCAGCCCTAGCAGGTCACCTGGGTGCAGCTCGGCCTCTCTCAGCAGAAGACACCCGTTGTGCATAACCGGAGCTCCACGGGAGGGGCGCACCATGGCTGGGGGCTCAGGGCCCGCACGAACTGTGCAGTGGCGTGGCAGTATGTCAGGGGCATTGAGGAAAGTGTCCACGTATGGGCCCGGGGACCCGCAGCGGGATGAGGAGGTCCCGCCTCTGCCAAAAACGTGTTGCTCCCTTGTCATGACATACACCACAAAGTCCTAGAGAAAAAGTAAAGACAACAAATCCAATTCCCTTCCCAAAGGGTGCTTCCAAACAGTGTCTATCCCAACATCAATACTCCCATTTCCCACCTACTCTATCAATGAACGCTTCCAAGATCGACCAGGACCCAGAGGACTAACACTCCACTTCCTTTTGAAAGAGCTTTCTATGGGAGATGCTACCATGATGCACTTCCCCACAACTCTATACTTACAGAAGAAAGCCCCAACTTTGTCACTCCCTCAAAGAACAGATGATTCAGAGGTGATCAATCACCAATGGACTCTCATTTTCCCAACAATTCTGAATGAATTCTTCCCCACCTAAACTGGACTCTACCAGAACATCCAGCCCAAGGAATGAGTGCTTCCAAGGACATCCATCACCCCTACTAAAATGGACTACCCCCTACCTCCATCCTCAAAGAATGGACCACTCCAACCTTCCTCCATTTCCACACCCCTGGCCCCACTTGCTCTTTATTCCACTCCAGTGATGGAGCCTTACGGATGTTTCCCCTTCTACTAATAGTCATTCTCAATATCCCAAAGGAATGAGATCTTTTAAAAGACCCCCTTAAACCAATGTTCTTCCATTAGCTAGGATTCATGAAGGTGCATTTCCTAGGTGACCCCTTTCTACAGTGCCTTCTCTCCATTATTCCCATCCCTTGACAAGGAAACCTGCTCCAACAATGGACTCCTCTATTTGCCCCCACTCACCTGTAGAAGGACTCCAAAGACACACCCACAACATCAACAGAGGTTCTCACTATGCCCCTCCCTACAGGGGACACCTCCTAGAGATTTCCATACAGTGGCTCTTCTAGAAATCATGTTTTCAAACACCTGCCTCAAGGAGACAGCTTCCTACTTCATCCACTCCCCAAACAGATGCATTCCAAAGAACCCTTTTTAAAAAGGTGCTCTCGCCTCCATTCTGTAAAAATGGAAGCAGTGTATCACCTTTCTAAAATAAACCTAAGACTGTGTGCATGAATGAATGTGTACTAGTCCCACTGATATGTTCAATGCACAGATGAAAATACACTCAGGTTCCCCACTGTCACCCAAATGTGTAAATGCACACAAGTGCCAGCACCCCCTGCCTGCATCCACAGTGGTCAAACGTCCCAGTGAAAACCATCACCTTTTACAAATGGGTTCATCCACTCCCCCCACCAAAGAAATACAGGCTTTTCAAGATCAAGACCCCAGACACCAGTCAAGGACGTCCCTGCCCCAGGACATGCACTCTCCTGTCGCCCTCCCTCAAGAAATGATGTCTGCATGGGGTCTCCTTCCTGCAGTGGACTCTCCTTTGAAAAGACACAGCTTGCCCTCCACTTTCAGTGACAGGACCATGCCCTGTTTGTGCCTCCAGTGTAATCTTGTCAGCCATCTCCCCTCTGCCTCCTCCACACTCACTCTCTACAACCTGGCTGCGCTCTTGCCTACCAGAGGACCTGAGGCTACCTCAACCAGAGGAATTCTGAGAACTACAGGTTTATCACTCTCCAATGACAGGGGGGACATAGGGCTCTGGGTAGTTGGGGAGGCGATGCTCACCTGGGCATCCTGATAGCCCTGGAGCAGTAGAAAGTAGGGGCGATTGCTGGGGGCCTGGATGAGGCACTGAGTCAACTGATCAAAATCCCCGGGGTCTGCAGGTACTATTTGGGTATCAGCTGCCCCTGGGGCCATGCTAAGTGCCTGCTGCCTGCGTTCCTGCTGCCGCCTTCTCCGACCCTGCAGGCTCAGCTCTGACACACTGCGCCGTAAGGACAAGTTCTCCGAGCGTTCTTTGCCCCCAGATCCAGCGGGGACCCCAGATCCAGACCCAGGACCAGGACTGGCCAGTGCGGCCCCACCAGAAGCTGCACGGGAGCGATTCTTCTGTGGCCGCCACGAGGGGGCGCCGGTGCCTGCGGGGAGAGAGAGACAGTGCCTGAGAGTAGAAAGACCAGGGAGAGAGACCTGAGATCATCTATCACTCCCTGAGTGCCTTGTCCCTTGGTGCACATGGCAGAACGCATGCCAGGTTTCCTGTGGCATGTGCTATTTCACCTTTGAGGTCGCCTCCTGCTTCAGGATCCATATAACCGTCCTTGGCCTCTCTGAACACCTCTTCCTCTATCCCCTTTCTTTCCCCTGCAGTTAAGGGAGCCTAAGGCTAAGGATCCAAGGCCTGCTGCCAGTCTTCATTCCACCTAGAGGCACTGTTCCCTCTACTAGGCTCTGCCCACATAGGCCCTGACCCTCAAGAACTGCCTCAGCCTAGTTCCCAGAGCTGTCTCCTGCCACACAGACCCACAGCAGGTGCCACCACACCTCACCAGGCCCAACACCTCAGGCTCAGGCCTACTCAGTTCCTCAGACTCCGCCCTGGCCCCGCAGGCCCACCCACGGCTCTGCACAGCCTCCAGCACATTGTCCTGGCCTGTTCCTCCTCTCCTAGTTCTCTCCAACTTGGATTTCCCCCTAACACTGGCCGAATCCCTGGGAATTCGCTAGGCTCTGGCGCTTCCCACAGGCTGCTGAGCTGCCAGAACCACCGACACCCCGCTGGGGAGCTACCACTGCTTTGGCCACCTACACATTCAGCCTCCTGCAAGGCAGCCTGGAATGCCTCCTAAGGGCCCTGACTCCATCCAGAGACACTCTGGGACACCTCCAACCACTGCCACCAGCCGGGCCACGCCCCACGCGAATCCAAGCTCCACTCGGTAGGCGCTGGGAAAGAGCAGGTCCCGCCCAGCGCTCAGATGCTGCAGCCCCGCCTTCTCCCAGTCTAAGTCCCCGCCCCGGCCGCCCCGACCGGATCCTCCACCAATCACCTCACAGCTCGCTCCTCGCTTGGCCCGCCCACGCCCCAGAGCTGCCCCAGAGCCACGCCCACAGCCGGCGCCAATCGGGTCTTTGCTGGCTGCTCCTCTTTGGCTCTGTGGGCCCCGGGGGTCCCAAACCCTGTCCGGCGGCCCCAACCCCTGTGCAGCCCCCCAGGTCCGCGCGCTGGCTCACCGTCGCTGTCCGCGGCCCCGAAGGCCTCCTGCTCCAGGCGGCGCGCCTCCTCGCGGCCGCGCAGCTCGAATCGCCGCGCCCAGCCGGGCCGCGCCCGCCACAGCTCCTGCACCAGCAGTGGGCGCTCCGAGTCGCCCAGCACGCGCAGGTGCTCCGCCTGCCACTCGCCGCTGCTCATGCCGGCGGTGGCTGGTCGGCCCAGCGCGTCGCACAGCGCGAAGGCGTCCACGCCGCTGCTGTCGCCAGGGCCGCTGCCGGGGCTGCTGGCCAGCCCATAGCGCTCCAGCGCTTCAGCCACCAGCTCCCGCGCTGTGGAGCGCGCCGTGGCCAGCACACTCTTATAGTTGGCACCCGACGTCAAGCCCGCACCAAAGATCTTTAGGACCCCCGGGGGCGCAGTGGCGCGGGACGCCAAAGGAGGTTCCGGGGCCACGCCCGCTGCCAATTCTGGCAGCTTCTTCTCGCTGGCCCAGCGCTGCGCGCCCCCTGGAGCCCCGGGTCCTCCAGCGCCGCCAGATCCGGTGGTCCCGGTCCCCGAACCCCGGAAGAGCTGAGAGATGCGCTTGGCGCGGCTCCCCGAGGCTCCCCCCGCCGCTTTCACCGCGCCCACTCGCCGCAGTTCCACGTGCGGCGGGGGCGGGGGCAGCGGCTCGCTGCTACGGCTCCCCGTGTCGGAAGACGAAGACCTGGGAGCCACCCGTGAACAGAGACGCAGGAGAGTCACCCATAAAAGCAAGCAAACACGGAGATGGCAGCCGAGGGGGGGAAAGGAAGCATACAAATACAGACAGAGACAGAGACCCAAAGAGAGACCCAGAGAGGGAAAGGAGCAGAGAAGGACAGAAAAGACAGAAACCCAAGGATGACCGATATGGGTGGTGGGAAGAGGTCAGAGGAAAGAGAGAGTTCAAATAAATAAATAAAGGCGACTCCTGGAAGCCATTTCCAAGAGGTGATCAGGGAGATGAGGAAGGAAGGTGAATCAAGCCCAGGGCCTGTGTGGTCCATCCCAGTGCCCTCAGCCCACCTCTCCCCACAATGGGCCCAGATAAGGCAGTATTCAACTTCCTGCTCTCATCCCCCAGGCTCCCATTCAGGACTGAAACCAAAGCCAGGTCTCTCAGGGTCCCTCTCAAGAAGCAATGCATGGAGCTGGGCCCAAAGCAGGGACAGAAGGAAGGCAGATGGGGCAGGGGCAGGTGTCCCACTTCCATGGCTACTCACTTGACAGAGGCAGCGCTGGGCCAACGCCGCCCCAGCTTGGCCAGCTGCTTCCGGGGGGAATTGATCCACAGGCCCACAGGGAGATGAAGCTTTCCAAAGCGGGGGCTTCCGCCCTCCTTCCTTTCACCAGATAGCATGGCCCTAAGGGAAGGTGGGTAAGACACAAATTCCAAATAGGCTGAATGGTAGGCATGGGGTGTTGGGAACCTAGGAGAGGAATGGGGCCCTGGATTCCAGGCCTAGGAGGACAGATGGCCGCAGAGGAACTCCTAGGTCCCTGGCTCTCACCTTTTGCAGGTCCGGCAGCACCCGGAGGGCCTGGGTCTGTCGGCCTGCCGTTTGGTCCCGATGCCTCCGCTTTTGAAAAGGCTTTGCCTATGTCCCAGCTCCCGGCACTGGGTGGGGGACAGGAAAAGGCAAAAGGAAACCCGGCAGGAAGAGCTGGGAGGGGGCGTCCTGTGAGGAGACCAGGCCTGGGGGAGGAGATCTGAGAGTAGGCCCTGCCTTATTTCTTGATTCTGGAATTATATTACAGTCCGTAGTTCCCCTCCACCAGAACTCATGGGTCCCAGGATCCACACCCTCCTCCTTGAGGCAGGAGCCCATCTCTAGTTCTCGCCTCTCAGAGAACCCAAAGTATGCATCAGTCCAGAGGAGTGAGTCAGATACTTAGACAATAAGACACGTATTTAATTCTTCCCCAAGTCTGAAGCCCTTTTCTTTGGGTGCTTAGAAGCTCTATTGGTTGTCAACGCTGAGCATTTGATTTAGCTTTCGCCGTTCTTCAGTAAAGTCGCCTGAATGAGGTTACAGAATACCAATAATGGAGCAGAGTTAGGTAGGTGGCAGTCTCAGCCCCCATACAAATCTGTCCTTATTCTGGCAATGTCAAAGCCTCACCTTCCTGGGTACCCCAAATGGAAGCCCCACCCACAAAGGAAAACTTGCAGGGGCTCCCTAACCAGCTCCTGTACTGGACAGTAGGAAACCTAGTCCCTCACCCAAGCCCACTTGTCCTCTGTGGGTAATTTACCTGACACCCAGGGCTGCTATCAGGGCTATAGAGGAGCAGATCAGTAGCCCAAAGAGAGGGCCCTGCAGCATACTCTTGGCATGTGATGGCTGGGAGGTCTCAGATGATGACTCCAAACCTGCTGAATTTGGGGGTACTGAGGTCTCCTCAAGTGGGGCCATGTCCCTCAAGAGTGGGGCCGTCTCACCCTCAAGCAGGGCTGTCTTACCTTGGGCTGTCTCACCCGGGACAGGGGCTATCACATCCTGGAGTGAGGCTGTCACATTCTGGCCAGGTGGAGCTGTCACATGTTCACCTGGGGCCGCCTCACCTTCTCCTGGGGCCGCCTCACCTTCTCCTAGGGCCACCTCACCTTCTCCTGGGGCCGTCTCACCTTCACCTAGGGCTGCTTCCCCCTGCAATGGTGTCATCTCACCCTGGACTGGTAAGCCCGTCTCACCGGGCAGTGGGGCCATCTCATCCAGGCCAGATGGGGCCACCTCGCCCTGGACAGTCTCACCCTGGACCGGAGAGGATGCCTCACTTTGGACTGTTGTGCCCATCTCACCTTGGAGTGGGCCCGACTCACCTTGGAATGAGGCCATCTCGCCCTGGACTGTTGAGCCTGTCATAGACTGAACAGTTGTGCCTGGCTCACCTTGGAAGGAGGCTGTCTCACCCTGGACTGTTGGGCCCATAGTAGATTGGACAGTTGTGCCCGTCCCACCCTGGACTGATGAGCTCGTCTCAGCCTGCAGTGGGGCCGTCTCAGCCTGCAGTGGGGCCGTCTCAGCCTGGAATTCTG